GGGAGCATATAGATATTGAAGAAGAGGGGACCAAGGACAGAGCCCTGAGGAATGTTGCACAAGATGGACAAGAGCAGAAACCATTTGTGGAGATGAACTGCAGGTGGTGTGAGAGGTAAGATCTGAACCAGCCAAGGACAGAGCCGTGAAGGTTGAGGTGAGAAGAGATGTAGTGGATGAGGATAGAGTGGTCAACGGGTCAAAGGCAGCAGAGAGGTCAAGGAGGACAAGGAGGCAGAGTGAGGCCTGGTTACAGATAGACAGAATGTAATTTGTCACTTGTCTGTGGGCAGCACGGAAACCCTATTGGAGGGTTTTGTGAAGGCAGCAGTGGGCGAGGAAGGAGTGAAGCTGGGAAACAACAACTCATTCCAGACCATGGAGAGGAAAGGGAGGTTGGAGATGGGGGAGTAGTTTGAGAGCAGTGATGGGTCCAGGGAGAGCAGTGATGAGGCCAGACAGCAGAGTAGCGTTATATTCCGATTACAGGAAAAGCATCATAGTGAGAATTAACTCCGAATTAGATTTGATGTAATGTGTAAATGCAACTGCCATGCCAAGATTGAACACATATATACCTGATACCTAAGCCAGGAATCCTTTCCAGATCCGAATTGATTTGGAATTCCTCTAATTCCCCTCTAGCCTTCGAAATCATTAAAATAGTGACATTTTGGCATTTTCCTTCTGATTATCTTGATCTATATTCCCCCTTCGTGGCTAATTTACTCCCAATCTTTTCACAACCGGAAGTGAGGTCAAATTCCTCGAACAGTAGAGGGGCATTGCACTCAGCTTAAACCTTACTGTAAGCCTCTCGTTGTAAATCCAATCTAGTGTGCCATGAGTATGACTAATATTGGGTATCTTCAACTGCTTTTATGTAGGACTGTTGTTCTTCTAACTATTGTTCGCTCTACATTTTTCTTCCCTTTATCTTGAACAGTAACTGTCTTGAGCCTGTAGAAATACAAATGTAGATTTTTTTAAAAAAAACACATATAGATAATCAGCACTGGAGGTCAGTTGGACTCTGTGAAATGATTTCCTGTTTTATAACATCCTGTTTTTTTGTTAAATCCGTGCTTAGAATAGATACGATTGGAGCGTGTTTCACACGTGTGGTAGCAATACCCATTACATTGGAATTCACATGAGTGTTACATATTGGAGTCCTGTAGCTCAGTGGTTAGAGCACTCGCTTTGCAAGCGAGAGACCTGAGTTCAATTCCAGGCAGGGCAAAACCTTGGGCAAAACCTTTCCTTACTCCACACGACTAATAATAATCCCTCAAAAGCCCAAAACAATAATAAATTGGTCACTTTCAATCCACGACTGTTTGTGGGACATTGCTGTGCGCAATTGGCTGCCGCGTTCGCCCACAAATATACAGTCAATTCACTTTACAGTGTATTCTGTAAAGTGCTTTGGGACGTCCTCCTGACGTGAAAAGGGCTATATCAAATGCAAGGATTATTATTATTAATATTATTGGTTTCCAAATGCAACATTGTCAAGTGAAGAGCTACAGCAGTTGTATATTTTATCCTGTGTGTTTTTTTTTCTGAAAGAGACAGGTACCAGGGAAGGAAAGGAGAAACAGTATCGTAAAATAAATCTTTCTCAATGTTTCTATTTGGTCATATTAAATAAAAACTCCCTCAAAAACATAGCTTTATTAAATACATCGCTTTTGAAAATGAACGAATAACAAGGATCGTGGAGTAAACCACATCTCCGATGAACATCTGTTAAGGTTGATGTCACTGAACTGCCGTTTCTTGCGGAGACTGTTCTCCTCTTCCGTCAGGAGAATGCATGTTTCAGTCTTACAGCTGGTCACATAACTGTTACAACCGTTTAAGCAAACCACACAACTTTGCTCTGGATCCTTCAAGAACTGTTACAGTCTCCGGCTCCAGCTTTATTGTAGAGAATACCCTGAACTAATACACCTCAAAATTGGTTCAATCATTTCTGCATTTTAAAGTTGAATATTTAGAATTAAAACTGGTAGCAAATATTTGGAGGGAGTGCAATTTGTAGGAAGAAGGCCTCATTACAGGAAATCATTGGCTCTAGATATTTAATAGTAGATTAGCTTCAGATATTTAGTCAAATCAATGTGGATTTATTGGCAATTAGTACTCCGAGAGCAAAGTTTATTGTTTTCTCTCATGGCTCTTTGTAGAATCTTGCTGTGCCCAACATGGCCGCTACATTTGTTTACAAAAGTAGTCACTACACTTGGTACAAGTTTCAGCTTGTCTTAGATAGTAGTACTTTTGGCCCTGGATCAGAAGGTCACGGGTTGATGTCTGATGTCAGGGCTTTGAGCTCTTACTCGAATGTAATGCCGGAGAAGTACTAAATTGTTGTAAGTGCCCTTCTTTGGATGAGACTTTAAAACGAAAATCCCATCTGCCTACTAAATGGATTACTACTAAATAAGTTGCTATGTCTACTGTTTTAAAAGAGTTTAGGAAATTTCTTCCAATTGTACTGGCTAATATGTATTTATTCATTTCCTGCCTATTTCTGGGATGTTGGGGTGCAAATTTAGCTGTCACATTGACCTCCAAATACAGTCAGTACACTTTACAGAAAAATCCCCCTGTGAAAGGCTTTAGATATGTCGGTGTGATAAGGTGCAACATCAAATTAAACGACTAGGGATTATTATTTTTAAAGAGCCCTTCACACTACTTGAAGAGCTTCTCTCAGTGTCCTGCACAACAGTCCTTCAGATAAAATGGTCATTTGCCTCATAGCTGTTTGTTGTTATGTTGTTTGGACCTTGTTATGTGCAAATTAGCTGCTGTAATTGACTAGAAACATGTAGTCTCTTCACAGCATTTGTATATGAAGCATTTTGAGATGGCTCTATGACCCCCTGTGAAGCATTTTATTTCCTGTGAAGTGCTTTGAGAATTTGCAACGTTGTTGGTATGAAATACAGTGCCTTTCCAGTAAGGAGGACATCCCAAACCATTAACAGGACCTATTTGGCACCCAAGCTGAGGGTGGGATCCAAATTAGGTAGGGAGGGGACAGTTGGCGGAAAGCGCAGTCAAAGAGATAGGTTTTGAGTATCAGATTAAAAGTGAGAACGATAAGCATTATAATTCGTTTTATGCATAATATTTAACAAATATCTTTGTGCCACAGGTGTTTACTTAAAGAGTTAGCATATTGCATTGAATATCCCCTCTAACTCTATTTGTTATAAATCTTTGCACGTCTCAATATCTCATTTCGCTTGATACTGTGTTTCGGGTATAAAAATTGCTGTTCAGCCTGAGAGCAAACATGTTGTTGTGACCTTTGTTATGTGCAAAATCTCTTTCAAGTCCATCAACAGTGTTGCAGCAGACTGAAGCGTGATCTCACTCGCAAAGACCATTGACCACTTTTCCATTGTGTTGCAATCAATCAGCCTAAATTCAAAGCTTGACCCAAGAAGCAAAACAATCATTTCCTCTCTTACCCTGAGATAGTTATCTTAACAAAACACATTGCAACATTGAATTGCGCAATATATAGTAAAAAGAATCAAAGTGGAAAAACAACATCTTTGCTGTAAAAGTAATTCTCATAGGAATATATACATACAAAAAAAACAATACCTCTGTATTAAATAATACTCAATAGTAAATAATATTTCAGTATTAACCTATTTACCTCTATGGCCACATAGTTAATAGTGCACAAAATTAACCAAAAAATACAACCTTTGCACTTTACAGTGCATTGAAGCATCAGTGTTAATCGCTTTGAGTTGTTCATTCAGCAGTAAGATATCCTCCTAATGTAAAAGGTGCTTTTTCAAACACAAGGATTTTTTTTTGTTGTATCTGCACATACAATCCTCTAGTTCAGTGGTCAGAGCACTCGCCTCAGAAGCGAGAGACCTGGATTTGAATCCCGAGAGAGCGAAACAGTGCAGTGTTGGGGTCGTGCTGCATTGTTGGAAATGCAGACCTTCAGATGAGATGTTAATCTGTCTGTGAAATTGGACATTAAAGATCATGTGGTATTATTCAAAAATAGAAAGGAATTTCTTCCTGGTGTACTGGTTACCAATCTCCCAAATAAAATTGGTCATTAATTTCAGGGCTTTTTGTGGAATATTGCTGTGCACAAATTGGCTACAACATTTGTCTATAAAATACAGCACTTGTGGGAGTCCTGCAGCTTATTGGTTAGAGCACTCGCCTCGCAAGGAGAGGAGCTGGGTTCGATTCCCGGGTGGGGCGAAACCTTAGGCAAGTTTATTTACTCTACATGCCTCTATTTACCTAGCAGTAGGTAGGAACCCGTTTTTTAGTCAATTGGCAGATCACTTTCTGGGGGTATTAATCCTTTAAAAAACAATTAAAATTAAAATACAGCACCTTATCACATCTTCGAGACATCCCAAAGTACTTCGCAGAATATACTGTAAAATGTAGTGACTGATCATTTTGTGAGTCAAACGCGGCAGCCAATTTCACACGGCAATGTCCATCAAATAGTTGTAGCTACCTTCAAAATATATTCATATAGTTGTAGCTACCGTTGGCTCTACCCTACTTCTTTATCTTTACACATTAGGCACTCCATATGTGTGCCTAATGTGTAAAGATAAAGAAGTAGGGTAGAGCCAACGATAAGAGATAAGCAGCTGTCAGTTAGTCTGGTCGGAGATTTGGAGAAACTATGTTTTTGGAGGATTTCAAAGAAACAAATATTATTTACCAATTTCTGTTCAACTGTTACTCTGCAAGAAAAGGGTGGTTGTGTGCACTGAGCATTTGCATGCTGAATGAATTCAATGAACATAGAGTGGAATCATGTGAAAAGGAGTGCCTTGGGTTGGATAAAGCGAAGGAGGTCACTCACGTAAATGAAGAGCAAAATGAAAGAGAAAAGTATCCTGGGCTGGTAGAAATCAAAGAGTCAATGATAGTACAAATTGGTTATTTGAGAGGAAAGCAGAACCATTACCAAAGCTGAATATATTTTGAAAATATTTAATTGCTAATGACATGTACTTTAATACAATGGAAAATAATGTTCAATTAATCTGTTAATCAAGACTGTTTTCTTAATTAATTCATTCAACGATGGCATCCTTATCTCTCGTACGGTGCTTCTGGGTTCTTGGTGCTTTGTTCTTAGCTTTTGTTCCTTTGTTCACATTTGTTTTTGGCTTCTGGGTGACTTGACTGCCTGCTTCCTCTTTCTTGCTTTGGGGTTTTGCCGTTTTCAATCCAGAGCAACGTACACAGATCTCCGATTTACGTCTCTTGGCTCGAACTGTATGAAAATAGCAAAAACTTTGGAATCACAAATGTAAAGAATTGTACTTTGATAATATGAATAAGCCAGAACCATTAGCTCTTCTTATGCTGTTTGCAGATTTAAAAAAAGGTTTTACAGCCTTAGACACATGGAACTCACAGTCTGGTTTGGATACTATTAAACATAGGGATGGTTTCTGCATGTGTCAGATACCTGGCTGACCAAATGAAAAGACAAACTTACAAGCTCCAAACCAGACTGAGAATTCCACATTTACCTTCCATTGTCATGGAAACTAAATAAAGCATAATCCTTACATTTGAATCATTGCCTTTCATGTAGGGAAGATGTCTCAAAAGGCTTCACAAGATATACTGTAAAATGTAGTGACTGTATTTTGTAAGTGAATGCAGCAGCCAAAGATTGTGCACAGCAATCTCCCACAAACATCCATGAACACAACAACTTGCATTTATATAGCATCCTTCAGACAGGTTAGTGGCTCCGAATGCTGAAGTGAGTCATCAATTTTATTACAGAGATTGTTGGCAGGACACAGGAAGAAGCTCCTCTTTTTGAATAATATACTAATAATCCCTGCATTTGATATAGCGCCTTATCGCATCCTCGAGACGTCTCAAAGCTCTTAATAATGCTTAATAGTGTATGGGATGTTTGATGTCCACATAAACAGGCAGACAGTGGATAATATCTCATCCAAATGATGGCACCTTCAACAATGCAGCCCAGCCCCAGCAATGCACTGGAGTGTCAGCCAAGAGTTGTGAGTTCAAAGCCCCAACATGACACTTGAACCCACAACCACTTGACTTAGAGGTGAGTGTGCTACCAACTGAGCCACCCTGATACACAAAGCAAAACTAACGGGAGTGCAGAGGATTCATTTTGGGACTTTGGGGAATGAATTTGGATGAGGAGGGAATGCAAGACAGGAAACCAGGACAAAAACGTCATATTTCTTTGAAATAGCAGTGCGTGTGGATGATTCTGCAAGGCAGACAGAAACTAGTGATTCAAATTTCTTTAAAAAATGTTGATCTGGAAATAAATGATAGTGAACTTAATATTGAATGTTGTTATGTAGTGCAATCCTGTATACTTTTGGTAAGAATTGGCGCTGTGGCATGATCCAAACACCAGATTAACTGGGTCAGAAGATTGTTAGTTGAACTTCAGATCATAGTCCAGGGCTAACACCCCTATGAAGTACTGAGGGGGTGCTGAATTATCGGAGGTGCCTTCCTTCAGTGAGATGTTAAACTGAGGTCTTGTCCACCTGGTCAGGTGGCCACGAAAGATTCTCCTGACACAAATCAAAAAAGGAAAGGGAGCTTTTCCCATTGTCATGGGCAACAACAGATGAATTGGCCGTTCACTGAAGTGAACCTTGCTATGCGCAAAATTCTTCCTGGAGTGACCCATCCAGAGTACCAAATTCCGGAGAGTATTAAGCACAGGTTAGCATGAGCCAAGGCTTGGTGACTGCTGGAGTTTAATCAAAATATTTAGCTACAATTGAACTGTTCCTTTTCTTGCCAACAATTGCCTGTGAAACATTTGAGCAGCTTTGTTGTTATAAGCACTATATTAATTGCAAGTTATTATGCTTATTAAAACAAATCTAATAATGGTCAATGAAATACTCTTACTTCTGCATTTACAGGCACATATTACTATCGGGAGCAGCAGAAGAAGAGCTCCAGCCCCTACACAGACATAGATCCACCAGGCAAAAGAGTCATTAAGTCCTTTTTCTGAAATGGAAACATAAAGCTAATTTATTTTCATATATAAAATCACACTGAAAGCCTGAATATTGAATTCTGGAGAGTATTAAGCACAGGTTGGCAAGAGCCAAGGATTGATGATTGCTGGAGTTTAACCAATTAAAACCGCATTGCTTATAATAATAATAATAATAATAATAATAATATGCCATTGAAAGCACTTTCTGGCAAGCTCCCTGCTGTTGCTCCAGCTAGTAACACCCTACTTGTTAGGGCTTTGGCTTACAGGGTTAACAGTAGCTGTATGGGAAGAATCCCTGCCCCCAGTACTGGCCGGTCTGTCATCAGCAATGCTGTGGTGTCTCATTGAAATATTGCATTGTACTTTGTACTATCATAAAAATATCATAGTATTTCCAACAATATGTTTCCATTACCTTCAGGAATGACTGTATAATTGACCGCCTTAGGCGAATTTTTGAGGGTGGGGTGAGATACCGTACAGGAATATGTGGTCCCAATCGGGACAGGCTCTTTTTCTTCCACAGTACTAGAAAAATTATACTCTCCTTCTGCTGTCAGTTGTTTATCTTCTTTTAACTCAGTTAGTTTAATGTCGTTTTTAAAGAACTCCATTTTTAAGTCATCGGGGTAATAGCCAGTTGTTGTACACCCATATATTGGAGAATCCGATGAACCCATGGAGAAAATCTTCGGAGCAGATGGTGGAGCTTTAAAGAAGTTAACAAACAAGAAAATAGTTATCCATTTTGAACATAAAATAATGTGTTTTGTATTATATTTTGCTGGGTATCACAATGCTAATTTACTTTGTCGTATTTTATAACTCCATTATTACTTATGTTAACATTTTTGTTTGAGTCAGAAAGTTCATAAACAGTATGAAAAAAAATTGCACTTGATACAACAACAACAAAATTACATTTGTAAAGCGCCTTTCAAGTCGTGAGGATGTCCCAAGGGGCTACGGCACTAATATAATATTATATTAATATACTAATATAATACTAATGATTATTTTTATGTGAAAGTGCACTGTATTAGTGCTCTTTCACATAAAAATAATCATTCACAGAATTTTCTCTGAAATGTAGTGACCGGATATTTGTAGGCAAATCTTGCAGCCGGTTTATGCACAGCAGTATCCCACAAACAACCATGAAGAGAGTGACATTTTGGTTCTCTGGAGCATTGTGTGCCAGGATAATGGTAGAAAGTCCCTTCATCTATGAAAGAATAAACGTAAAGTTTATTAGAAACATCTCAAAGTACTATAACTTAGAAACATCTCAAAGTACTTCTCAACCAACAAAGGAAGCTTCTCCCGGCGTTCTGGCCAACAATCCAAAATAAAATTAGTCATGTGTTTTATGGCTGTTTATGGGACTTTGCTGTGTGCTATTGGGCTGCAGTGTTAGTCGAAAAATTCAGTCACTCCATTTAGCAGTAAAATTCTGTAACATCCACTTTGAGACGTCCTCCTGACAGAAAGGCGTAGTACCAAATGCAAGGATTGTTATATCATTATTTGCACATATGCAATAAACTCCTCATATCATCTCCAAACATCATCTACCTCACCAGCTCTATTATACCATTAAAATGATCTTTGTTGGGCATGATGCTAGCGAAGTTAAGTGCAATCTGTGTAAACTATACAAATTAATGTTTGTCAAAAAAAGTTTGCAGCAGCTGTAAACTGTTACTAAATACTAAAGGCAATAATAAATATTGTCTAAAATTTTGCATACATTTAAGCTCATTACCTAAAGAGAAAGGAAACTTAAAGGAATTTCCCACAGAGGCAATTAGGATGTTGATTCTTTTTGTTGTAAAAATTTCCCAAACTTTCACTTTTTCTTTGGGGCGTGATTTTACATTTATTTAAAATAAATGTTAACAGACGTCTCAAAATGCTTCACATAATATACTGTGAAGTCAGCTGACTGTGTATTTTGTGGGCAAAATGCTGCAGCTAATTGTGCACAGCAGTGACCCACAAACAGTTTTAATTCAGATTTCGGCAGATTTACTTTTTATGTGGGTTGAAATTTAGACTGCTTGTACTAACTAGATGACAACAATCTTTTTGGAGGCATTATGATTATGAATTTCTGCTCTGTCTGATAACCTCCAGTTAAATTGATTGTTTGTTTCACGATATGTGCAAATTGACAAGTGCGTTCTCCTATGAAATACACAGTCAGTACATTTATAATAAATCTTGTGAAGCACTTTGAGATGTCCTGCTGACATGAAAATGTACTGTATAATCATTATTATTGTGATAAAATCCTGTGAAGTGCTTTTGAGACATCCTCTGGACTTAAAAGGCAATGTATCAAATGCAAGGATTATTATTAGTAAATAGTATCATCTTAAATGTTCTGTTTAGGTTAAACTACTTAACTCGGATACCTAGTGGTATCTGATTATACAGTACATTCACAAGGTATTTTGAATCCTGCCTTTAAATTAGTTGCAGTGAGATCGGGGCGATTTTTTTTGATACAAATGAAATAAATCGTTTTACATCAACTAAAGCTCAAAAGTAGGGGACCGTTCTACTAAAGTGAATGTGATTATTTGAAACTATGTTTGACCCGAGTTAAAAGTTAAAACCTTCAAATAAATAACAGGGTAAAGGATCTGATTTAATTTCAAATAAAAATAAGAGAGTAGTAAGAATAATGATTTCCCCTCTCGTTCATTCAGAGCCAGATTTATTAAATTTAATTTTAATGCATATCTCTTTGTAAAGGGAACACAGAAATAGCTCCTCGTGCTTTACTGGGTTTGCTATTTCTCTGATGCTTATTGTGACACTTCTTAACGGTACAGATTCAGTGGATTTTGAAATCATCTCTCAAAACTTTTCACCTCCTCAGATGCGTAAACAGAATCGATTTCGAAACACGTTTGTATATATGGTACGTGTGGTTGGTGGGCGAATGCAACGAATGTTGTGCAATAAGGTACAACGAGCAATCTTTCTCACACACCTGCATATGTATTTTTTTGTAGGGCTCAGATCAGCTCAGTCGTTAAACGGTAGAAAATTATCTGAAATAACAGCAGCGTCAGTGACATGTTTTTTTGCGCAAATAGCTACCAAATGCGATCAAATGTGAGGTGTCTTTGGGGCTGCGAGATCCGTTTTGGAAGATAAATTGAATTGTTTTCAGTGAGTTGTGGATACGATGACAACCCACTATTGGAAAGTAAATTATATACACATAAGTATGTGTACGATATATATAAACATATGTGTACATATATATATAATATGTGTGTGTATATATATACATAATAGAAAACAGCAAAAAACGGAAGATTTTTACAAATAAAGTGTGTGATTACCAAGTGTGTAACACTCACCAGAGACCTGAAGTGTAGTACCTGTTCCATTGCCAGTGATCTCGCCCTGGACTCTGCAGTAATAGACTCCCGCATCACTCACTCTCAACCTCTCGAGCGTAAAAGTTGCACTTGCCCTGTTCGGAATTTTGAATATTTGTCGGGAATCTTTCTTTGCGTCTAAGAAGTTATGATCATCGTCTTTCCACCAATGGACCCTGATTGCATTTGTTGCCCGAACGAGGGGAACGATGCAGTAAAATATTACGCGTTCACCTTTCTCACTTTCCAGACGAGGTGGTTGATTCACTAAGGTATCCCCAACAACTGTGAAGAACCGAAAACATCAATATATAAAGACCATCGAATATAAATACAGTTAATAATTAAAACCAATTTGGCTGCCGCGTTTCCCCACAAACTGCACCGTTAATTCACTTTAGTGTATCCTATGAAGCGCTTGGAGACGTCTCAACGAGGCGATAAGAAATCCATATACAATTCCTACAGAGACCATGCTTTATTCTCAAATCAATCGTTTGGAGAATTATCATTATTTAATAGAGTCGCTCTTAATAATTATTTACTTAACTATTTATTGAATGCTTCATTTGGAAGGACTGACCTGTGTAAATCATCCCCAAGGTGAATGCCCAATGAACCGAGCTCCTCGCAAACATGTTAGACAACTGAATTGAATGGACGTCTTCGCCTGGACAGGGAAATGGGACTCCAAGTTAATTTGGGAATTTTTTTGTATGTTTTGCGCTTAATCTGAAATCTGTTACTCTCTCACACATACACCCAAAACGGATGTCACGTCTTGTGACTGCAGTTTCCAATAAATCGAGGTTTCCTGGCTACGAAACTACAGCCCCAAAGCTCTGAGATCGGTTTAGAAGATAACAGCTATAGATTGTCGACTGAAATGTTCTGTTGACAGGTTAGATCGAGACAAATGCAAACTTGCCAATTCACCAGCAGATTTTATTTTTTATATATATATATAGAGAGAGAGATTAACATATTTATTTTATGTTGAGAGCTCTTAAACCCTGCAGCTTTTCAGCACTTTTATGGTGGTCATTAAAATCTCTATTGTATATGTGTTTTTACATTTTTTGAGATGGGGAAAAAAACAGGTCACATTCACAGTTAAATGCCTTATCTCTTTAGGCACGGTTTTAAGTAGAGTCCTGTTTTAGCGTTAGCGACTGGGATTAAGTGAATTTGGGTTAATTTGGATACAATACATTTAATGAGAGAAAAGCTCCTCATTGAAGCAGTGCGGTGAATCTTGCCGCTGAGATAAATGAAGCGCTGTAGTTATAATTATAATGTCCACTTTCTAATTCTGTGGTAGCCAAAGTGAAATGACCAGATGGTTGCTGATCCTTTGTCACCACTAAAGCCGCATGATCGCCAGACAGAGGATCTTTTGGTTAATAATAATAATAATCGTTGTATTTGATATAGCCCCTTATCACTTTTTTGAGACATCTGAAAGCGCTTCATAGAGGCAAGCGGCCTAACCACTATGCTACAGGACTCCAAAATATAATTAGTTATATTTTGTGGAGAGCAAAGAGACATTTATTTTATGTGAAATTCTCTAGATAACCAGGTTAGAATTATAAGACAGAATGATACAAAAACAGATACATTTTTCTGACTCTTCTAGTTTCTTCTGTCCACATTGGTGATGGGCTGGGCTCCTTGGTGCTCTACATTAACTTGTATCCATCAGCACTTAGTGTTAAATTGGTACTGTACTTTTCAAGCTTCTTTTTTGGGGAAACCGAGAGGAAAGAGCTAAAACCCCCAGTGTAAGGAGTCACCAAGGTTCAAGATCAGGAGAGGAGATGCGATGAATCAAATAGCAGTGGATTGTGCTAAATGATGAGAGGTCTGGGCTGAGGCTATGTACATGCTGGTTTGAGACTGCATATGTGCAGGTACAATGACAGAAAGTTTCCAGCCCATTGGTTGACAGGATTCAAAGTCAGCTCCCAGAGGAGAAAGACCAGTGCGCCAACCCTCCAAATCCTCCATTTAGAACAATTCGATTTCCATCTTGAAGTGACATTGATTGTGCAGTTCGTTTCTAGCCGTCATTTGGTGTTCAAAAAACAATTGCCTTCAAAAAAATTGGTCACTCGATCCATGACTGTTTGGGGAACACAGCTGTGAGTAATTGGCTGCATGTTTCTCCAACCAAATATTGTCAACTCACTTTACAGTGTATTCTATGTAGCGCTTTGAGGCATCGAGAAGATGGCAAACAGTTAGTAATAAACCCATTCCCTCATGTGAAAGTTTCTTATTTCAAAACGTCCATCAATTTAATACATTTTAACAATACACCTGGATTTGGCTCCCATTAGCGAATATTGCATGTTTCAGTGGTGAGATCAGAGAGCGAGGTGCAGCTGGTACTCTCACACGCATGCCTCCACGTCAGTCGATCATCGGGCGGTCGGTCGACACCCAAGATTATACTTTAACAAACTTCTGCCCAGAGATCAGCCTCTGGAATTACACCTCAGATGCAACCGACTCTCACAATATCAACAGTAAACTGGGACTGGGGTCCGGTAAACCCTTGGGCGCAATCAGTCTAAAACAACAACAGTAGTACTAGAACATAAGAACATAAGAAATAGGAGCAGGCGTAGGCCATTCAGCCCCTCGACCCTGCCCCACCATTTAATCATGGCTGATCTTCTAATCTGATTCCATTTACCCGCCCTTTCCCCACATCCCTTAATTCCTTTAGCTTTTAAAAATCTATCAATGTCAGTTTTGAATATGTTACGGACGATACAGGGAGGACAACACGTATCCAGTCATTGTTTCGTACTCCAGACAAAACAGTAGACCTGGGATCACACCTTGACATACACTGGAGAGATCACAGAACTATCACAGAATCACAGAGAGTGGCGCCTGGAAACCCAACAGGAACAATCAGCTGTTAGCCCAGAACCTCTCTCGTACTGCCGACCACTTCTCCTCTTTCACTTTTAATGGTCACTTTCTTACTGCAGGTAAATTCCCTCACCCCTGTACATATACATAGATACAGTAGAATTAATATCAATTCCACTGACCCTCTACACAACTTCTACTATTTAAAAGTTACATCTTTCCTTTATGTGTTTCTAACTCCATCTCCCCTGGCCACACAGATAGCCCCCACTCTTCGCCGACTGCTTTGCACAGAGAGAGATGTGGACAACTTCTGGACAGCCTTTCACAGCCTTGAGATAGGCAGGTGACTGAGGCTGAAGCCTTTTTTTACTGTGGTCCATCGTTCTTATATCTATGCTCAAGGACTCGATTGCTCATTATCTCAGAGGAGTGAACATCTTCTCAGGAAAATATGAAATGTAATCAGGAGCTAACCTCAGCCCGTCCAGCAAAGCTACTTTTAACCATTTAACTATCAAACCTTCTGGGACATTCAGTTGCTGTTTGAAATACACCAAGGCACTCTGAGGTGATAGTCGGTATTTTTCAACACTACCTCCCCCACCTCCACAAACACACACAACACACTAATTTTGTGTTGAAAGCTCTAAAATCCCACAGCTTCTCAGCATTTTATAGTTATTAAAATCTCTGTTGAATATTTTTTTACATTGTTTGAAAAGGGGAAAAAAACAGGTCCTGATGATTATATCACACAAGTCATATTCACACTTAGGTGTCTTATGTCTACAGGCACTGTTTGTAGGTAGAGTCCAGTTTTAGTGTTAGCGACAGGGATTAAGTGAATTTGGTTTAATTTGCATACAATACATTTAACGAGAGAAAAGCTCCTCATTGAAGCAGTGCCGTGAATCTTGCAGTTGAGCTAAATGAAGTGCTGTAGTTATAATTATAATGTCCACTTTCTAATTCTGTTGTAGCCAAAGTGAAATGATCGGATGGTTGCTGGTCCTTTTTCACCCCTAAAGTAACATGATCCCCAGACAGAAGTTCTTTTGCATAATAATAATCTTTGTATTTGATATAGCACCTTATCACATCTTCGAGACATCACAAAGCGCTTCACAGAATACACCGTAAAGTGACCCTGTGTTTTGTGAGAGGAACGCAGCAGCCAATTGCCCACAGCAGTGTCCCACAAGCGGTCGTGCATTGAGTGACCAAATGTATATTTTTTAATGAATTAGCCCCAGAAAGCGATCCGCCAATCGACTAACAAGTGGGTTCCAACTTCCTGTAGGTAAACAGAGGCATGTGTGTGTGGAGTAAAGAAACTTGCCAAAGGTTTCACCCCGCCCAGGAATCAAACCCAGGTCCTTTCACTTGCGAGACGAGTGCTCTACCCACTATCTTATGGAACTTCATCCGTTATTCACCAAATTCTGTGAATTTGTAGGATTGTAAAATTACATAATTCGAAACATTTTTATTTGATTCCTGCTACCTCCCCTCCTTATATAGAAAAGACATCAGTGCTAGACAAAGCCCCTCTCTCTATCCACTCTGTCATCCCCCCCTTGCTCTCTCCCCCGCCCAACAATCCAACAACAACAAAATGACATTTATAGAGCGCCTTTCATGCCGGGAGGACGTCCCAAAGCGCTGTACAGTCAGGTGTCGGGGCCCAAGCAAGGAGGAGTGGTGGTGTAGGGGTGAGGGAAGGCAGAGAGGTGGGAGGGAGACCAAAGGCACGGTCGAAGAGAAGGGTCTTGAGACCGGCCTTGAAGGAGGCGAGGGAGGCAGTGAGGCAAAGGGACCGTGGGATGGAGTTCCAGAGTGTGGGGGCAGAGAGGCTGAAAGACCGGCCACCAATGGTAGGGCGGATCGGGCGGGAGACATGGAGCAGGCTGGAGCTCGCTGAACGGAGGGAGTGAGCAGGTTGGTAGGGAGTCAGCAGGTCAGAGAGGTAGGAGGGGTCAAGGCCATGGATGGCCTTGAAGGTGAGGACGAGGATCTGGAACTCAATCCTCTGGGGAATGGGGAGCCAGTGGAGTTGGGCGAGGGTGGGAGTGATGGGGTCATGGAGCCTAGTGCGTGAGAGTACACGAGCTGCTGAGTTTTGGATGATCTGCAGCTTGTGAAGGGAAGATTTGGGAAGGGCGATGAGGAGGGAGTTCCCACAATCAAGCCTTGAGGTGACAAATGCATGGGTGAGGGTTTCAGCAGCCTGAGGGGTGAGGCAGTGGCGGATTTTGGCAATGTTGCAGAGGTGGTGGTAGGCAGTGCCGGTCATGGCACAGATGTGGGGGAGAAAGGACAGGACTCAAACTTAAACATCAACATAATCAGATTTGTACATTTGGATAGCGCCTTTCATGTTGGGAGGACATCCCAAGGCACTGGACAATCAATGTTTTGGACCAAAGCTGGGGGTTGGGATCGGAGGGGTGTAGGATCTTGAACTGTATCCTCAGTTTGACGGGAAACCAGTGGAGTCGGGCGATGATGGGGGTGATAGGGTCATGGAGCCTGGTGCAGGAGAAGACACAGGCTACAGAGTTCTGGATGATCTGCAGTCTACGGAGGGAGGAGTTGGGGAGGCTGAGAAGCAAGGAGTTTGCATAGTCCAGCCTTGATGTTATGAATGTGTGTATGAGGGTCACGGTGGCCTGTGGTGTAAGACACTGGTGGAGCTAGGCGATGTTGTGTACATGGGGCAAGGCAGAGCTGGTCATGGCATGGAGATGGGATAGAAAGGATAGTTGAGGGTCAAACAAGATGCCAAGGTTCAAGAGTGGCTCAGTGAGGTGGAGTGTGAATCCTTGGATGGTGATACTATCAGCGCTTGAGGTGTACAGACGCTGATGGGAGCAAATCCAGAGGACCTCGGTCTTGTTGATGTTCAACTGTAGAAACATAGTTCTCATCTAGGACTTGATGTCTGACAGACATTCTGTCAGGACAGCTGAGGTCCTGAAGTCAAGGTTGGAGACAGAGAGATAGAGTTGGGTGTCATCCACATACATGTGGAAATTAACCCCATATCTGTGGATGATGTCACCAAGAAGGAGTATAGAGATATTGAATAGGAGGGGACCAATGACACAGCCCTGGGGAACCCTGCATGAGACGGTGTGTCGGCTAGAGGAGAAACCTTTGGGGAGATGAATTGGAGCCGGTGTGAACCATGAAGGGTGAGGAGAGGCGGTGGAGGAGGACAGACTGGTCAATGTATCGAAGGCAGCAGAGAGGTCAAGGAGATCGAGGAGCCAAAGGGAGCCATGATTGCAGAGAGACATTTGCCCCTTTTGACTAAAGCTGTTCCTGTGCTGTGGGCGGCGCCAAAACCCAATTGGAAGGGTTTGTGAAGGGAGTGGTGGGAGAGGAAGGAGCGAAGCTGGGAAGCAATATTTCATTCCAGGAACTTAGAAAGGATCAATGTCTCAGAAGTCTTAGCGATTTTACCAAAACCTAAAGTAAGGATAAACTCTTACCCACACCTTCCACTAATTCCATCTTGTGGGATAGGAAGTCTCACATAAAATTTGTCACATATCACTAAGTAACCAGAGGTATGACACTGATATAAGACCCCTTCTCCGTGTGGAGTCAGGGGTAGATGGAATCTCACCACCTTGACAAATCAAACCCAGTTCCTCTCACTTGTGAGGCGAGTGCTCTAACTAAAATGCTACAGGATTCCAAAATATAATTAATTATATTTTGTGAAGAGCAAAGAGACATTTATTTTATGTGAAATTCTCTAGAAAACCAAGTTAGAATTATAGAAAACGAAATTATTTTTTGTGACTCTTCTCAATTCTTCTGTCCACATTGGTGATGGGCTGGGCTCCTTGGTGCTCTACATTAACTTGTATCCATTAGCACTTAAGTGTTAAATTGGTACTGCACTTTTCAAGCATCTTTTTTTGAGAAACCGAGAGGAAAGAGCTAAAACTCCCAGTGTAAGGAGTCACCAAGGTTCAAGATCAGGAGAGAAGATGAGATGAATCAAATAGTAGTTGTGCTAAATGATGAGAGGTCTGGGCTGAGATTATGTACAGCACGGACTGGTTTGAGACTCCATATGTGCAGGCACAAGGACAGTTTCCAGCCCATTGGTTGACAGGATTCAAAGCCAGCGACCAGAAAAGAGAGAACAGTGTGCCAACCCTCCGAATCCTCCACTTAGAACACCTTAACAAAACTTTCATTTCAGTTTCCATCAGAACTGCAAAAAAAGCAATAGCATTCACTGGATAAACACACAACCTCACTTGTAAATGAATCCCATGTTTGTTAGAACAATTTGACTTCACATTAAAAAAGACAATTTATCAAATGCATGAGTTTGCACAGCTTAATTCTGAGGAGCATCAAAAGGTCTCTACATTGATGGCACTGATAAAGATCAGGCAGAGTTGTGCTGCTCACATGGAAACTCCAGTGATTCCATCAATTCATAGCTTGTTACGCCAATCGTATTACACAGTTCCAGTTCGATTTCCGTCTTGAAGTGACATCGGTTGGGCAGTTTGTTTCTAGCCATCATTTGGTGTTCAAAAAAAAATTGCCATCAAATTGCCACTCGATCCACGACTGTTTGGGGAACAGGCTGCATGTTTCTCCAACCAAATATTGTCAACTCACTTTACAGTGTATTCTATGAAGCGCTTTGAGGCATCGAGAAGGTGGCAAACAGTTAGTAATAAACCTATTCCCTCATGTGAAAGTTTCTTATTTCAAAACTTCCATCAATTTAATACATTTTAACAATGCATCTGGATTTGGCTCCCATTAGCGAATATTGCATGTTTCGGCGGTGAGATCAGAGAGCGAGGTGCAGCTGGTTCTCTCACACGCATGGCTCCAGGGCAGGCACAGTATTGAATCAATGCCTGTAGTATAACTATCCATACTGAAATGGACTCCTTCAAAATACATCCAAGAATTTGTGAGTGTTTAAGATTCTCAGTTTATGGAATTAGTGTTAAACCCAGTGATTGTAGCCTTGGATTTATAACGGAAATGGCAGATTCTATCTTTAGCAGGAAGTCGAGCAATAACACTTCCAAGAACTAGTCGTTCCAGGCTGCTCTTGCGTAACTCCAAAGGAAACCGCTGTATAGCAGCTTTGCCAGAGGGCAGTCAGCACAGGGGAGACCACACAAGATAGATAAATACTTGAAAAATAAAGAGAGAATCTCTCCAAAATGACACTGTTACAAATGCAAACATCCACTCGGATCAACGACTGATCCCTGATAATCAATCAATCGTCAGAAAACCCTTGGACCCAACCAGTCATATACAACAATAGTACTAGAACATAAGAAATAGGAGCAGGCTTAGGCCATTCAGCCCCTCAACCCTGCCTCACCATTTAATAAGATCATGGCTGATCTTCTAACCTAATTCCATTTACCCGTGAGATCAGAGAGCAAGTACTCTCACTCGCATGGCTCCACTGTAGGCACTGTATTGAATCCATCCGTCGACCGACCGACCGTCCGTCAACCCACAGTCCGGTAACCGACCGTCAACCAATCAATCAACCAACCAATCAACCAATCAAGCAACCAACTCATCAGTCAATCAAGCAATCAAGAAAGCAACCAATCAAGCTATCAATCAATCATTAATTCCGAGGGTGAAAGGAAATTGAAGCTAACTATGCATGTACATCCCTCATCATTTTCACGGTCTTTAATAAAATGTAGCAATGGAAGTTTAAAACCATAATTTGATCATTATTTGTGACTGGAATGGCAGTAGGTGAGGTCACTGTCAGCCCCAGTTCCAGGCAGAATGAGGCCTCTTTAAATGAAGGAATATATGCAAAGCTCACAAATCTCTTAAGTGATGGTGAAAAGGGATTAAACGTTGACATGCTGACCCCTGGCTTCTGTGCTGAGTATTACACGGTCCCATCCGCTGCACCAGGTCTGACTCGTTTTAAATGACCAACACTCACACTATGAAAAGCGGGGTTCAGGTTTTAAAACCAATGTGTGTATTTTGACATTTTCACTCCACATATCACAGGCAAGTTTGTGTGGATGATTTAGAAAGAGGATCATAGCTCTTCCTTTAAACACAAAAGGGGCATCAAAGCTCCTGCAGTCATTCGTAATACACAAAGGAAAAGTCCCAGAATCCGTTCTTCTCAGAGGCGCTCAGACACTGGCTCACACTTCGCTGGTTAATGTGTTTCACAAACTTCAGTGTTTCCTTATCTCGGTAGATCAGAGCCAAGGAGTTTTCTTCTGGAGAAAGCGTAAGTAACTGAAACACAGCAAGAGAGGTTCCCAGGTTACTGATCATTCTTTTTACAAGATCATTCCCAATTTTCTTTTATTTCCTTTCTCATGTTGCCTTCTCCTAGCCCTTGGACTACAATGTCACTCTGCTATCTGCTGGATAGAGCACCACAGGGATGCAGGTGATTCACTCTGATTTTCTCTCTCTGTGGCCTTCTTCCAGTGCTTCCCTGTGATGGCATCGGGCTTCCTCACTGTGATATGATAAACTTAGAGATTCCCTGTGTTTAGAATTGTAAATGTTACCATTGAGGTTTGAATTCAGTTCAATTCAAGACGGGGGGGGGGGGGAGAGAGAGGTGGAGCGGAGGGTCAAGCCCAATTTTGGGACCTTGAGCTAATAGTTCACACCAGTGGGCTGCTAGGAGACGCATAAACCGAGATCTTGTCGGTGGATGTTAAAGATCCCGTGGCACTACTTGAAAAGAGAAGTACCTTTTCTGCCTCTAACAAGCCGACAATCTTCTGACCCCAAAACAAGTGCCTCAATATAACACGCCACTGTGCCAACCCAATCTACTGTTTTATTTTGGTCTCTCTCCAGGACTTCTCTTTAATTCCCAAACTCAAGCCCATACTCAATTAGAGGCAGTGTCAGTTTTAACACCCCAGAACTGAACATGTCAATGGTGTGCGCAGAATCCTAATTAGCTACAGCTGATATCCTTTTAACAGGCATATTCTGTAGTTCCTACTCTCAAGCTTCTACTTAACTGGCAAGCACACTCCACTTGAGTTACTGATCCAGCAATATATAACAGAGATCAAAAGAATGGATCAACCCAACGTACCTCTTCATCTTCCCCTTTAGCGATATATGAAGTAACTCCGCCAAATTCCGCGTCCCAGCCTGAAACACAAACACTGCTTTTTAGTTGCTTGTCCGAGCTCTCAACGCTTACCTCTGCTGTTATGTCCTCATCCACCCACCTGCATCACAGCCTTTACCTATTACAGAACTGATCCTGAAGCTTTTCCTCCTTCAATATACAGTTCTTTACCTCCCCAATAAGATCAGGAAACACAACAGCCCTAAGCACGGATTTCAGCACTAAAGCTACTTGTTCATGACACTGATGGTCTGATCACAAATCCTTCACGTGAAGAGCTGTGCTTATTCCATGTAAGATTGTTCAGATAATATTAGGTGGTGCAAGCGGAAGGAAACTACGTTAAATTCATTGAGATAATATTCCTCTTATTATATTGTAACCTGACGACATGGTAAGGATGCTGGCTTGAATCAGGCCAAATGTTGTGGAACTGAACCATTATCAGTAAAAATAATAACCTTTGTTGATATAGCGCCTTATCACATCATCTAGACATTTCAATGAACTTCACAGGATTTTATGATTGTGTGTAGTAACTAGATTTGTTGGCAAATGCAGTAGCCAATTTGCACATAGCAATGTCCCACAAATAGCCATGAAGTGAATGACCAATTTTATTTGAGGGATTGTTGGCTGGGATCAAATAGTAGAAAGAATCATAGGTTTATAATAATAATAATCCTTGCATTTGATATAGCGCTTTCCACGTCTTCTAGATGTCTCAATAGACTGTAAAGTGAATAGACTGTAAATTTGTGGGCGAAATGTGGCAGCCAGCCTTTTTACTTGTTTACTACACAGAAGGAGACTATTTGGTCTATTTGTGTCTGAGCCGGCGACAGCTCCATCAACCACATCTTACTAATTTAATGCTATCGCATGTTTCATTTACTCCTCCCAGCCATTGTTGTGCATCACTGACAGTATGTCTGATGTTAATCTGTTTCAGTCATACTTTCCAGATTAGTAACCGTAAACCGCTAGAGTCCAGTATCACTAGCTAGAACTGCAACCTGTCAGCTCCTCCCAGGCAGCATCCTGCGTTGCTAAATATTGCACCACTGTGCTGATTTTAACTTAACCTGCATCAAGCAATAAGGTTCAGTAACCCCTCCGAGCCTGTATTACTGACTGTATCTCCGCAGATGTTAATTTCTTGCAATAAGATCAGTATTTCCTCCAATACAAGGCTATATGCAATCTCCTCTGCCCCCATTTTGCAACCATCTCAGGCTCAGTCTCTGTAACTCTATCCCACGTGAAGGGCGCAATACAAATGCAAGTTTGTGTTGCTGCTGGAAAGTGAATTGACTGTATATTTTGTGGGCAAAACAAGGGAGCCAATTGTGTAAATGCAAACTGTTGTTTTAACACCTTTCAGTCAGCACCCTGCATTACTAACCACATCTCGAACCTGTTAATTTTCCATCTATGTCATTCTATCAAGCTCAGTAACACCTCTCATGTTTTAACTGCAACCTCACCAATGTTAATTTAGCTCCTCACACCACAAGCCTCAGCAACTAATATTAGCCAGCACCTTGTGGTACTATTCATACATGCATTGATATTAACCAAACTCTTGTCTGCCTGTCAGGGGAATGTTAAAAATCTTACAATACTATTCAACAGCTCACAAAAACAGTACCTCGACCAGACAACAATTACTGTGAAGTGTTCGGAAATGTTTCAAACCTACCGATGCTACAAAAGTGCCAGTTATTTCATTATTTAAATGTTTTTATTTTGCTTCCTCTCTTTATTCCAGCTGTCACATGCTATTTCAGAAAGCTGATTTGAAAGTTATTTTAAAATAAATTTTCTTTGGCACAAAGCTGCCGGCATAGCAAACACCACCCTCAATCTATGAGGTGAATTTCATGCTTGACATAAATACTTATCTATGGTCCCTGAAAGGATCGTGTCTAACACAAATACACATTGCCCAAAGGATAGCTTTCCATTTTCACCCATTTTATTGTTCCTCCCAGTCGAAATATCTTCCTCAGTCAGAAGGCAGAAGATTCTGTACCTCCAGAGACACCACCAAACACTCTACCTCTACAACAACCCCACCCCCGGATAGTGCTGTGTCTCTACACAAGCTGTTTTCTGAAGGTGCTGCAGCTCGTTCTCAAATGTAAGTAAGAACCTGTACCTTTGCACCTGCAAAACAGCAGCAGATCGAGTGCAAACTCGGAATTTTCCACATTGGTGTCATGGATAAGGGTGTAGTAGCCATTTCTCCAGTGCCGTAACTCACCCCGGCACATAGGAACACTGGGCTCTGGGGACAAAAAGCAAGGTGATTTCATCAGAGCATTTACAGGTGTTTACAATGTATATACAGTTTCAACCCCAACAGAACCTTAACATTGTATAATAATTTAGTAAAAAAAACAAATTACATTTGTATAGCACCTTTCATGTCGGGAGGACGTCCAAAGGACCTGGACAGTCAGGAATTTGGAGTATAAACTGAGTATAAAGAATGGTTACAGCACAGGAGGCCATTTGTCACATGGAGTCTGTATTGATGCTCAATTCCCAATTGAGTTATCTACTCCAATCCCATTCCTCTGCTCTTTTTCTGTAATCTTTCATATGGTTTTTCAATTCTCCTTCAAATTGACTTATGGACTCAACAGCTTCAACAGTGCTTTGTGGTAACGCAATCCACACTTTAATCACCTCTGTGCAAAAGTATTTCTGTTTCCTCAATTTACGCTCTCCTGTTTCTAAATGCAGTCTTTATTTGCGTTATGAAAACCATTCATAATATTGAAAACCTCAAATTACATTTCTCCCCTCAACTTCTCAGTTCCATTGAACATAGAGTCAACTTATCAAGTGAACTGGAGATAAAAATAACAATTCTTACATTATGTATAGCCCTTTTATGTTAGAAGGAAACATCAAAGCGCTTCACATCAAACATACTTTTCTTCTCTCCAGATTCTTCGTTTTCCTTTGTTCCACTTTCCCCATCTCCAATCTCATCCTCTCTCTGGTCCATTGCTTCAGGCTTGCCGTCTATTTCTGTGCTGGAGCACTCATGTCCATTGATAGCAGACGACTTAGTCTCTGAAGAGGTCTCGCCTGTCTCCTCCTCCTCCTCCTCATCCTCGTTTGAGGCTGCAAGGAGGTGCAGTTTTAAGCCGGTGAAATTGGACAGGAGCAGAAACATGGCTTCGGAGCGAAACAGCTTCATACACTGGGCAAGAATGTCAGGGAGGCCATCTTCATCTGCTTGATGATAGCATCTATAAAACAAACAGATAATAATAATAATCCTTGCATTTGATATACATCTTTGTGACATCTCAAAACGCTTCACAGAATATACTGTAAAGTGAATTGACTGTGTATCTTTTGTGGGCGAAACATGGCAGCCAATTGCACACAGCAGTGTCCCACAAAGAGTCGTGGGTTTAACGACCAAATTATTATTTTTTTTGAAGGAATTATCCCCCCATCAACTAACCAACTGGAATCCTACTTACTGCGAGGGAAACAGGCATGTGGAGTAAGGAAACTGGCCCAATGTTTTGAACAATCTAGACTTGTCACACACCTCATCATCAGCAGGACCATTCACATATATCAATGCCACCAGCAGGACTCGCCTTTAGTCTCCGTCTCTCTACGATTTGGAAGTTGAATTGAGCGAGCGAACATTCTCAAGAGAAGTGCTACACCTACCTCTTGTTAGCAGGTCCCTTTCTCTTCCATTTCATGTCCGTGCTGTGCAGAGCCTCACACACCATCTGAAACTTCTCTTTCTGCACAATGAAGACAAACACAGAGGTTCTATTCAATCCGGGGGGTATATCAATGCCATTGTAATCTTAAGCAACAGTTTAAAGGGAAAACTTCATTCTCATCTGGTATGTCTTGAGAGCATCTCTGTGCCAGCTCCACTACACATGTAGCGCACTTCAGGTAATGGCAAAAATCACCCCCGTCTGGTGTTGTAATGGTTCTCAAGAGTGGACCACAGATGTGTTAATCCCTATACTTGTACATTACACAACAGGTAAATGAATTCCGTCCTGACTGGCACATATGTCACCAGTCAGTGGTAACCTGCATACTGGACATGTTGGACCCACACCAATATTTAAGAGTAAGCCAAACTACACTGAGGAGGTAATTGTTGACCATTTACAATGGGTACAGGCAAGATCTTGTGAGCTAGTTGTGCATGGTAATACATGGGACAAATTTAGAACAAAGTGACTATAAAAATACATTACTTTACACCAAGCCAACATTTATTAGTTATTATCCTTCAGTTCAGGAGTCCTGTAACTCAGTGGTTAGAGCAATCATCTCACAAGCGAGAGACCTGGGTTTGATTCCCAGCAAGGTGAAACTTTGGGTAAACTTCCTTACTCCACACGCCTGATAATAATCCCTCAAGAAAAAAAAAAAAATAATACAATTGGTCACATCAATCCACGAATGTTTGTGGGACACTGCTGTGCGCAATTGGCTACCACGTTTCTCCACAAATATATAGTCAACTCACTTTACAGTATATTCTGTAAACCGCTTTGAGAAATCTAGAAGACATGAAAAGAACTATTTCAAATGCAAGGACTATTATTATTATTACCTTCTAACTGATCACTGTCGAGTTCTTACCTTCAGAAAATTCTTCAGGAGCATCGCCGACTTCTCCTCAAACTCCTCTTGGACCTGGGCCTGTGTTTGCATGTCCATGTAGATCGGACTGATCCAGTCGTAAAGAATTTGTTCCTAAAATGAGAAGAGGGCACAATATAAGGGACAAGGTTAACATGATAAATGTGGCTGTGTGATATCAGAAGCAGGGCTCCATGCTACCATCTTAGTAACCAGCTCCATCCCTCTTCTGTGAGAGGATGTTGCACAAGTTGCTGCTAAATGAATGAAACAGTGACCTCCAGTGGTGGTGAATTGGTAACTGAACCTTTGTTACACTCAAATCCTTACAAATGCCAAGTTACAGAACAGCCCACAGTTTGGGATTGGGTCAGAACTGGAACTGAGTGGTCCAAAGGCCTGGAAGCAAGTGGAATATTTTAAGCCCCCAATATTAGTATCTAGCACTCGCAAACCAAATATAGCCATGGATAGACATAAAGCTCCCGGTGCTCTGCCCTAATAACAGGAGTACTCCTTTCTCACAGCACTAGTGTAACACTTTCACTGCCCACACTAGTCATCCCTGTGGCCTCAATGACTAGGAATTCCTTTACCCTGTAATTCAGATGAAAGTGACACAAGTTTATTCCATGAAGGAATAAAGATGAGATTTTGATCCATCAGCCTGGGCTGGATACAAGTCTGGTCCCTCAGACTGGTCCCAGAGGTGAAAGAACAATGCAGTTGGAATGCAAGTTGAGAAGGAATTAAAATGACTGATACGCTCAGCTTCAGAATGTACAACAACAACTTGCATTTACATAGAGCCCCTCATGCACAGTAGCATCCCAGGGCGCTTATTATTAGATTACTAATAATGCCCTGGTTGGTAAGGTCCAGAAACTTTCACAGTATGGTCATTGACCATTCTAGTGCAGCATGAGATTATTTATCTGATACCCGTTGCTGATCTTCAGAACTAACCACTTGATGCAAAGAACTGATACTTAACGTTGGCTTAATGTTTAAGATTTGTGAAAAGCAGGAATCGGACACAAGGTATCGTCTTGGTAAAATTCTGATGCGGACGTGACATGAAGAGTGCATACGTAAATGCCATATGATAACCAAGTAATGTATAAAGGGTTAGTAAGTCCATACTTGAGCTGAGCTGAAGACAATCAAGAGATGTCAGTTTCGGGACAGGCAAGTCACGTATTGTGTTTTTTCTTCTGTTCTGTACTACTGGCTAATACAATCTAACTTTGTATGAAGTTTCTCCTGTATGAGATCTATCAGGTCCTAATAAATTTATTGCGTATAATATCGTTCAGTTCTCATGATGATTTGAGAGTTCAATAAGAACCCAGCAATGCGTTGATCCATTGTATCATCCAACTCCCTCCCACCAAAGAAGGCAATTATTGGAATCAGACTGAGACTGGCACGACAGTCTGACTATCCAAACTGGTGGACAAAAGAATCCTGTTGTTGGTGAGTGATGTGGTGGCATCTGTACTTACATCGCATGCAATATGTTGGTGCCGAGGAGACAGGGATTCAATGTAACGAGGTGGCCTCTCCAGCGAAGGCCCATGAAACCAGCCACTGACAGAAAGGCGGCATTTCCCTTCTGAGACAACTTCAGACACCTAGTGCGGATAGGATCACCACATCAAATAATTCCAACAAATAGCAGCAAACGACATTGAGTAACAACTTCAATAACATGTTAAAAAGACACTCATTATATGTCGGACAGACCCTTACAGCAACAGACAGAGAAGACATTCATCCCATTCTGCTGGATATATTCCTAGGATCCAGAGGTGAAATATTAGCACTCTATCCCACTACACAGTGCATAATCAATAGGAATCAGACTGGATTGGATGTATTTATTGTGACTTTTAAATATCACACCCCATTCAAATTGTGATATTTGCAACACAAGCAAACTACAAACTCAAAAAGCCAGTGAAATGCTAAAAGAGGCCAGAGAACCGATTGCAATGGCCTCTGGGCGTTACCCCTGAACTTTGCCAGCTTGTGGGAACATTTGGTTCTGTGCAATGCTGATCTTAGATGTGTTCTCAGGCAATGATATTAAGTACAATAGTCAAGCCTGCAAACAAAGAACTCTACATACATTACAATTTCCTACAAACATATCTACTGTATATATGAAATTAAACCAAGAACTCTGAAGGAACTATGTTCAAAATACATTCCAGGAAAGATATATAGATTCACTGCATGTAAAAAGCAGGTTAAGTAAATATAACTAACAGCGTGATTAACCCTAATCTTTCACTTGACTTTCCCCTGTGTTAAGCTGTACATAGTTCTCGTTTTCCTTTCCATCATTTGCTTACATCTTTACAGTCCATACACTTTCCCCTTTGCTTTCTTTAGAGTTCAGCTCACACTCTTCTCATTATTTTTTTAACTGGTTTCCTTCATTTATTTTACATGCTACAATCATTTTGAATACCGCAGCTGCCTCAATCTGATTCACAAATGGAGCCTGAAAGTTCTCTATTTATTTAAAAGTATTTTTATCATCACTGGTACCCACTACTCAGTTTATCATGAACCCAACCACAACTTTACCTGATGATAAGACACAGGAGACACCTCAAAGAAAACCAGTGTGTTCCACGAAGGAGTCAGAGACTTGACAATCTGACGAGGCTGATAATGTTCTGTAAAAGAGCACCTGAGTTCAGTACCGTATTCTTAAATGCAATGTCTCCAACACCCACTGATGGCATTTTACTTTAATGCACAGAATGAATTGTAAACATCATTCTCACTTGAGCTTTGAGTTCAACACCAAGGAATCTCATCATGTCTGTGAGATATTGGACAGATTGTAATCACCAACACACGCAGGTAGGTAAATAGACTAGTCTCATAGTGACTCCTCAAACATAGGCAATGGTCAAATGTGTAAATGAAGCTCACCATCCACATCATAAAGGTCCAAGGTGCCTCCATCACATGTCTCCCACTCAGGAACAAGGTACAGGATGAATGCAAATCTCCGACCCTCTAACTCATCGTCGTGGCAGAGTAAGACATCTGCAAAGGCATCAAATCTAAAGTTCAACAACATTCACCTCAGGAATGCTGACTAGTTCTTCATGTTTTCAGATCTCTTACATTCCCAGATTTTAAAACGATTTTCTATCAACTTTTACTGAATTTCACTCAAAAATGGACGGATTTCCCAACTGATAAGATCTTCCAAAAAAATTATGTTTATATCAGTCACAATCAACGAGGTTCTCTCTCAAGGGTCTTGACGTCAATGGTGATGTTCCTATTCCATTGCAGTTGAGATCAGATAGCGAAGCACTGACCACTGAACAACCTGGGACTGATAATCCAGTAGCTCAATGCTGCACTGTGAAACATGTTTATCCTGTGGGCTATCAGTGGAATGTCATACATTAGTGGAACTTCATTCTCTGCCTTGTGGAAGTGGAACTTTGTTTTGGTTCCATAAATTTACAGCCAATGAAATAACGACTTCAGAAGAAATGGCTGTTGGCCCCACTTCTGGGTTGTCAGATCACCTTCCTGTGAAGGAAGCCAGCTGAACAGCCGTGACCGTTCCCATGAGCATTTCCTGCACAAGGAGTCATGGCAGACCGGCCAGCTTCTTACACGCATCAATCCCAACGCTCGCAAAACAGTCTGGCTCTATTGTACTGCGTACCTGTATATTCATACATAGCACAAGATAAATCCACAGTATTTTCCAATTTGACCTCAGTGATGTCAGTCAGCCACCTCCGAAAGTCTTCAAAGAGCACGTTTCTGCAAAAAGTTTAAGGTGAATGATTGTATCCATGTATCTGCTGAATTAGAGCATACCCTACAAGGCATTTTTGCACATATGCATAGAACCATAATAATAATCCTTGCATTTGATTTAGCGCTTCATCATGTCTTCGAGACGTGTCAAAGCTCTTCAGAATACACTGCAAAGTGAATTGACTATGTATTTTGTGGGTGAAATTATTATAGCACAACAAACCATTTGGCCCTTTTTTGTGTTGAGGTTTGCTCATCCAAGAAGCCATCTATCCTAACCCTGATTCCCTGCTCTTTCCCTGCATCCTCTGTATGTACTTCTCCAATTCTTTATTAAATGGGCCAACTCTTTGCTCTAATACCCACACTAAAATATCAGTCCATACCTTGACAACTCTCTTCTGAACCTCTCCTTTTACTCTTCTAGTCCCACGCACGCCTATAAAACAATCACTGCACCTTACAGTATATAATGTGAAGTACTTTGGAACTTCCTCCCAGCAAATGTAAGGATTGTAATTATATTATGGTCGTAATTGTGAATTTATGCCCTCCTGTCCTCAAATTCCCCTATCAGCTGAGTTTTCCACGATTAATTGTCTCAAGTCCTTTCAATTTTAAACACCTCTCCATATCACCCTCAATCCTATCTGCTCCAACAGAAGAATCCAAACCTCTCTGGCCTCTCCTCACAGCTATATCCTCCAGTATCATCTTTGTGAACTTACTCTGCACTGCACCTTCTCCATAGCTAGAATATCTTCTCTTTCGCAAATATGTTTGAATGTGAAGGTGTTCTGGAGCACACTTTTCAGTGTGTGGATAAAGATTTTAACACATCAGTGTTAGAGAAATGGTCACGGACTGGTCACGACACGAATGGGGAATAGCACCTCATTTAATCACAAGTGGCAGGAGTGGGGAGCCAGATTATCAGGACTGACATATAGTGAAATGCAGGAAATACAATGAAACACAGCAAAGCTGACACCTTCACACACAACAGAGTGAAAAGTAACATGGCTAATAGCTTCCATCCACAAAATAGCACAACTTGGAAGAGTTTTTATTTGGTGGTTGAAACATTTTTATCAAAAAAATTATTGAACCGTATCTGCCAGTCAATCCTTCAATTGATATTTTACCCTATATTTGATCAAAATACCTATCTCGGCCTTGGAGCACTGATTTACATCCGACTGATTTACATACAACAAGTCAGAGACTTCTCACAGCAGAAAGAACCAATGCAGCAGATAGGCAGAAGGAATAATGATGATAATAAAAAATGCAGAATTCACCATTTAAATTCAGTGGCTCAACAGGAGTTCAAGCCATGTCCCAGAAAAGACTATGATCAAACAGACTGATGTTACAAGCGGGGTTCTGGAGCGAGATCAAAGGGTTCCAACGTGAAAGGCGCTTTACAAGTGTAATTTTGTTATTGTTGTTATTGTTCAACGATCACTGTAACCCACCTGAGTCCTACGATGTGATGCTCTTTACTCTCCTTCAGATCACCTGACTATGAGGAAGAAAGATATAGAATAAAAACAGATCTACTTATATACAGAACTTTATATATAGAACCCGTCCATTAGTCTTTTGTAAAGTCATTTCATACAACACAGGAGATCACAGAGGAAATCAGTGTGCTAATATAATTTACAATCAGAGATTACTTTTGCAGTACACCTCTTCCAATCACAAACAAAGCTCCCCGGGATGGTTCAGCAAATTTGTTCAGCGACTACCTGAGCCATAAAAGTTTACAACGTGCCAAGTTCGATCCCTAATCTCTGCTGAATTAGTCAATATCAAGTCGGACAACCCTTGGAACAATACAGTTGGTCCAACTACTGTCGGGAGTAGGGAAGAGATACAGGATTTATCCAGCAGCTTCCCCTGGAGTGTATGTGAGAACATTGGGTGAGGACACAGTCTAACTCAGCTGTGATGTAACCAACAGTCTAATAATAATAATTCTTGCATTTGATATAGCACCTTATCGCATCTTCGCGACGTCTCAAAGCGCTTCACAGAATATACTGTAAAGTGAATTGACTGTATATTTTGTGGGTAAAACGTGGCAGCCAATTACACACAGCAATGTCCCACAAACAGTCGTGGATTTAGTGATCAAATTATTATTAGGTTTTTTTTGAATGGAATTATTATCCCCGGAAAAGCGATCTGCAAATCGACTAACAACTGGGTTCCTACTTACTATGCTAGGTGAACAGAAGTGTGTGGAATAAGGAAACTTGCCCAATGTTTCGCCCTGCCCGAGAAGCAAACACAGGTCCTCTCGCTTGTAAGGAGAGTGCTCTAACCACAAAGCTGCAGGACTCCAAGCTAATAGCCTTTACACTTAAATATCTTGGCTCACACATCAATCACCACTTAGGGCAACGATAGCCTGTGAAACTATACGCTAATAGAAAACAGAGGAGTCAAACATCCTCAGGATGTCTTCAGGGAGTTAATACTATTTCAATTCTTTTTTTTAAAGTTTCATCAGCAATAAATGGCAGTTTCAGACCAAACAACATTTGACAATCAAGCGAAAACAACGTGACCAACAGTTCCAGAACTTCATTTATAAACGTTTGCTGCCGACTTCATCAATCCTACATATTTATCCCCCTTTCATTCACGCCTCAATCTCTCTCAGACCTGCTGGAACTTGTAAAGATCATTGGATTTTTCCTGGAAGCGCTGCTGCAGAAGCTCATTATGAAGTCCGTCCAGAAAGGGTTGGCTCTGGATGAAGTTTGGTATCACACAGTGTGGGAATGGCAGCGTATCCACTGCCAAGCCTTGCTCTGTGAAGGGAAGAGCAGAACGGTTCAGGCACTTTTACAGTTCTGCATCACTCCGCAAATAACAACAACAAGATTACATTTGTGTAGCGCCTTTCACGTCGGGAGGACGTCCCAAGGAGCTGGACAGTACTTCAGACCCGAGCTGGGGTCATGGGGGGGGGGGGGGGGGGGGGGGAAGAGAAGGGAGAGGGAGGGGGGTGACCGATGGCATGGTCGAAAAGGAGGGTCTTGAGGCGGGACTTGAAGGAGGCTGAGAAGGGGGCGAGGGTTGGCAAACTCGTGTTGCAAATAAAAGGCAAACAAGTGGAAATGTTTCCTACCAAACGGTTAAATTTGGTTACAAAACGTTTCGCTCACAAAGCGTACGGTCAATTCACTGTACAGTGTATCCTGTGAAGCGCTTTGAGACGTCTCGAAGACGTGATAAGGCGCTGTATCAAGTGCCAGGTTTATTATTATTATTACATGGTTGGGACTAGACATTTTGTGCCCCCACAACTACCGCCCCCCCCCCCACACACACAAACATAACCCCCCACACACACACATTCCCCCTACACAAACATAACCCGCCCCCCCCCCGCCCGACACACACACACACAAACATACCCCCCCCCCACGCACACACACAGATAGCCCCCAGGAGCGGACAGGGTGGGTGAGAAGGCGCGAGACCCGTGAAAGGGTTTGGGAAGCGAGGCTGAGAATTTTGAACTGCATCCCCCGGGGCGGGAATGACCCGCACACGGGGCTGTGTGAGGGGGAGAGGGAGGGGTGTGAGGGGAGAGGGAAGCGGTTGTGGGGGGAGAGGGAGGGAGAGAGGGAATGTGAGGGGGAGGGGGGGAATGTGAGGGGAGGGGGGGGTGTGAGGGGGAGGGGGGGGTGTGAGGGGGAGGGGGGAGTGGAGGGGAGGGGGGGGGTGTGAGGGGAGGGAGGGGGGTGTGAGGGGGAGAGGGAGGGAGGCTGTGTGAGGGGGAGAGGGGGTGTGAGGGGGAGGGGGGAATGTGAGGGGGAGGGGGGGAGTGTGAGGGGGAGGGAGGGGGTGTGAGGGGGAGGGAGGGGGGTGTGAGGGGGAGAGGGAGAGGGAGGGTGTGAGGGGGAGAGGGGGTGTGAGGGGGAGGGGGGGAATGTGAGGGGGAGGGGGGGGTGTGAGGGGGAGAGGGAGGGAGACTGTGTGAGGGGGAGAGGGGGTGTGAGGGGGAGAGGGAGGGAGTGTGAAGGGGAAAGGGAGGGAGAGGGAGAGGGAGTGTGAGGGGGAGAGGGGCCAGTGTGAGGAGGAGTGTGAGGGAGGGAGGGGGAGGGAGGGGAAGTGTGAGGGGAGAGGGGGTGTGAGGGGGAGAGGGAGGGAGAGGGAGGGGAGAGGGAGGGGGGTGTGAGGGGGAGAGGGAGGGGGGGTGTGAGGGGGAGAGGGAGGGGGAGGGAGGGAGAGAGGGACACCAGTTGCGGAGTGATGGGTAATCGGCAGTTTGTAGAGGGAAGTGTTGAGGATCCCGCAACGGGGCTTTCCCCGGACACCCCGCGGGGTCCCCGCCCCCCGCGCACCATGGCAGTACTCGAGCCCCAGGCTCCAGGCCTCGCTCACTCGCTCCTTCGCTTCCCAGAGCAGTGGGTTCAGCTCCACCCGCTCCTGCCGCTTCATCAGCCGTTTCCTGCCGACCCCATTCCCGAGGTCCCCTCGCGGCCTCTTGGAGCTCATCCTTCGCGCCCCCTCCCGGCCCGGTCCCGCCCCCCGGTCCCGCCGCGCTGAGCCCCGCTCCGAGAGCCCCGGCCCCCGCTCCACAACTACATCTCCCGGCAGCCCCGCCCCGCCTCGGCCCCGGCGGCTCCCTGCACAGCGACACCTGCCGGCGGGTGCTGCAGTCGCTGCTGTAGGCGCAGCGCTACCGCCCAGTGGTGGAGCACAGGAACTGCAGCTCCTCCAGGGCTTGGGAAAAAAAAGCGAACAGCGCAGAATAATGATGATATTTGGGTTTGTTGTTATATATACAGCTCCTGTACGGTCAAAACTGCTCAAAAGAGCTTCCCACATAATGTGTCAATTGCCCACCTGAAAATCAACTTCTTTGACTGCTTCTATGCTCAGATCCCCCTCTCCCTTCGCCTCCCAGCAAATGCCACTGTAAACGAGTCCCAGATATAATAATAATAATAATCCTTGCATTTGATATAGCGCTTTTCACGTCGGGAGGACGTCCCAAAGCGCTTCACAGAACACACTGCAAAGTGAATTGACTGTATATTTGTGGGCAAACGCGGCAGCCAATTGCGCACAGCAATGTCCCACAAACAGTCGTGGATTGAAAATGACCAATTTATTATTGTTTTGGAGGGATTATTATTAGGCTCTGTGTGGAGTAAGGAAACTTGCCCAAGGTTTCACCCTCTGCCTGGAATTGAACTCAAGTCTCTCACTTGCAAAGCGAGTGCTCTAACCACTGAGCTCCAGGACTCCATATAATCTCCGTCAAGTGCATTATAGAAATGCAAGCTTTTGTTGTGTAGCAGCTGTATTATATATGTAGGCAAATGCAGCCCACTTGGCCGCAGCAGCAATGTTCCATCAGTCATGTTCAAGACGGACACCAATTTAGCCGGAGCAGCAGAGGTCTTACAAAGAAAGTTTGCAAGGGTATGTGCAAGTGAAGGTTAATACAAATAAATGCAAGTTACTACAAATAGGAAACACATGTACTCTATGAGTCAGATAAAAACTGAAAGGGAACCAGGAGTATTAATTGACTTATTGTTCACCATGTTAAAACACTGTGAGGCAACTATAAACATGGTAAACTGGTTGCTGGATTATATTGCTAAATCAGTTGAGTGCAGATCCCCAAAAATCATACTTCCACTACATAGTGCTCTTTTTAGGCCGCACATAAGGGGGCTGTCCAGGCCTTAGAGGTCGTGCAGAGAACAAGTAAGGATGATCTTCAGGTGTTAGAGGAATGAATAATGGGTTAATCAGTCTTGAAAGAACATTTCTCGGAAGCAATCCTATGGAACCATGTAAGATTTGAAATATGGTTGAGACAGTTTTCCCAGATTAATATTTTTGGATGCACCAAACAGCAGAAGAGGGTTTAGGGTTGCAAAGCGGAATTTCAAGATAGATTTCAAGCCAGAAAATGTTTCTTTACTCACAGTAATTGACTGGAACAGATTACCAGGAAAGGTTGTTGAGACCAGGTCACAGGATATATATATATATATATATACACATACACGTACACATAAACCCAATGAAGTGATGGGAGAACAGTCAGATCGATATTCTCGAAGGATGAGGTCAAAAGGACTTCTTCATCTGAAGTATCCTGGTAATCTTGTGAAGATTATTGGGCAGGACATTGACAAAATCCCTTCTCAAATACTGCTGTGGGATCTTTAGTATTCATGTGAACAGGCAGATGGATGTAAACTTAGTGTCAGACATGAAGGACACCACCGACAACATAGCTCTCCCACAGCATTGCACTAGTTTCAGCCCGGCCTGGAAGCTCAACATTTCCACAAGGTTCCAAGGTAAAGGCAAGAGCACTGCCATTAGAGTTAGATGACATCTTTGTTTTTGACAAATTTGATTAGATACAAATGAGGAAAATGCCTGTTTGATTCTCCAGTCTGAAATAGGTGCTAAGAAAATTACATTCTATGATGTCAAAGTGCTTCACCAGTAATCAAGTAGTTGTAGACTAACCCAATAGAAAATGCAACTGCAGAGCATCATTTTCTAAGGTTACAAGAAATCAATGTCAATCCTCAAGGTGATTCAAGTGAAAGAAATACACAATTATAATGAAATAGAGCTCAGGGGACAGCTTCATTTGCATTCACTAACTCCTGAGAAACTGATCTGTACTGATCAGTGCATATGCTGTATTTGCTAATGATTGAATCCCATGATACTTGAGGTAGAATAGCCAGTTAAGAGAAACTGGATTGCAGTGCCCTTATGTGGTTAGCAACTGTTGCTACAGCAGACTGCTTGTTATTTCAAACAACCTATTCAACAATAATCCTTGCATTTGATATTGCACCTTTACAAGTTGTTGAGACATCTCAAATCACTTCACAGGATATACTATAATGGGATTTGATTGTGTATTTTTTAGGTGAAACACAACAGCCAATTGCACACAGAAATCTTCCACAAATATCTATGGAGTGACCGATATTTGAGGCATTGTTGGTTAGGACTCTGGGCGAAACTCCGTTCTCTTTTCAAATAGTGCCATGAGATCTTCAACATCCACCTGAAGGGGCAGACAGGGCCTTGGTTTAACATCTCATCTGAAGGACAGCACCTCCAACAACACAACACCCCCAGCACTTCATTGGAGTGTCAACACTATGCTTGAGATTCTAAACCAAGCTGAGATTTCCATGCATCCTACCAACGCTTGGAAATCCCAGATATATTGTTGGAGTGGAATGCTCCCTCTCTCCCTGGAACATCACATCCTGCTTACCAAATTCCGGAAAGTATTAGGCATAGGTTGGAGACCGGAGTGCTGCAATGGAGTCTAACCAGCTAAAAACACATAGTTTGTCCAGCAAAACTTTCCCGCAGCTTGTCCAGCTGGGAGCACCCTGCACATTAGGGCTTTGGCTTGCAGGGTTAACAGGAGCTGAGTGGAATGGCTCCCTACCCCAGTGATTGGTCTGCACTCCAAGTCCTGCTAATGAGCCAGGCTGACTGCTGTCATAAGCAGTGCCCTAGAATACTGCGGACCTGCCTCACTCAGGAACCGGACTAGAGACCACCACAAGAGGGATGGCTCGATTCTGACATTCCATTACCAGGCATGTCAGTTCAGCTCCAAGGAGACCCTACTTACCTTCTCTTCCCCCCCCCCACAGTTAAGGTTCTCTACCAAACCCAATGATTATTATGAGAATCATAATATGACGAATGACTTGAAGGAAAAATTTCCAGACCATAATGTTGATGCACAGCTATATGGCTACATGAAAAACAGAAAGGAGATAAACAGCATTCTGTGCCAATGCAGCAGAGGACCCAAGATCAATGTAATGCAGCAAGAAATAAACAATAAACTTGGGGACATGAGGGATGTCAATTAGGAGAGTAGCAATGAGCAGGATTTAGAATTCACTGAGCAGGTTATCAGCAAACTTTAATTAGCATCGCTCACCCAGGGTATCAGTAATAGGCTAGACTTAGCAGGGAGAAAGAAAAAAATCAACCAGCGTAATGGCAGGTGATAAAGCATTATATCAAATGCAAGTAGTATTATTATAATAGAAGCAAGAGTGCTCCCTGAGCCAAACTGACAAATTAGTGGGCGAAAAACAATTAATTACACCAAGAATTCAAGGCACCCAGCGGAGCCTTTCGGGATTTTCCTTTTAAAAAACGGATAACTTTAATCCACAGGCTGACAGTTTATTCATAAATATGCATCAAAAACTAAATACGTTATAATCGGAAGAAAAACAGAAGCCAAACAGCTCCAGACAGGCAGCGTTGCTCACCTGTAAAAATCAGAACATAGAAAAGGCAGACTTTCCTCTGAAAATACAAACGTTATCTTCCCCCTTGAAGAGTGTACATCGGACAACAGCATAAAATAAACAGCTTTCTGTAAATTATTGCAGGTCCAAACAACCCAATGGAGCTTTAGGTGCAGTGTCCATTGTAGAGCATGTGGGGCAATCTCAGATACAGTAGTTGTTCTTTGGATGCTGGTCAACAGAAAGGTTTGTGCACTTATGTCGGACCAAGAATTAAATCCAGACAGCAGATCTAACTTTTACTTGTTCCTCACGAGTTGGAAGAACAAAAAAAAAAGCACAAACCACTCAAGTCTGTTCCGATCCTCTCGGATCTTGCAAAGAGCGCCCAAGCTGTACAAAAAGAGCCAACAAGATGCTATGCTGCCCGATGTACTGGAGACATTTTTCAATAGTAGTGGGGAAACCCAGTTTCTTCTGTTGCGATAATGGCTGTAAAGAATGTACCATTGAAGTTCAGCAAAGTCCCTTGGTGTTCAATTCAAAGGTATATCTGGCTGAGCTATTGAGACAAATGATTTTGATCATTATTCAATCCATTTTGACTAGTTCTACAAAATAACCCCAAATGTCTGTAAATAAGCACAATTACCAACCCTATTAAATAGTGAAAAAACCTCCATAAACCTGTGGTGTAGTGCTCAACATCTGTCACTCAATAGCATATCACACCCGTGACAGAACAAAAAAAAGTACACGATTGCACAGCGTTTCCAGTGATGTTCAAGATTTGTCCAGAAATTGCTTCAGTCCAGACATTGGAGCAATTCACTTTCTCAAGATCATGCATTTCAATTCCAAGTTTGCTTTACAAGAAGCAAATGTTTTGCTTAGAAATAAGTGAAATTAGTCAGCAAAGGTTGTAACGTACATCCTGAGAGCTATTGAAATAAATAATTGGTGTGTACTGGTCCTGCATTTTGAAAAAACACTTGCAGCTTCAACAAGAATTAGAAAATCACAGATTTAAAAAAGCATTCCAGCCCACTAGAATGAGCTTCAGTTGTTTTGAAACCTTACTTCCTTGAGGATTTTTGGTGTCTCTACGACAGTCGCAAGTCTTACCAATTTCAGTTATGATGAGACTAACATTTGGATCAAGACAGAAGTATAAAGGATACATTTTGGACATGGTTCGTACTTTCTGAATTAAAGACAAACATATTCATAAAATTCATTTTTCCTTGAAATCACTTTGTATATTGCAATTACATTAAACGTTTTACATCCAACCCCTTATAACACTGCCCTCGATGTAACCTTTGGTGCACAAGACTTACCCTGGACAGTTTGATCTACTGCAGATATGAGGCACTTGTCTACCCGCAACAGAGATGCTCTCACTCAAGGGCTGGAAAAAGGGGTGGGTTCCAGCCTCACCCTGAGTAAATCATATGATTTAAACTAACCACAGAAATAGGCACCCGTGTAAAACAGGCAGGAATTAATTGAGAAAAGAAGGAATGCAGCTCTCTGCCTCAGAGACGTTAACTGCACTCAACTTGCTCCGAGCTAAGACAGATATATGGTGCCTAGATCCTTACTAGCTAAATACAGACATTAATATTTAAAATCTGTACAATCTGACAGCTGCACGACAGCAGTGCAAGTTTCTAAACATTTACTCATAACAAAGCAGGCGTGCACATAACTGGAACCAATTAAAACCCTCAAAAATACAGTACGTTTGTCCATTTAATAAAGTAAAAAAAGCAAACAGTTACAAGCTGCACTCAAGTTTTTTTTTATATAAAAAGTCCAGTTAAATTTCTCTACAACTTCAGGGTTGATGCACGGTGTACTCAATGACGTAGAACAAAACCACTAGTTGAGCACTGGTCAAGTCCTGGGATTTATTCTGGCTTGGCGATGGTGAGACAAACCCAGACCTATGCATTCACCATTCCCATTTTCAACTTCAAGTGAGGTCCATAAACTTCAGTTGTAAATGAAATTAAACCTACAAGAGGAGAGGAATAATAGCATGAGACAGGTTCAGTAGAATGCTGCTGCTTTTACATTACAAGTTTGTTCAGAGGTAAGCTGAACTCTAGAGGCAAGTTGTGACATGAAAGATACTATACAAATGTAATCTTGTTGTTACAATGAAAATAGCCAATTCTCTCTACAGTGAATTTGGGAAACATGGAGTCACATCCATTGCCTCCATATGGTTTAGATTGTGAAACAGAGTCATTGCTAGAGTATCCACACCCAGTGATATTCCCACCTAAAGCAACAAATTGATATAATGTTAATTGTCACAACTACAAAGGTTGCACATGCACAAGATGCTATTAGAAAGTCTTTTTTTTCTAACCTCCACAACCAAAATATCAACATGGAAAAAGAAAAAGACCAAAAACAAAGCCACTCATTCAGAAGTGTGGAGACAACATAAAAATAATTGTGGAAGGTCAGACTGATTACACTGACTCCCTCTCCTAGAACTGAGCACTGAACCACAGATCGGCCCACTCTTTTCTTACCTGCTCAGAAGCTGAGGAAGGCTGGAGATGATGGGTCCATAACCGGGCGCATTGTCATACAGCTCAAATAAGGGGGCCGCAACCAGCTTATAATTCTTTGGCACCGCAAAGAGGGCTGCAATCAAAGGCAAAACACAATCAGAAACTACAGCATTCAGCAAATCAACTCATTAATCTAGCCCAGTACGACTCGCTCAAGTATTCTCAACCCACTTACTCAAATAGACAAATGGGACAGACTCATTGCACAATTCCATCACTTCCCTTTCTCTGCCTCAATATCTCATCAGGGTGTGCCTTCATACATGATGGGACCAGATTATTGCATTATTCCATTCTTCTTGTACAATTCAGACAGAGCTTTCAACAGGTTAATCAACTGGGTAGTATGTCTTATATGTACTACACAGGCAGGTTCACTGGCTAATTCTCATCTCCCAAAACTGGTGACACTGAGACTAAATGTCATCCTGCTGTAAAGGAAACAAAAAGCAAAATTGTTCTGAGCACAGAACAAAGACAATACCTTTGCAATCCCACACCAAATAACATTTCAACTCCCTCCTCCAACCTAGCTAACGGAGGAGCAACTATAGGATTGTCTTTAAAATTAGTGCAGAAGAGCACATTAAATTGTGGCCACTTGGTCCATGCAGTTTTAATAACGAAGACTTAATACTGAGCATCTCCCATCTCCAGGTGGGCAGACTGCAGGGATCCTCAACAAATATGGGTTTGAAGTTCACCTCTCATGGTGTCAGTGCAGGTCACCATCAGGAACATCTGGAGTGTAGACTCCAGATGTTGGCAACAATAAAATCCTACATTCACAAAACTCCAGGATCACATTCCTTCTGCAGCCTCACACATACCTTTTTCTTGTAGCTGTACCAAGAACAATTTCTTGTGCTCCTTGGGTTTAGTGATGTGAGCTGGAATGTATGGATACTGAGAGAGGAAAAAATATATTAGACGATAGCGAGCACTGTAAGGTTCTGAATACTTGTCCAGCTAGGACTAACCTATCTGTTAGGGCTTTCGCTTGCAGGTTAACAGAAGCAGAGTAGTGGGGGGGGGAGAAAAACATTCCCTGATGACTGATTTGCCTCTCCCACCAAGCTGATTGGTCTCTCATCAACAGAGCCTTGGATTGCTGTGGACCCACCTGGCTCAGGAACTCGACTACTGAGACAGTCACAAAGGATTGATTTAATTCTTATATCATTACCAAGCACGGTCTAATTAGATGGATGCTTGTAGAGGAATCGGAGAAGGTGGAAGGAGGGTGATCGAAGGCACGATCGAAGAGGAGGGTCTTGAGATGGGTCTTGAAGAAGGCAAGGGAAGGGGCAAGGCGGAGAGACTGCGGGATAGAGTTCCAGAGGGTAGGGGCAAAGTGGCTGAAGGCCCACCCGCCAATGGTGGGCAGGCGAGTTGGGGGACATAAAACAGGCCGGAGCCCACTGAGTGGAGGGAGCGGGCAGCTTGGTAAGAGGTTAAGAGTTCACAGAAGTAGGGCGGGGAACAAGGCCATGGAGGGCTTTAAAGGTGAGGACCAGGATTTAGAACTGTTTCCTTTGTGTGATGGGAAGACAGTGGAGTCTGGCAAGGATAGTGGTGATAGGGTCACAGAGCTTGGTGTGTGAGAGGACACGGCCTGCAGAATTCTGGATGATTTGAAGCCTGTAGAGGGAGGAGTTGGGTTTGCATAGCCAAGCCTGAATGTTATGAATGCTTGTATGAGGATTTTGGTGGTCTGCGGTGTGAGACAATGGCAAAGCCGAGCACTATTGCGGAGGTGGGGGAAGGCAGAGTGGGTCAAGGCACGGATGTGGGGTAGAAAGGATAGATGAGGGTCAAACAAGACGCCAAGCTTCCAGACTGGCTCGGTGAGGTGTGCATCCTTGGATGGTGATGCTGTCAGCACCTGAGGTATGGAGGCGCTGACGGGAGCCAATCAGGCCTCAGTCTTGTTGCTGTTCAACTGAAGAAAGTTAGCTCTCATCCAGGACTTGATGTCTGATAGACATTCTGTCAGGACAGCGATGATCCTGGAATTGAGGGTGGAGGTAGAGAAATAGAATTCAGTGTCATCTGCATACATGTGGAAGTTGACCCCATGTCTGCGGATGATGTCACCAAGCAGGATCATATAGATATTGAAAAGGAGGGGACCAAAGACAGAACCCTGAGGAATGTCGTTTGTCACTTTGACCAAAGCTGTTTCTGTGCTGTGAGCAGCATGGAAACACGATTGGAGGGGTTCGTGAAGGGAGTGGCGGGAGAGGACGAAGCGAAGCAACATCTCATTCCAGGACCTTGGAAAGGAAAGGGAGGTTGGAGATGGGGTGGTAGTTTGAGAGCAGGGATGGGTCCAGGGAGGGGTGATGATGGCTGTTTTGAAAGGGGTGGGGTAGGTATGGCATCCAGGGAGCAGGTGGTCGGTTTCATGAAGATTATAGTGGTGGTGAGAGGAGTGGAACATAGGTTCGAAAGTGTGAATGGGATGATGGGTAGGGCCTGGGGTGTGAGGAGGAGATCGGGAGGGGTGGTAGAAGTAGTATGGGATTAGATTAGATCTGCATGGAAAACACCAGCCCAGAACTGATGGGCCAAATAGCCCATTTTTATCCTGTAACATTCTACAATTTTCTGCTGGGCGCTAAAATGTACCACTTTAAGCAATCCAAGCAGATCAATGGAATGGATTCCCACAGTAACTGAATTCTCTGCCAATATTCAGGATCTATCCTGACAATCTCCTGTTCTACTCACCTGAGGTGGCTCAAAGTTCGGCCTCCACCAGTTGCCAATGCAGTCATCTATTACCCAATCTTGCTGCACACCATCTTGCCGTCCCAGAATCTGAAAATAATCACACTTGCATTTTCGTTTGACCCTCAATGTTGATATCTTGCTTTCCCAGCAAGAGCAGAGTAAGCATCATATCCACATAGCTTCTCTATCAAGATGATCAGTGTTAGTCACATCATCCCAATAAATTCTTATGTTTTGTTCACTGCAGATGCTATAGTGCATTTTCAAATCACACAACATACTGAACAATGTTGGATCTACCCATACAGCAAAAGTGATTTTTTAAATATAAACAGATTAAATGCACACTGTAAATGTAGGGGAGAGAAAGTTCCCTCTTTTCTGAAGCAGAAGAATTTGATAGTTGACCAGATCAACCATTAAATGGGCTCATCATTAAATTACCTGCAGAGCACAACCATACCCTGCAAATGTAAAAAGTCCACACATTTTGCTATGAAAGACACTCTCCCCTAACCATGTAAAACATTTCCAATTAACCAACAATATTCCCTTAATTTACAGGAATCTGTAATCGCAGATGAGGTACCCAGAGCATCAGCAGTCATCCTTGTCTATACGCTAACTACATCAGCGTTTTGCCTATGGCCTCCCCTCCCCCTAACTTGGGGGGCTTTCAATTCATAACTAGAACTTCACACCTTTTTGAGAACATTGTAAAGTGGATCATTGCACATTCCACAGCTAGCCAGCAAATGATCTGCCAGTTTCTATTTGATCCGAATGCCTAGTTTCCTTACCTCTGTCATCAGACGCTTCAGGCCCTCGACTTCATCTTCTCCAGGATTAAGCTCTCCACCAGGGCTGAGGGGAAAAGCCAGAAACCATACACAGTAAGTCCATCTCCCTGCAACAAGCTTTTACAATGCACTCCACTGGTGTATATGTGCAACAAGTCAATTTCCTGCTAGGTGGCACAGACTAGGTGAGCCAAATTGCCTGTTTCAACTTTGTACATTCGATTCCATATGTGTATGTAAATGCAACTTTAGAAGACCATCCTTAACTACAACAGTGACACTTTCCCCACTTCCCACCCCAGCTACAAGAGTAGCAAGCTATGAACAGGTTGTCCTACAGTGCCCACAGCTATTAGAACCTAGATGGAAATATTTGCCATATAAAGATTGAATAAAAAAAATCTCCCAATTGAAGGAACATTGTCACCCACACAATATCCCAAGCTCTATCCTTGGCCCCATCATTTTACTTATTTACACACTACTCTCAGTGAGATCATCGCAGATATAGGACCAACTTCCACATGTATGCAGACGACACCCAAAATCTAATTTTCCCTTAGCTATGACCCCAGGTTCACTGATGTTCTGTCCACTGCTTGCGGACAGGCCTAACTGAGTGCCGACTTTCTGCATTGAATGTTGATAAGAGAGAAGCCATACTCCCTAGCTACCATCAAAGGTTTCTCACCTGCAGCTCTCACCTGTGCCCATCTGTTAGACCAAATGAACCTTGCTACAATCTAGGTTCAATCCCCACCTGTCCTTCCTACACCACGTTTGGTCCCTGACCAGACTACATCACCCGTCTCCAACCGTACCCCACATCCAACTCAGCTGAAACTCCTATCCAGGCATTCTTTACCTCCTGTCATGATTTTTTCAATGCCTTCTTCTCTTACCCTAGCACCACCATTCATAAAATTCAATTAATTCAAAACTCTACCACCCATATCTTTGCCCATCTAATCTATGCAGGACAATCATCTCTCACGCCCTAGGTCTCAGCATGTTCAAATGCTCCTCCACTGAACCCCATTACTGATATGAGTCCACTCACAGTTTAAAGAAGGTTGTACCCAGCTGAAGCAAGAGTACATGAGGTAGCCTGTGCTCGTGCACAATCAGCACCCCCTCCACTGTGCGCCGCATGCCGATCTTCTCAAACTCCTCCCGCATGCGCTGGAACCGGGCCGCCACCGAGCTGTCCTTTTCATACAGGGGCTCCTTGGTACCAAAGGTGTAGTTAGTCAGCGGATACCTGTAGAGAGATCATACAGAGGAAACATCACAGTGGGAATTTTAGTAAATCAGTAACTTTTAATCAGAATATCATCCAACTCCCTCTCTGCTTTCAACAACAATTACATTTGTATAGCGCCATTCACGTTACAAGGACGTCCCAAGACGCTTTCAAAACACATCTAAAGATGAGGTTAAGTTGAGGATAGGAAACAGACAACCAAAGAAGAAGTCAGAGATGCACATTAATAAAGCAAAACTGGCAACACAGAATTGCTACCTTGAACATGGGGGCCAAATAGAGTTGGGGCCAAGAGTCAATATGAAACACCTCCTTAATTTTTAATACAAGACTCCATTTGTGCACAAGGACCTTTGCAAGTACACACAGATGCAACCGTTTCAGAACAATAATAAATAATAATCCTTGAACTTGATAAAGCACCTTATCGCGTCTGAGAGCGATTCACAGAATATACAACAACAAAATTACATTTGTAGAGCACCTTTGGACTGCAAGACGGAGTTCCAGAGGGTGGGGGTAGAGTGGCAGAAGGCCCACCCGCCAATGGTGAAACGGCCGAGGCGGGGGACGTGAAGCAAGCCAGAGCCCGCTGGATGGAGGGAGCGGGCAGGATGTTAGGGGGTTAGGAGGTCACAGACATAGGGAAGAGCAGGCCACGGAGGGCTTTGAAGGCGAGGACCAGGATCTTCAAATGTATCCTGTGTAATGGCACACCAGTAGAGTCGGGCAAGGATGGGGGAGATAGAGTCACGGAGCCTGGTGCAGAAAAGGACACGGGCTGCAGTGTTCTGGGGAATCTACAGTCTGGAGGATCTGCAGGAAGGAGTTGGGGAGGCTGACAAGCAAGGAGTTTGCATAATCAAGCCTCAATGTTATGAATGCGTATATGAGGGTTTCGTCGGACTGCCGTGTACTTTAACATATCCTGTTAAAGTCAATTGATTGTATGTTTTGTGGGCGAAACAAGGCTGCACCCATGTTTTTTCCTTCCTTGCTGTCCCATCCAAGCCATTTTTATTCATGTGAATTATTGCACTCACTTCACAAATATACCAACTGACATCCACAAAGCAATTTGTATTAAAGGTTCACATTATAAGCTGCCGCGTTCGCCCACAAATATACAGTCAATTCACTTTACAGTGTGTTCTGTGAAGCGCTTTGGGACGTCCTCCCGACGTGAAAAGCGCTATATCAAATGCAAGGATTATTATTATTGTTTTGATTAACATATCTTACATCATACAAATGAATTGCTTCATTTTGCTTCGGATAGCACATGGGGATCGTAATCTAGGATATAGATTAACACTAGAATTTAAACCCCAATAACTAAAGTCAGCAAGTTATGCAATGAACTATATATTATGGGATCAAAGGAAGTGAATTAAAAACGCTCAAGTGTGGAAATGCAAAAACTTGACAAAACAGCCTGAACCCAAGTAAAGTGGCAAACCCAGCTAAATAGCTCCTGTGAAGCCTGGCCCACCACATAACCTAACCTGAGATGACCTACCATCAGATAGCAAGTATCCACTGAAGGATGGAGTCACTTACAAATTTAAATCAAATCAGAGGAATCATAAACATGCTGAGCTGCTGGCTTAAGTGTTGATGGTGTTGCAAGATAGAATTTTCATTGGCTATTTAGTTTGCTCTTAACAAAGAACCTACTAGAAAGTGATCACAAAGGCCTGAGCTCATGGATAGCTCCCTACCCAGCCCAGAGTAACATATTACCAGATTTTTAAATGTTTCTAACGTCATCCAAATTCCAAAGCTAGTGCTGTAAAGTTAAAAACTGTGAATCTCCTCACACCTCCTTCAGACAGACCTGCCTCAGATGCAGTCAACAGTTTATAAAACCATCAAGTCCAATATTTTGTCAAAACAAAACTTCAGGTACTAATTCTTCTTAGCACAAAATTTAACTGAACTCTTATTTTATAAAGCGAGTTAAGATAGCTCTATGATGTGTCAGCAAGTTTATCCAACTAATTTATAGAGGCAAGGAAGATGCAGGTTCATACCATCACCTGTGCTGTGTTAGCTGATCTCAGCTGATAGAGCCTGACACCAGAACAAAAAAAACAATCACAAGCTCCCACTCTCGATCAACTTGTATCTGAAGAGCTAGTGAATCAAGTTCAGCTGTGATGCCCCTGCCATAGTTAAATTATTTAAATGGTACAAATCATTTCATATCAGACTTCAGCACTGCTCATCAAGCAGTACAAATATGCTACATACTATAGGAGACGTATTCAAAAGTTATCCTCTTGACAGCATCACCATCCAAGGATGTGCACTCCACCTCACCGAACCAGTCCGGAACCTTGGCATCTTGTTTGACCCTATCCTTTCTACCCCACATCCATGCCATGACCCGCTCTGCCTTCTCCCACCTCCCCAACATCACCACCACTGTCTCACACCACAGGCTGCCAAGACCCTCATACACACATTCACAACACCCAGGCTGAACTACACAAACTCCCTGCTTGACTGTTTGTGGGACATTGCTGTGCGCAATTGGCTGCCGCGTTTGCCCACAAATATACAGTCAATTCACTTTACAGTGTGTTCTGTGAAGCGCTTCGGGACGTCCTCCCGACGTGAAAAGCGCTATATCAAATGCAAGGATTATTATTATTATTATTATTATTGACTGCCTCACCAACGCCTCCCTCCATAGGCTGCAGATCATCCAGGACTCTGCAGCCCACGTCCTCCCCCGCACCAGGCTCAGTGACCCTTGCTTCAGATTCAACTACATCACTCTCTAACTTAGGGTTAAACATCCACCATGTTATGGTCACTCTGCCCTCGAGGAGCCTGAACTTCCAGATTGCTGATCAGCCCTATTTCAATGCACACATCTCAGGCTGCAGTTACTCAGAACTATCCTCATTCTACACCGCGCTCCCCCCTCCCCCCCCCAACACCCCCACACCCCACAACCAAGAGGCTTATAACGAACGAGTTTCCGATGCTCTCCGGGACGTCAGGTTCCAGGTACGAGTCCCCGCAGAGACGGACGAACGCAATGACACCCGGGCTCACGGAGCCGTGCGGTTCACTCACAGGTTGATGGTCCTCTCCAGGGTCAGCGGCTTGGCCTGCAGGTATTTGTTGCCGTACTGCGAGACCCCGCGGGGCCAGCCGGCCTGGGAGCGGCTCGGTGGGACCACGGACATGGCGTCAGGTGGACGGTCTCTAACAAAAGGCAAGTACGGGCCTCCAACGGTAGAAAGACGCGGCGCTGAGACCGGGCTCGATCCGACGTGCAGGCCCGCAACCACCGCTCCTTCCCGCTCTAACCCCGCATTGTGCTTCCGGGTTATCAAATGAAAGACTTCCGGTTCAGGAGGCGAGGCGAGGCTCACGCGGCCCTCCCTCCCTCAGGCCGAATTGCTGTTGCTGGAAAGCTGTGCAGCTTTGGCCGAGTTTCGCACCTTTTCACATTCAACGTGCAGTTTTGTTTGAATCGATCTCGTCCGTAAAATCTGGGCGGAGGTTACATTGTTGGGGCTTGAGGTCTTTTGGATGAGATAATAATCCCCAATGATAATAATCCCTCCCAAAACAATAATCAATTGGTCGTTTTCAATCCCCGACCGTTTGTGGGGCGCTGCCGTGCGCAATTGGCTGCCGCGTTTCGCCCACAAATATACGGTCGATTCACTTTGCAGTCTATTCTGTGAAGCGCTTCGAAACTTCGAGAAGATGTGAAAAGCGCTATGTCAGATGCAAGGATTATTGTTGTTATAAGATGTCCAAGCCAAGGTCGTGTCTACCTGTTCATTGCATGCTAAAACTGGGAAGAGTACGTCTCCAACAGTGCCCTGGAGTACTAGAGCTGTCTTACCCCCCAACCTCCCAGAGGATAGTCACTTATCAGTCATTTGATATGCAATAATTGCACATTTGGGCCCTCACCAGGTAGATTATATCTATTTTGCCGGACTAAAGAAGACCAAGGTCCATCCAGCGCACCTCCTTTAGACCAGCAATTCCTATTCCTGATAATAATCCCTAAAAAAATTAATATAATAATTTGGTCACTCAATCCTCGACTGTTTGTGAGACATTTTGGTGCGCAATTGGCTGCTACGTTTCACCCACAAAAGTACACGTCCCAGGGCCTTGGGACATCATGTCCTGACATGAAAGGGGCCATACAAATAATTTGTACGTGCAGGGCCTTGAGACGTCTCGAAGACGTGATAAGGTGCTGTATCAAATGCGAGGATTCATCATTATTATTATTATGTGGAGTCCTGTAGCTCAGTGGTTAGAGCACTCGCTTTGCAAGCGAGAGACCTGAGTTCAATTCCAGGCAGAGGGCGAAACCTTGGGCAAGTTTCCTTACTCCACACACAGAGCCTAATAATAATTCCTCCAAAACCAAAAACAGTAATAAATTGGTCATTTTCAATCTACGACTGTTTGTGGGACATTGTTGTGCGCAATTGGCTGCCGCGTTCGCCCACAAATATACAGTCAATTCACTTTACAGTGTGTTCTGTGAAGCGCTTTGGGACGTCCTCCCGACGTGAAAAGCACTATATCAAATGCAAGGATTATTATTATTACTATAATGCTCTTTCCCGTTGTTTTGACATCTGGGCTTCGCACTCCCCCGCCCCCCCGGGTTGCTGGGGTCCGGTTACCATGGGGACAGGTCTCCTGCGTGTGTGTGTGTGTGTACGGGGGGGGGGGGGAAGGGGAAGTCCCGCTCTGAGCTGCTGTGCGGACGCGTCATCGCAGCCTTGCGTCACTTCCGTCCGTTAAGCTCTCCCCTGCCCCCGCGGCTGACGTCATCACAAGCCGAGACTCTCGGTGCCGAGAAAGTTGGAGCCTGAGAGAAGGAAAGAGGGAGAGAGAGAGAGAAAGAAGAGAAGGGAAGAGAAGAAAGAAGGGACGGGAGTCCCGCGCGTGAGCGAGCCGTCACCGGGGTAACGGCGGCACCGGGGTCACCGTAGCTCGAACCGTCCGCCATGCCGCTGCTCTTCCTCGAGCGCTTCCCCTGGCCCAGCCTGCGGACTTACACTCTCCTCAGCGCCGCGCTGCTGGGCGCGAGCCTCTTCAGCGCCTACTCGCACCTCACCCTGAGCCCGTCACCCGCAGCGGCGGCAGCGGCCGACCCCGCCCCACCGCAGCCGGGCCTGGGCGGCGCTGCCCCCGAGGCCCACAACGGACGAGCGCCGAGCGCCGAGCAGCCGCCCCGAGGCGACAGCGGCGGCCCGGATCCCGGACACGACGTCCCCGAGGCGAATGGGGACGACGAGGCGGACCTGGGGCCACTGACCCGGCCCGAGTGGGCCAGCGGCCGGGGACTCGTATTGGAGATGGTGTGGTACCTGGTGTCAGACGCCTGGTGTATTTGGGTCAGTGTTTCTCTTTCGCTAACAATAATAATAATAATAATAATAATGATAACATACCGCCCCTCACGGTGGGCGGCGTCCCAGAGCGCTCCTGCGACTCTCTTTATCTCTCACCGGACAGTCTCCCTCTGTTCTCGGGTATCTGAGCTGCGAGGAGAAAGTTGACGAAACTGAGAATGTTTACGCTCGAGAAGAGCGTATTAGAGAATGATTGTTGCCTTTTTTTTGGGGTGGGGGGGTGGTGGGGGATCTTATACGTTAAGGATAAGTTCGACTTTAATAACGCTTTCTGTGTTTTAAAACAAAAGTTCACAAGTGGGACTTGGATTGTACCCCAAAACAGAGTAACGTGTACACCAAATCCTTGAGGAATGCAGTGGAGAGGGACAGTGTTGACAGTTTCAAGATGGCATTTGATTTGTAGTGTTCTGGAGGTCTATATATATATATATCTGTGTGTGTGTGTATATAATATAAAATATAATCCTTGTATTTTGATATAGCGCTTTTCACTTCTTCTCGACGTCTCAAAGCGCTTCACAGAATATACTGTAAAGTGAATTGACTGTATATTTGTGGGCGAAATGCGGCAGCCAATTCCACACAGCAATGTCCCACAAACAGTCGTGAATTGAGTGAACAAATTATTATTTTTTTCTTCTCTTGAGGGATATTATTAGACGTGTGAAGTAAGGAAACTTTCCCAAGATTTCGCCTTGCCGGGAATTGATCCCAGGTCTCTCGCTTGCGAGGCGAGTGCCATTGAGCTACAGGACTCCACTATACAACAACAACTTGCGTTTATATAACGCCCCTCATGCAGAGTAGCATCCTGGAGCACTTGATATTGGTGGAGTCTGACAACCAGCCAAAGGGAGGTGACCTTAAGCACGGTGAAAAAGGAAGGTCCTTTTGCAAGTTGGCTGTACTTTCAGCCACTATGCCCCAAAACTCTGGAACATTCTCCCTCAATCCCTCTGCCTTGCCCCCCCTTTCCCCTCTTTCAAGTCCCACCTGAAAACTTTCCTCTTCGAGAGTGCTTCTGGACCCCTCCCCCCAGCTCGGAGTCAGGTCCGCCACTGAGACGCTACCCTGCGTGGAGGGCGCTATAAAAGTGCAAGTTGTTGTCATTGGAACTAATGGCCTTTTCTGCTTACGTATGTAGTATTTCTTTTTTACTCCATTCAAAGTTTCATGTCTTTTAAGTAGATAAAATAATCCTTCCATTTAACAGCACCTTTCATGTCGGGAGGACTTCTCAAAGTGGTTCACAGGATTTCCTGTGTCGTCTAGTACTATTAATCAATTTGGGACATTCTCCAATGGGAAAGGCTCTATATAACGTAAATTTGTATTTTATTGTATCAATACTTTTTTGTAAAACTGAGATATAAGTTTGTAGAGAAATTATATCAAAGATATTTCATCTATTTCAATGTTCATTTCAAAAAGCACTTTGGCCTCAGTAGAAGGATCTGAACAAATCTTTTTTTGCTCTATTGGTAGTAAACAGCATATTATAGGTCTTGTCCTTTAAGCGATAAGTTGGGTTAAAAAAAAATGGAATGTTGTTGTTGTATTTTTGAGGGCAAACACAGCAGCCAATTTACACTCATCAAATAAATGTTTACTTGTCACCTGCACCCCCCACATCTGTCTTACTTTTTCTGTTATGCTGCAGGACCACATTAGATCTGCATTCTTCTAATTACCATCTGGAATTTTGAGGTCAATTTCATAAACAAAATCAGAAATGTTTGAATAAACCACATTTTTTGATATCAGAATAAACTATATTCGTTGACGAGTTCTGTAAGCATATCACCCCCATCTCGCTTGGCTCTATTGGCTCCCCATCTCCCAGCGGATTGTGTTCAAGAACGTCGTTCTCAATTCTAAATCCTTCTGCAGTCTTGCCTCACCATACCTCTGCGACCTCCTGAAACCCTACCAATCTGGCTGCTCCCTTTGCTCAGTGAGCACCGGCTTACTTCATGTCCCCCGCCCTATTGCCACACCATCAGCAGTTGGGCCCTTCTGCCCTACTCTGGAATTCTATCCCAATGAACCTCTGACTCCTTCCCTCACCACATTCAAGGTCAGCCTCAAGACCTATCTCTTTGACCGTACCTTGGGTCATCCTGCCCTTCCCTCCTTGGCTACCACCCAGTTGGGTGCTCAGCAGGTACTATTAATCAATTTGGGACATTCTCCAATGGGAAAGGCTCTATATAACGTAAATTTGTATTTTATTGTATCAAAACTTTCTTGTAAAACTGAGATATAAGTTTGTAGAGAAATTAGATCAAAGATATTTCATCTATTTCAATGTTGATTTTAAAAAGCAACAAATCTTTTTTTGCTCTATTGGTAGTAAACAGCATATTATAGGTCTAGTCCTTTAAGCGGTAAGTTGGGTTAAAATATTACAAATGGTAAATGTGCTATTGTGAAACATTTATTTGCTTTTATAAATGAGCAGAGTACACAACCTTGATATCCAGTTACTGTACTTTGGTTGAACAGTCTGCAATTTTTGTAAATCTGTAATTCAAATAAAAGTCAATGGTGTGCATCTTATAGTTAAAAAGAAACTCAATGGTTTTGCACAACGCATCTGGCCAATTATGACAGGCTTTTCAAGCCTCATGGAAATAAGGGAGGAAATTGATGAGGCTCTGACCATTATACCTTTCTGTTAAATATTGCCCCAATTATTGCATCTAATTTGAACAAGAAACTTATACTACTTAACTTTGTACCATAGTGGCAAAGTGCTTAAGAGATGGATGTTGCCATTGCTCAGCTAAAGTGAAGTCAACACTCGTGTTTCACTGTTGACTGACTAAATTGGTGAATTACGCAGGTGTCAGCTTGGCTTATTTGGTAGCACCTCTCGCCTCCAGGCTGTAGTTTCAAGCCCAGTATCAAGACTGTGAGACTCGTAGCCCAGGCTCATACTCCAGTGCACTGTTGGAAGTGCTGCATTGTTGAATGTATCATCCTGAGGATGAGACTTTAAGCCAAGGTCCTGTCTGCCTATCGCACTGGCGAACCCATGAAACTATTTTAAAAGAGAAGGCAGTTTCTCTTGGTGTCCTGGCCAACAACTGTTCATATTAATTGGTCGTAGCAACATGGCTGTTTGGGGGGACAATGTTGTGTGTAATTTGAGTGCCACATTTGTCTACAAATACTTCACTTTGTGAAGTACTCTGAGAAGTGCTTGACTTTCGAAATGCTATATAAATACAATATTTTTAATCAGACACATGTGAGATTTCAGTTTTCTCCCACGCTGTGGAGAGCAAATGGTCAAGGTTATAATAGATAGTTTGAATAGGAGTTTGATTTTCCTCTGGGGAACAGGAAAGTCTTGCTTGCAATTTTAATCACTAGGAAAGTCCATGAAACATGTCCATAACATTAATTATAATTATTAAGTTCCTAACTGATGTCCTTAGTTATTAAACTTGTGTTGAAGTGTCTTGTTCAAATTGATTGCCTTAATTTTCTAACCCTGGTTTAATTTTAGGCTTTTAGTATTGTGTAAAACTTCGGATAACCTGATTTTATATATCTAAGAAGTTAATTCTGAAGTTATTAGCTTTTGCCTGGAAAAAATAGTGTTCCATTTTTGGAGCAAGGTCACTAAATTGTGTTTATTATGTCTGAAGCAATATCAGGTATAGGCTGGTTGGAGTTAAGAATTTGTTATCAACTGAATGAGAACCTCTCAAAAATGCACCAGTCTTGGCAATCATAATTTGAGCCACTTGAAGCTTTGCTGTTGAAATGTTTTGACTGAAGCACCAAATGTTTTTCTTTACAACAAAAAGACTGAATATAATACTGCTTTACTGGCTGATTAATGTTTGTTATTTTTAAAGTTGTAAAACTGGGTCATAGGTAGCAAATGCTAGTCTTTTAGCTCTGAGGTGTGTAAGATAGTTTTAATATATGCAGAAAATATTTAAAAATATTCATCAATCTGCTGCTCCATTTTTTTTGTTTCCAAAGTCACTTGTCTTGAAAGAGAACTTGCTTTTGAGACCAACTTAGCTTATGACATTCAGACAGCACCATGATCAAATATACCCTGCTTACACACTGTTGCTATTTTTAATGTTTATAAATAACTTGGACATGGCCCCTAAGTAAAATCCAACTTTGTGCAAGATTTTCAGTCACTGTAATAATAATATTTGATAAAATGTCCATAACGTCAAATCATCTTGCAGGTAATTATTGTCGGGTGTCGTGACCGTGTATTTTTAGGCAAATCGAATGTGGAATCGAATTTGTGCATTGTCCACAAACCATGAAAGACCAAATTTTCTGGACAATTATTGGGCAGGACAGGAAAATTCCAACAATTTTCAGATAATGCCATTGAGCAGTGCCCAATTTTCTGACCAAGTGTTGAAAATGCTACTTAACGATCCAAGTTGCCACTTAAGAATGAAGTAGAATAGTACGGCAAAAAACAATCAGAATCGGCTGGACCTTTTGGATTAATAAACTGATGGATGGCACATGTCGTTCAATGCAGAAAAGTGTCAGGTGTCGAGTATAGCTCAGCAGTAGAACTCTCGTCTCTGCGTCAAAAGGTTGCGGACGGACTCAAATCCCACACCAGGACTTTGAGCTCATAGTCTAGGTTGAGACTCCCAATGCATTACTGAAGAGTATTGAATTATTGGAGGTACTGTTCTTCAGTACACAGTAAATCCCACTTTGAGATGTCCTCCAGACATGAAAAGAACTGTATCAAATGCAGGGGATGTTGTTATTATGAGGCTTAGGAATCAAAAGGCAAAACACATGTTAAATGATATAGTGTAGTCTGTGGATCAAGAAAGAGATGTTGGAGATTATTGTGGACACATCAATGAAGCAGTCCGCCCAGTGCTGTGTGCTGGAGTGTTTTATTTAGCAGAGAAGGATGCATTACAAATGTAGATGTATGAAACATTACAGTAAGGGAAAAGGAGTAAATTAAGCTTTTAATAGTCTGCATTCTGAAGGAGACTTTACATGACTTAGAATAAAAATACTGGCCAAATATTGAATTCTAGGTATTACAATGGGTAGTAGGAGGCAGAGCTAATTATATTCCATAATTGGAGTTTTCTCTTGGGAGTGCAGGAAAATACACAATGCAGCCTCAAGTCCTTAGTTAATTATAAGGATTACCAATTTTCTGAGGTTTTCTTTATCGTTGCGGTCCATCATGTAGTCTATTTTTCAGTCTATTCTGGTATTATAACTTTAATGACAGGTAAATATTAGTAGGATAACATCTAAAGGAATAACCGTCAGTGTTCTGCTCCATTGCAAAAGTCCTCCAAACTGTACTTTAATCCCATTTATCTGGGTAATCCTACCTGTTACGAGGTACTGTTGGAATAGTGTATCAATGTACAGCTGAGGAAAGAATAAATGAATCAAAATAGTAATCAGCTGAGGGGGGTGGGGGTAATTAGCTGATTGATTCAGTGGGAAAAAAAATTACATTTATATAGCACCCTTCATATAGAAGAGTAATGTGTGAACTACCTGTCTTAGGTTGCATATCACCCCTAAGTATACTTTGGCTGTTTGCTTTTAAAGTTGGATTTAAAAATTAATCTAAAAAGAAGGAAACCAAAACAAAAGAAGCTGTAGGACAAGAAAGGACAAAGTATTCTGTCAAAGCAAAATAGCATGTTCTATTAATGTACATTGGGTCATTGTAATACAGTAAATCTGTTCTAATACTCAATATCTAAGGTTGAATATTGCCAAAATAATCCTTTCAGTTATTTAGTTATATTAGTTATATTCAACCTAAGATACGAGTATTAGAACAGCTTAGTTATGCAGCCCGAAATCTTGTCACACGCAAGGAAATGAATCAATATTTTTGGAAACAAACTTCTTTGTACGTAAAACAACGAATGCCTGTGAGTAATTTAGAAGACAGTAATTTCATTGTGGAATTTGGTGATCTTCACAACTGTCTCGAGCTTTGCTGGTTTACTCTCGTCAACTGATTGATTTGCAGTCTAACAGCAGAAGCTCTAGCATTTGTGGGATTTTTACCTGGCCAGACATGAAAGTGCTGCTAATAATAGACAAAGAATATTGATAAGTTAGTTTAGGAAATAAATAAGTAATTGGTGTTACTGAGAGAACTGAATCCTTTCAAAGAGTTGACTGCTTCGATTTTTTTTTCACGTGTGGAGAGCTCCTCATTGGTTTCTGTGTGATTGACCAGAAAGATCGTTAAACTTTACATTTGCTGTCGCTGTTTGCCTATTTTGAAGATTAAATGTTCATATTTTACTTTTTGTTGCAAATCAGATTGGGAAGACTTGCTTATAATTAATCAGCGATATATTGAACTAAAATGATATGTCAAGCAAATGTTTACTATTCAATGTTAACAATTTCTTTGCCGCTTAGACAATAACTGTATGTTTGAGCATAGAGTCCTGTAGCTCAGTGGTTAGAGCACTCGCTTTGCAAGTGAGAGACCTGAGTTCAATTCCAGGCAGAGGGCGAAACCTTGGGCAAGTTTCCTTACTCCACACACCTAATAATAATCCCTCCAAAACCAAAAACAGTAATAAATTGGTCATTTTCAATCTACGACTGTTTGTGGGACATTGCTGTGCGCAATTGGCTGCCGCGTTCGCCCACAAATATACAGTCAATTCACTTTACAGTGTGTTCTGTGAAGCGCTTTGGGACGTCCTCCCGACGTGAAAAGCGCTATATCAAATGAAAGGATTATTATTATTAGAAATGTTATATTAACCTGGGAGTAATGATATAAGAATATTTAATCCCTCAGCTTGAAAAGAATAATGCTGCTGTATAATGGCATAAAAATAAGCCTAAAATTGAATAAAATCATCTGAGGAGCACACAGGAAGTGACTTCAACTGCAACCTGACAACACAGAAGTTGACCATTTTTCTGCGCTTAATTGTAACACGGGAATGGTGAGAGGGGTGCTGAGATTATAGGCTCAGACCACACATTATAATAGCGTTCCCCAGTACTGTGCATTTTATTGCACTGTTGCCATAATATAGCAGCAAAATTGTTATAAAGCAATGCTGCTAAATTCAAGACCTGAGCTCAACCACAGATCTGCTTATTATAAATCAATCCCGCTTTACTTTATTTGTAAAGTCAACTTTAATTGTAAAGTCGATTGCTTTATTTATTGCTTCAGTCTGGCCATCATGTTTTGACCTTATTTTCTTGCTCTGTGTGTGTGTTCGGGGGGGGTGGGGTGCGCTGTGTTAGGCTACACTTTAATGCATTCATAACAACTCCACCATTAGTCTCACTACTGGAATAGACTGGAACAATGCAACTGTGTCCAATCATTGCACAGATCACATGGGATTATGTTGCACAAGATTTCAAAGACCAGTTCAATGTTTGTGGAAAACGTTTTTTTACTTTTTGGTTGGATCTCCATGCAAAGGGTTCTGAGTGTGTGTAATGCACTGCTTCAGAGTGTCATGGATACAGATTTAAAAATGTAGATGTTTTATCGGAGTTACATAGGTTTACTTGGGAGGTAAGGATATTGGAATATAGGGAGAGATAGAATTACAAGGTAATTTGGTCATGAATTAATAAAATAGTAAAGCGGGCTTGATGGACCAAATAGTCTAAATATGTTATATTGTGCATGTTGTAGAGGCCATTTTTCTCCAACTCAGGAAAATAATTGGAAAGTTTACTTTTTCAGATTTTGGTTTTATGACCTCATTTGTAAAATAACAAAACGGGGCCATCCTGAGTTCAGCTTACATGGTTGATTCTTCAATCAGTGGTGTATAGTGCAGGATAGTATAGAAGGGTAGGAACAAGCAGGATAAATGGGGCAATAAACCCCCATATTGTTTTGGGCAGGTCTTGAACTGGAAGCGGTGCCTTTTTGCAGCAAACTGATTTTGTCAGTCTTTTTAAAAACGCCAAAAGAAACATAGTCTTGTGCATTTTTTTTTGCCCCTTAAAAAAGTCTTTCTGTAGAAGTCTCCGGAGTTTAAAGCTTAAGGCGGTAAAACTTCACAGATCATAAGATAGCCTGGGAGCCCTTTCATTACATCAACTTCAGCACCCCTCACACAGGGTAGCGTCCCAGAGCCCTTACATAAAATATCTCTGGATTGCCAGACCAGAAAATCTTAGCGTTTCCAATCAGTTTTCTTAAAATAACAGATTCAGCAGCGATTCCCGCTTTGCAGGTTTTTATTGGGGCATATATGTGTAAGATCAGTTTGTTTTTATGGGGCTTTAATATGACTGAATAGCTACAACTATTAGCATTGGTTTACTTGTTAAAAGATTCTGGGATCATGACATCTCTAAAAAAAATTGCATTTCAAAACATAACTTAAAATATAAAGAAGGCTGATTTGACTAATAACATCTGTTTCCATCTGTTCATTTCTTATTTTATGTAATTACCCCCAGCTCGGGTGGAAACCCTTCACTGTCTAACGCCTTGGGACGTCCTCCCAACATGAAAGATGCTATATAAATGCAATTTGTTGTTTGGGAAAGGGATCCACTTTGACTGTTCTCCAATTAGACTGAACCTAATCTTGATTTTTGTGTGTGTTTTATTTGCCAGGTTCTGGTGAACACAGCCTGTTGTTTTCTGATGTTAATTGGCAAGTTGATCCAGTACATAGTGTTTGGAACATTGCGGGTCAGTGAGAGACAGGTAAGAGGCCAAGTTTTAAAATCGTAAGGAAATGTGCATGCTTCTTTGTAATTTTTCTTTGTGTTTGTATATATATCCCATTTATGGTACCAAAACAGTTTAATTCTGAGCCTGTAAATGTTTCATGTATGAAAGCAACTTTCTGTTATTTAGTCGATTGGTGGATTGCTTTCCTGGGGTAATAATCTCTTAAAAACAATAATAATAATCAGGTCACTCAATCCATCACTGTTTATGGGACACTGCTGTGCGCAATTGGCTGCCGCGTTCCCCCCACAAAATATACAGTCAATTCACTTTACAGTGTATCCTTTGAAGCGCTTTGAGACGTTGATGACGTGATAAGGAGCTATATCAAATGCAAGGATTATTATTATTTAGTATACTGTAATAATAATCTAGGGCTCTGGCTGCATTCAAGCCCTGTGCAAGTAGAAATTGCAAAGATACGTCGGCTTGCTTTCTACAGCGGCAAAATTACTCATTAAAATTGGTTTTCTATTAAATATAAGTGAGGAGAGTTTCCTAGCTCAGTGGATGAATTTGCCCATGTAGTATAGTACTAAACCATGAAGATCAGGAAAGTCCAAAGATCAATTTGAGTCTGTGCTGTGTTAGCTTCTCTGTCAGGGCAGTGTGAGGCACCACAGGTTCTCTTTCAGATATTCAAAGATCACCAGCCAGATTTCCAACTCCTGTGCTTATCTAACATGTAGAAGTGCACAGGGGCTTTGGTGTGATGTCTGGCACAGCTGGTTCAGCTACCGACACACATTACCTGGCTGACAAATGTTGAATGTGCACTTGAACAAAATACTGGAAGGTTTTTGTGGAACTGACCTTCAAGTTATATTCACTGAGGCAGAAAGAAAAATTAGAAAAAATGTAATAGAAATAAGAATCACCTCCTGATTTTCCAGTAATTGTCACAACAGAAATGTATGTATTTTATTTAATGGAAAGATTTATGCTGTATTTCTACCTTTACACAGATTTCTAATCTTTATCCTTGCTAGAATTTGGGAAATATACAAAGCAACAATAACGGATACATTTCACTAAGTGGCTAGAAGTATAGATTAAATAGAAAATAGATCTCATGGATTACATCAGATGTATTAATACTGCTTCTTACAAGTTTGCCTTGCCTGAAGGCTGTGAAATTTGCATACAACTTTCTTTGAAGAATGACTGCTACAACCCAATTTAAGTCTGTATTGAAACATGGTAGCAGTTAGATTTACAGTGTTACTTTCTGCCAAGTCTGGTGCTAACGAATGGAAGGATTACCTATTATTTTCCATAACCAGTTCTTTGTCTAAGTAGGCTATCTGATAGGATAAGTAAATTCACTGGGGAATAGTATCATCCATTAGCTGACTGTGATTCTAGAGTAGATTTCTGGTGATTCCTGTAGCTGGAAAATGTAAGGGAGAAGATAATGATAATAAACCTTTGTAATGTATCCAGGCAGCCTGATGACCTAGTGAGTGGAAAGTGGGGGCTATGGTACTGGGTTGGGTGATTGCTAACAGACTGGCATATTTAGTATCCTCTATGCCCTTCAATTTCAAACACATTCAAGCATCAATGATTTTTAGAAACTTTCAGTGGCGATGTATTCATGTTATTGCAGAAAGCTCCTAGAGTTTTCATTGACTGCAGAACTTTTGCCGATTCTAAGGATAGTTCAGCTCAGTTTTTGTAAGATACACAGGTAATCAGTGCAAATGTTAAGGTTCAGAAAAACCCAAACTTAAAAATGACTGAGGTGAACCACAGTGTGTTTAATCTGATCCGAGTACCCGCCTCTTAAAATAATTAGTTTGCTACCACTATCTTGTTTTGACAAGACTATTGCTTGCGGAGACGCATTTGTGTACCTGGCCAGGCTACTACGGAGGTCAAAGGATAAATTGTTGTTGAGCGGTTCTGCTGGGTATCAGTGAAGCAGATTATGGACGTGACTGAGCAAAGCTCTGCCCCACTGATTTTACTTTCAGATAAATGGCAGACTTTTCTGAAGGTAATTGGTATAGGTTTAGGATTAACTGGTGTAGGTTTACATGAAATAAGAAAATGAGGAAAACCAGACTGAAGGTCTGCTTTCTTGGAAGTCAAAACCTAAGGGAGGTGTGCAGCAGTGAAAAGCTGTCAGTTTCAGTGGAAAGGAAGTGGCAGGTGGTGAGCCAATACCTCTGTTTAAGCGGTTGGTTTTGGAGCAGTCCCAAGCTGCAAAATAAAACTAATCGGTTATGAAGAGTGATATATTTTTCTGATGATTATGTGAGGGTAATGACAATGCATAACTTATTCTGCAGTTATTTAACTTAAGCATCTTAACAGTTGAAATCGGTGCCAATAAAGGATTTCCCTATCAACTTCTCCTTTAATTTCCACTTGTTCAATTCCTACTGTTTTCTGTGTGATGAAAAGTTGCTTTAATTCTTTTCTCTAGCATCTGAAGGATAAGTTTTGGAACTTCATCTTCTACAAATTTATCTTCATCTTTGGCGTACTCAATGTTCAGACAGTCGAGGAAGTGGTAATGTGGTGTCTCTGGTTTGCAGTTCTTGTCTTCCTTCATCTTATGGTTCAACTCTGCAAGGATCGCTTTGAATATGTAAGTTGTGTCCACAATCAACATGCTGCTTAAACTGGCTTATTGTGAGATCATAGTATTTAGGATTAAGGTTACTGAACTAAAGCACACTGGTCTAGCTGTGTAGATGCAAATTTACTTCACACTAATCTTTATGAGAAGCAACAACTGATGCACATTTAAATCTTCTTAAATTAACTCAGCAAAACTCAGTTTTGTTGTATTCCATGTTTTCTGGCATTTCTAATATTTTCTTTATAGACCGTCGGGCAATGTGAGACATGAATATGACATTGGGGCTTATAAGTGTTTGTACCAAATAACTACTACTTAGTCATTTTCTTCAAGCAGTGGGTTCAGTTGATGATTTGTTTTAGACTCGACACTCAGGGATTTGGATCAGAGTAGGCGATTGGGATCCGGAGGGGTGGAGGGCAGGGAGTTTGACCGAAAGCTTGGTCGAAGAGGTGGATCATGAGGCAAGGGAGGAAGCAAGGCGAAGGGACTGTGATGGAGTTCCAAAGAGTGGGGACAGAGAGGCTGAAGGCCTGACCGCCGAAGGTAGGGCGGGCCGGAGCCAGATGAGCAGATTGAGCGGACAGGTGAATGTAGTGTTAGCAGGTCACAGGTAGGAAGGAGCAAGGCCGTGGAGAGCCTCAAAGGCGAGGACAAGGATTAGGAACATTATCCTCTAGGGATGTAGAGCTAGGTGGGGGTGATAGGGTCACAGAGCCTGGTGTGGGAGCAGATCAGAGATCATCTGAATGATCTGCAGCTTGTGGGGGGGAAGAGTTGGGAAGGCCTCACTTGTTGGCAATAGGTATATTTTCCAACAGAATTTGGGAGAAATCTGACTAGATTTCTCTTCACAATCGCATTCCCAATTCAGGGAGGTTGAGGCCAAATTTTTTTGGTACTATTTTGTCTGAAAACTGGTAATTCAGTACAGCTTATGACTCTGTAATGTTTTGGGTAATGGACTTGTAAAACCGAAAGTTAAATATTCACCAAGTAATGCAAGTAACCGAATGTGTGAAATACCTTTATGTGTTTTGTATGTATTACAGCATGTGTATGTTATGAGGTTTTTTGTACATTAATAGCTTAGCACAATTTCAGCTTTTCTTTAAATTGAGGTGGAGCTTACTTTTGGATGTTTTAAAATGCTGTTCTAGAGTTTCGTAAATGTTTATTAATCTCAAAATAAATTAAATATCTTATTCAATAGTATATAATTTTATTCATTCTGAAAAAAATGCATTCAGTTATTAATGTTGCAAGCTACACCATTTTCTGTTTTACTGTTGCTGAATCCATCCATGTAGCTGTAGACAACTATGAAATGCTTGTTTGAATATTCTTTTGAAAAGCATTAGGAATGTTTAACAAGCCTTGTTGGTTTTGGACCTTAATTTGGTACTTGTGACTGTGCATGTTATACAAGTCACTGAAATCCTCTGCGGAAGTCTTCAGTTGGTGCTGTATCCTGACTTGGACTGCTTTTATACAGTATTCTGTATTTTGGCAAAGCGAACCCTACAATTAATTGTCTTCATCTTGTAATAACTTGGCTTTCCAACATTGTATTGTATTTCTAATAATCTATGATGGTGCATTTCCTCATATTTGGTCTGCTAATCATTTTAACCCTTTTTCTCTGATCCAGTTGTCATTCTCTCCAACCACGCCAATGAGTAGCCACATCCGTGTCTTGGCCTTGCTGCTTTCCATGTTGATGTCCTGTTGTAGTCTGGTTATAATCTGTGCAATAGTTGGCTATTCGCATGGAATGCATACCCTCTCTTTCATGGCCGCTGAGGTAAGCGAATATTCTTAGCTTTAAAAACTGTGATTGAGTTATCTCCAATGTATTCTTCCAATTAACTTTTATAGCATGGAACTTAAACTCTTGATTTTACAGCAGTGGCAACGAACACACTAACAGCACCAGCTAGTTTTTAAATAAATCCTCCTGGAATTGCTTTTGAAAAATAATAGTTAAATAAATGAAATTAATTAATGCATCTGTTTGTATGGTTTCTGATTTTTCCTTTACATTTGCCAATACCTTTCCCATATGTATAGTGCTATATTGTCAGTCACCTATTCTCTCTTTTAGTGCCTGCTTGTGAAGGTCCGGACAGCTCACGTCATTCTGAGGTAGGTGGAAGTCAGACTAGGGAATAAGGCTTCAGCTAGAAATTTGATTGTGATCTGTAGAAATGAGGAAGGAAATTAAGGCTGAGTTGTGGTTAAAGTATGCTGACTAGATTTTTTACTTCCTGGGCCTATTGGGTGATGATTCATTCACTATCAGTGAAGAGAAATAAGTAGCATCTATTCAGACATAGCAATGAATGGGAGTTGTTGTAATACCTATTTCATGAGGGCTGAGTGACTATAAAGAAAGAAATTCTGTATTTGTTTTCCTCTTCTGATGTAGAGATTGACACAGAATGTCAAAACCAGTTTATTGGATATTTGCATCTTGCATGTGTGAACCCAGGTCTAACCTGAGAGTGGTTCAGTGCTGCTGCTGAATATTAAACAAAAAAGTTTCTTTTCTCACCAGCAGTGGGGGTAGATAGGTGGGAGTGCACACACACAGGCACTTGTAATGTTTTGAAATGTGTTACTGAAAATGTCTAAAATATTATTCAGCACTTTTTCTGCTGAACGGGTTACATCTTTAAATCTGATGTGTTTTTCATTGTTTGTGTAGGTATTCAATTCACCTATGGGACCTGAATCATGAGGGCACTTGGGAGAGTAAAGGCACTTATGTTTATTACACGGATTTTGTCATGGAGTTGAACTTGCTCTCAGTGGATCTGTTGCATCATATTCATATGTTGGTGAGTGATACGTGTATCACAGGAGTGCATTCACATTGGCAAATGGATCCCAATTGCTTTAAAACAAAAGATTTCAACTGGAGTTTTCCCTTTGCAAGCTCATCTCTTCAGCGACACTAAATTACCTCGCACAAAACTCACTGATGTTGACCATTTCCATCAGATTACCACATACCTTAAACTCCAAACCAATCTATTTTTCATTTTGGTTATTTTAGAAGGTGTAATTTTAGTGTGGAAGCAACTATTGTTGGAAACATTCCATTTTGAAGTCGAGTTTAATTTTTAATTAGTTTGGCATCAATTTAAAACAATTATAGTCTAATCATTTACAGTAATGTAGAAACCTTTGCAGCTCTGGTACTTGGAATTTGCTGTGGGTGTAGCTTGCACAGACTTGCTGTTGGTCACAAGTTACACTCACAAACTTCAAACAAGAGCTTTTACAACATAAAATTAAAATAATCCTGCACAAAAGGCATACTAAATCTTTTATATCTTAGTCTCGTACTTCCTGCTTTCTTTTGCCACAGAGCAAATTAAAACTGGCATTTTATAATCTACCAATAGCAGTTTATGTTTATCTGCATTATTGTTACTATTATAGTAGCCAGTGCTCATTTTCAGAGTTCTCAATGTTGATTTCAGTGCTGATAGTTGGAGATGACGGCAAATGTTGCACTGATGTACTTTTCCCATGGTGGCAGTAATATTCTTCGTCTTTTCTGTACTTAAGGATATGCTGGTGTTGCACATTGCAGTATTTAATATTAAATGGTGTTTTCTATATATTCTGGTCTGACCAATATGATCCAGTGTGCTTCTCAAAGATTACTGATAGAAGGACCACATTTTTTCTTTAAACACCAGTCCTTGCCAAACTCTAGCAAAGCAATTGGTTTCAAACCGAATTGAAACTCTGGGTTTGGGAGCAAGTGCACAATTACTTTCCTTTGTTTGAAGAGCCTAAGGGGGAAATGCAATAAAGGTAATCTCCCTGACCCCAGCTCGGGGCTGAAATGCTGTACTCTGTCCAGCGCCTTGGGACGTCCTCCAGACGTGAAAGGCGTTATACAAATGTAATCCTGTTGTTGGTGGTGGTGATATCACATGAGGTAAATATGCTGTCAATAGTTATCCTCTGACCCCCTCCATGCGGCAATGATAATTACTGATTGCTGTTGACAACATTTTTGGTTGTGATAATCCTGATGATTACACTGCAATTTTTTTTCTCCCATAGAGTCAAAGATTAACTTTTTAATCTTAGATTTTTTTTAAATTAAATAATCTCAGGTGCTTGCCTGCCATTTTGTCTCTTGTGAAGTGAATGTATTACTCTGACTGGTCTCTCCTTGACCAGTTGGATACTAGTGTGCGCAACTGTTTCTAGGACACAGTATATTAGACAATTTAAAAGAAACTCATAGGATTTAATTTATTGTATGTTTTATATGAAAAACGTACCTACACAAATTATTAATGATTGAGAAGAACCTGGATCTGGAATTGTGGTGTAATAATAGATGTGGATGGAGTTGATTCTGTTGATTTTAAAATTCTGTAATCAATTGTACCTTTAACAGTGATTGTATTTGATTTGTATATACGTCATTTTGATTTTCTCTTGCATGACTTTTCTCTTGGAACTGAAAGGATTGCTCTTAAAGGAACTGGCACAGACGCGATGGGCCAATTGGCCTCCTTTTGTGCTGTATATTCCTATCGTTCTATGAGCAGTGGTTTGTTGAGACAGATTTGCGTTACTGGTAATGTCTACAGCATGTGCTTTTCTTCTCTGCAGCTGTTTGGAAATATCTGGCTATCCATGGCAAGCCTGGTGATATTCATGCAGCTTCGCTACCTTTTCCATGAGGTACAACGTCGACTCAAGCGCCACAAGAACTACCTGCGTGTGGTGGGCAACATGGAGGCAAGGTAAATAGTCCCCGATTGCTGGAGTAACGGTCATTAAACGGGCTAAGATTAAAACTGAGGGATCGAGGAGACATATGTTCTGAGTCTTGGATGTTGTAGATAACAGACAGGCTGTTCATCTCTAGAGCTAATTAACCGGAGAATTATTTCTTTTAAATCATGCTATGTGGGTAAACTAGTTAATCTTCAAATATAACAGAAATGTACACCAAAGGTGTTTTGATTTGAAGCTCTGACACAGAGCATTCAATCTACTGGGAGGGGGGAAAAGATTCACTGGCTGCTTTGATTTTTATTAATTTAATATTTCAGTGATTGACCAGTTGACCCCATTTCATTAACTAGCTGGAAATACTGTAGTTTCTGGAATGTTAAAGGGTTTTAGTGAAGAACTTCTGGAATATTGTGGGAGCGAGAGAGGACGTTTGCCCGATTACTGGTTGGGTGACAGTTCTAACCTTGATATTATTTTGAAAACATACATACTGTGTTTTTTTTAAAAAGGCATTTCTCAATGTCCCATTTATGGCTTTTGACCCTAGTGTTCTTTGTAGTTGGAGATAACATTTGTGGGCATGTCAAGCATTGTTTTTGTGTATTTCTGAGGTACGGCAATAACTGCTGAGCTCTTATTTTTCTGGTAGGTTTGCAGCTGCCACTCCTGAAGAGTTAGCATCCAACAATGATGACTGTGCCATCTGCTGGGACTCAATGCAGTCTGCCCGAAAACTTCCCTGTGGTCACCTATTTCACAAGTACGTACTGCCCAAGTTGATGGAAACCGTTTAATAATAATCCTTGCATTTGATATAGCGCTTTTCACGTCTTCTAGACGTCTCAAAGCGCCTCACAAAATAGACTGTAACGTGAATTGACTGTATGTTTGTGGGTGAAACGTGGCAGCCAATTGCACACAGCAGTGTCCCACAAACAGTCGTCAATTGAAGTGACCAATTTATTATTTTTTATCTTGAGGGATTATTATCAAGCGTGTGGAGTAAGGAAACTTGCCCAAGGTTTTGCCCTGCCAGGAACCTAACCTAGGTCTCTCGCTTGCAAAGCGAGTACTCGTCAGTAGAGTCCTGTAGTTCAGTGGTTAGTCATGTATAATAATAATCATCCTTGCATTTGATCTAGCGCCTTATCACGTCTTCTAGACGTCTCAAAGCGCTTCACAGAATATACTGTAAAGTGAATTGAGTATATAGAGTGATTGGGAGAGTTTCCATGCCAAAATATATACTTTTTTCTTATTCGTATAACCTGATTCCTCCTCAAGTAGCTTGTATCCTTGTGAGTGTGATAATATAGACAGTTGTTCAATGTGCATTGAGTAGTTTCATGTTTTGGGGATCTACATTATGATTTGCAGTTGCTAAAGTTTCTTTTATGTGCGTGGTTACAATACTAGCTCCTGTCTGCGTTCCTGGCTTGAGCAGGACACCTCATGTCCCACTTGCAGAATGTCACTCAACATTAATGAAGACAGCCGTGCTGGTGAGCCTCGGCAGAGAGATAATCTGAATGAGAATATAGGGGCTGTGCCTGTGGTGGAGGGCAGACCCCACATCAACCAGCACAACCATTTCTTCCATTTTGATGGTAAGCTGAACAGAGATAGCAATGATCCAGCAGTGAATACTTAATGTAACCTTTTTTAAAAAAAAACAATAGATGGAACTTTTTCACTTATTCAGTAATTTAAAAGCTTTACAAATAGTTTCAACAATTCATTCATTAAAAATTACAGACCTGAAGAAATTCATTGTTTAGCATGGATGAGGAGTTGACCAAACTCTTCCTTCTTGTCTTTCTCTCCCCAGTTCCTTGACTTGTTTGAAAATGAAGTAATTACTACTTAATTGTGAATATTTGTTGAAAAAAAATTCTACTTTACTGATTACAAACTGCTTATCTTTCAGGGTCCCGTATCGCAAGCTGGCTCCCGAGCTTCTCAGTGGAAGTGATGCACACAACAAATATCCTTGGCATTACTCAAGCCAACAATTCTCAGCTCAATGCCATGGTGAGCCCGATAGATCAATGCACAAAGAACACTTGTTACAGCAATGCTCATTTCTTACCTTGCAAATACATTTTTGCTGCAGGACATTGAATGGTTGGCACGTGAGGAGTCGATCATATTAAAGTGGAATTCTTCCCGTTTGTTTCCAGTCATCAACACCTTTGCTTAGCTCTTTACATTTACATAATACATATATTAAATTATGGAACCTATTCAATATTTTTATGCTTTTAAAATGGTTATCAAGCAGAATATCTGTTCTTGACTATCAACAGGCAGATTGTTGAGGGAAATGTGTGTGAATAGGGTGCATAGGATAGCATTCAACCCCAGGTCATCAATTTACCACCAGCTAGTTGCCTTTCTAGGAAATGTAGGGATTTATTCTAAGTCATAAATTGTTGTTGTTGAGTCATTTATACAAACCCCTGTCCCATCTGTTTTTACAGTCCGAGCATTGGTGCATACCTTATTTGTTGATTAATTCCTGAGTTTTTTTACAAATTAATTCCTGGGAAACTGATGAGGTGAATTGGAAAGGGTTGACCCATACTGTCCTGACAAATGGTTACATTCCCTATTTCATCCCCTGTATGTTATTTGGAATAGGAAGTATTTTTCCCAAGAGGAAAATGATTGATTTACCTATAAGGAACCCTGGTTTGCACTCTAATTATGGCATTGTCCCTGTATGCAGGCTCATCAGATCCAGGAGATGTTCCCCCAGGTTCCATATCATCTTGTTCTTCAGGATCTGCAGTTGACACGTTCAATAGAAATCACCACCGACAACATTCTGGAAGGAAGAATTCAGGTGCCCTTTCCCCAGCAGGTGAGTCTCCTTTAAAATACTTTAACAGAAATAATTTAACACTTCGGCTGCATACAATATATTTTGGTTCCTCTCTTTAATACACCTTATAGCGACAAGAAGGTAGACCATCATTGAATGATCCAGATGTGGAGGTGGATGGTGGTAATGCAACCGAACTGAATAGCAATGCCGAGCAGGTAACAGGCAAATTGATTTTACTCCATACGTTTATGGATAATAATAATAATAATCCTTGCATTTGATATAGCGCTTTTCACGTCGGGAGGACGTCCCAAAGCGCTTCACAGAACACACTGTAAAGTGAATTGACTGTATATTTGTGGGCGAACGCGGCAGCCAATTGCGCACAGCAATGTTCCACAAACAGTCGTAGATTGAAAATGACCAATTTATTATTGTTTTTGGTTTTTGGAGGGATTATTATTAGGCGTGTGGAGTAAGGAAACTTGCCCAAGGTTTCGCCCTGCCTGGAATTGAACTCGGGTCTCTCACTTGCAAAGCGAGTGATCTAACCACTGAGCTACAGGACTCCACAAATTGTGGAGGATAGGATAATTGTAGAATGATTGTGTTCAGATATCTTACCCCAGGGAACCTCTAAAATACACACATTAGAAATGTCGAACCTTGCATCTTGCCATTGATGGGGACCAATGAAAAGACAATTTTGTATAATTGTAAAGGGGCATGGCAAGAAAATCATGAGCAACTTCCTATTAAACATTTGCAGGAAACCCCTAATCCTCTATGGTTGAGTGCACAATTTGTACCATCTGCCTTGATTGTACAATGCCAACATTCAGGACTTAATGTTTACAATTAGATTTAAATCAAGGGTTTGGGTTGCACCAGTACTTATACCAAATTTAACGGCAGTGGTTTTCCAATTGGATGCAATCCTTAATCCAAGAGAGTCTTAAAGCATGCAACTCTTACTGTGAAATTTGGTGGTTGCCTACTTTTATTCTAAACACTGACTGTCCTCCATTTATTCTAATCACTTTAAAGCTGATCTGCAACACGTTTCAAAGTAGGATAAATGTTCATCTTGGTAGCAGTTTCATTTCTTGATGCAGTTTCAGTGTGATGGTAATGAAGAGGCCTTTCTCTCTTGCACCAGGAAGTGAGAGATGCACTTAACTGGTGTTCAAGCTGCAGATATTTAAACTTAATTATAATTAAATGACTACCTCAATAAAATATTTTTTGGAAATTTGGTTTTGAAACCCTAGTTACATTGGCATTCAACAGGCGCTATACATTAAAAACTAATCCTAGCAGCATTGAAAGGCCCTTAATTTATCCATAACGGGTTTCAAGTATAACAACAACAAGCTACATTAGTATAGTGCCTTTCATGTTGCGAGGACGTCCCAAGGAATTTGGACCCGAACTGGGGGTTGAGTCAGGAGAGGTGGAGGGCTGGGAGGGTAGGGGCAGGAGGGTGACTGAAGGTGCAGTTGAAGAGAGTCTTGATCCAGGTCTTGAAGGAGGCAAGGGAGCGAGACGAAGAGACTGGGATGGAGTTCCAAAGGGTGGGAGCAGAGGCTGAAGGCCCGATCGCCAGTGGTGGGGCAGATCGGGCGGAGGACGTGCAGCAGGCCAGAGCCTGCTGAACGGATAGAACGGGCAAGTTGATTTGGACTTAGCGGGTCACAGAGGTAGGGAGGAGCAAGACTGTGGAAAACTTTGAAGGCGAGGATGAGGAATTTTTGAGAAATCCTATCCTATGTGGGATGGGGAGCGAATGGAGCCGGGAAGGATGGGGGAGAGAGGCAGTGGCGGAGCTGGGCAATGTTGCAGAGGTGGGGAAAGGCAGAGCGTGTCATGGCACGCATGTGGGTCAAACAGAGGGTCAAACAAGACGCCAAGATTCCGGACTGGCTCAGTGAGGTGGAATGGCCATCGTTTGATGGTGATGCTGTCGGCGCCTGAGGTGCAGAAGCGCTGATGGGAGCCAATCAGGACAGCCTCGGTTTGTTGACATTCAACTGGAGAAAATTAGCTCTCATCCAGGACTTGATGTTTGTCAGGACAGTAGTGGCTGTGTCTTTAAATTGTCTTGTTAAAAAAAACAAAGAAGCTCACCTTCAGTGTTCTGATGAGCAGAAATTAGAAAGCTGGGTAGACTTAATTTAAAAGTTTACATATTTTTAAAAATGAAAGCACTCGCTTGCCTGCCAGCATTGTTAGCTTTCTACATGGTGAACCACAGCGAGAATCTACTGTTCTCATGTGACTTGACCTTTGCTGACCCAAACCTGCAATGGGCGAATCAGCTGAAGTGAAATACATAAATACTTGTGATTTTTAGCAAAACCGATTGTGGAAGTATTGTGTGTTTTGGGCTGGCCAAATGTGCCACAGTGGTCTCAGATTTAGAAGACCATGGCCCTACAATTTCGCCCACTTAATATACAGTCAATTCACTTTACAGTATATTCTGTGAAGCACTTTGAGATGTCTCGAAGACGTGATAATAATAATAATAATAAAAATAATAATAATCCTTGCATTTGATATAGCGCTTTTCACGTCAGGAGGACGTCCCAAAGCGCTTCACAGAACACACTGTGAAGTGAATTGACTGTATATTTGTGGGCGAACGCGGCAGCCAATTGTGCACAGCAATGTCCCACAAACAGTCGTAGATTGAAAATGACCAATTTATTATTGTTTTGGAGGGATTATTATTAGGCTCTGTGTGGAGTAAGGAAACTTGCCCAAGGTTTCGCCCTCTGCCTGGAATTGAACTCAGGTCTCTCACTTGCAAAGCGAGTGCTCTATCCATTGAGCTACAGGACTCCACAAGTGCTATAAGGTGCTATATCAAATGCAAGGATAATTATTATAATTCCTATGTGCTATGTACATGTCTGTTCGTGTGCATCAGAACTCAAGTAAAGCTTTTGTATTCGTTCATGTTTCCATTTCTGTATTTATGAATCTGTCAAATACCAATTTATAGTGTGTTTCGGTGGCTTCTATTTTCTTTCGATCAGCAGACTGAGCATGCGGAACTCGATCTTAATCCCAGTGTGGAGGAGGCGTTCGGAGCTGAGGGTGAGAATCTGCAAAGCGACATTCAGACAGATGACTTTGAAGTCCGAGGCAGTCGCTTTTCAAAATCGGCGGATGAAAGACAGCGAATGTTGATGCAGCGTAAAGATGAACTACTGCATCAAGCACGGAGGTATGTGGGGGCTATTGAGATGTGGCAAGGTGGCTGAATGGTCCACTAATGTTTGCTCTAGGATGAAGTACTTGATTTGTCTAGTTGCACTTGTGGAGCCCAGTACCTGTATGCCTTCAGGAGAAAAATTATATCACTTGGCAAGATTATTATGATAACTGGTCATACAATAATTGTTGTATAATCACTTGAAGAAATATTGGGAGGTTAGGAGATTTTCNTTTTAATACAGAGGATTGTTTTAATATAAAATGTTTCAACCACCAATGCTGATTTAAGCTGAGGCGATTTAAAAAGGAACTGGATACATAAATGTGCAAAGGAAAAATGTGTTAAGGGGAATGGAATGGGGTTGCTAATTCCAGAATTAGAGTCCGATTTCCTTCTACTCTGTACACTTTTAATGATTCCATGAAAACAGAGTGGAGCTATAACAGCTTTATTGTCAATTCTCTTTCTCTGCTGTGTTCAGAAAGTGCAAAGAACACGTCTGCTCTCCCCCACACACACGCATGATCAGGCGTGCGGGTAAACTCGAGATAACTATATTTGCATTCCACTTAACTGCAACTTACAAACTGTTCAACCAATATATTATGTAGTCCAGTGGCTCATATAGAAGAAAGCCACATATCAATTTGTAGCCTCTTGCTTGATGTTTGAATAGAATTGATTGCCTATTGTTAAACAAAGCGCAAATTTCTGCCTCACAGACGTTACCTGACTAGAAGTCCATTTGAAGGAGACCATGCATCTGACGGCAGCGCGTCCATTGGGACACTGCGCAATACAGACTATCTCACTTTGCGCCGTCGAACCCTAGCAGCTGCAGCCGAAAGACGTCTCCAGCAGCAGCAGGACTCTTAGTTCTAATGAAGCAACAGCGGAACCTGAAACCTGACGCTTTTCTAAATCACATTGGCTCTCCCTTTGCTTACAGTGGCAAAAGCAGAGTGAGCAGCACCCTTTAACCACTCTGTGTAGTCACATCATCAGGCTGGAGAGTTGTACTAACCCATGTACTGCGTCTGCACGAATGAAGCTGGATCTCAACAATATTTGAGGTGAAAAATGGCATGGATGGTTATTTTTATACAACCTTTGTGAAAACAATAAACCGCTTTTTACCTGCAAGAAAATTAGCTGCAAACATCTTGAAACTGCTTTTAAAACTCTTAAACTGTGCAACCTGTGCCATGTCCATGTGGCTGTGTACAGTGTATTCTGAAAGACCCTCTGGTTCCCAGAGCTGTTTTGGGGAGATTGGCAAAGTGCAGCTCTCTGGGCCCTATCAGCAACACTGCTACAAAGTGGCCTGGTGCCACAGTGTTTGTTAATAATGTTAGTTTCTTCATGGTTTTTCCATTCAACTGAAGCACGGAGTAATTCTACAAATCCTGCTCTATCCCTTCATGGTATTAAGCGCAGTAATGACTCTTCCTTTGTAAACCTTTTCTCTGTTTCATTGCTGGCTCAAGTCTTGTCTGCATGTTGTAGAATCTTGTTATAATTGACTCCATTTCTCTGCATCTTCAGATATAATTGTGTTAATTCTGTAATTTACTTATAACCCAGCAGTTAATTTCAGATGAAGTGTTAATAAAAGGGCCTGACTTGTGGTGGCTGTGGGGATTGATGAGCTCTTACACTTATTAGGTTGCTACTTGATTTGGAAATTTGTGGATGAGAGCCTGCAGTATCCAGGGGACCAGCTAAGGTTTTTAAAAAGTTGACATCTTGAACACTTGAAATGGTCTTAAATTATATCAATCCACTTTCCCAGAACTAAAACTACCTCAAAGAGTCTGTGTGCTTCTCAGCGTTCACTGTGTTATTTGTCGACCACAATGTAAGTGAAAAACCTTGAAGCTAACATTAACCCTGGCAATATTCTCCCAATGAGAGATGGAACAGGTCACATTGATTCTCCACAACGCTTAACGCCGTTTTGAATCTTGGATTTTGGGAGTGGCTACATTTATTTATCCAATAGCCCAGTGTTTGAAGTAGGACCTGCGGTGCTGATCATGTGACATTAATTTGGTGACTTGAAAAAGATTATTTTAAATAAAGTATTGCACGTTTTCTATTGGGTTTAGCGTGATCTGCGTAATTTTACACGTGCAAGTTACAGAATTCACTGGGGTTTTGTTAAGTTTTTTGAGCACAGTAGTTTATTTTCAATATTTGGATAAGCTTTTCTGTTTTCATCGCTAGGAATATAAAGATGTGATTTGAGCTGAATAACAAGATATATAATATTTAAAAAGGGAATACATAGCAATAGACTGAATATCCTGTTCCTTTTACCCCATCCCACCTTCTATAGCAACTGACTTTAAATAGTTTCTGCTCCTTGCTTTGCTAAGTGCATCTGATAAACTTGCTGCAAGGTGCTTTTGATGCCAGATGTATAATATTATTTGAAATAACAATTACAAAGTGATTTTTTTAAACCACTCAGAAAATTCCCATCTTTTAAATTTCCAGTGTTGCTTCCCATCAATGCTTTTTTCAATGGGAGTACTTCTATGATTTTACACAAGTCTGGAACAAATTGATGACTCAAACAAATTGATTTGCCAACCAAATTCATACGAAATTTGGAGTTCCTTTAGTGTTTTTTTAATGAATACTCATGAACAGTATTCCTACCTGTTTTCAGACTGCACACGACTGGGACAGGGTTGGGTGACTTTTGCTGTTGAATACTCCCTTTGCAACAGCTTTCTAGATCTATCGGGATTGGGGGGTGTCTTCGAACATTAGTTCAATGTGAATAAGTGTATTCTTCATCAACTTTTGTCTTTTTTCCTAAGCTCAAATCTGATGTAAATTGTTGCGGTAGAAATTTGCTACTGTCCACTTGTAAAGGAGGAAACCTCTGACTCTTTAGTGTACCAAGCTCCATCTAAGGAGTGTAAAATATGACACCTTACTGTGATGTTTTCCTTCTCTCTCCCCCCCCACCCCATAAGAGTTCCAAAAATAGTTTGTTTCATGTATTTTTAAGCACGATTACCATATTTTTGTTTTTACAAATTTATTTAAATAAAGTGCATTTATTGGTTTGTCTAATAGGATTTATTTTATTTCTCTGCTTCTTGTAATGAGTTTGCATATTGGTTACAGTTCCTCATCATCCATTGTCAGACTTGACCTCGGTTACGTACTCCTCTCCCTGGTGGTTACCTGTCCTTTCCTGCTGTCGAGATGAGAAGTTGAATAAAGTTATGGCACAATGCTTGAATAAACTGGATTATACAAGATGGAAAAAGCTTGTGCATTAGTGACAGACTGCAACACTTTCCAATTCAATCCATCATATCAACTTTTGAATTGTGCAGTGTATACTGTAGCACTGTATATATGTTCACAGTATCTCAGCCTCCTTCGTTCAACCACCTCGCCTTGCTGCACACAGGCCTTTCTCTTTAGTCCTCAGGAATCTCACTCACAACATCCCTATTTCTGGAATCTCCGTCATAAAAATCACAATTCACTGTGAAGCCACAATATTCATGTGGAGAAATTATTGTCCATTCAATATAAACCTGCGGTCTTGATAATCTGCCTCTAGATGGCACCAATACATTTACCAAACACTGCGGCACCCACAGTGTTATAATGAAATAATCCTTGCGTGTTAGTGTGCTTTTCACGTCTCCTACACATCTCAAAACCCTTCACAGAACAGACTATAAAGGGAAGTGACTACATTTGTGGGCCAAACGCGGCGGCCAATTGCGCTCGGCAGCGCGAAACAGCCCACGGACGGCCGCGGGTTGAAGTGACCAATTTTATTAGTGATGGGATTCTTGAGGGATTATTGTCGGGCGCTCGCGCGCGCGCGTGTGTGTGTGTGTGTGGAGTCGGGGGGTTTGCCCTGACCGGCCGGGAATCGGACCCAGGTCTCTCGCTGGCGAGACGAGTGCTCTAACCACTGAGCCACGGGATTGTTTCTCGACTCCCAACACTCAGCTCGATCTTGGTGCGGATCGGGACCAGCAGCGCCTGTGCCATGTCCAGGCTCACCTGGAGGAGGCTTCTACCCTCTGGGCTGGTTATACTGTAATAATAATAATAATAATAATAGCCCAAATAATATTATTGTAATAGTACAACCAGACACGAGCCCAATAGTGGGAGTTTCCCACCAGGAGTAGCCGTGAAGCCAATTTAGGTTATTGAAACTGTAAGGAATGGTCTTCAAAGGGGAAAAAAAACGTTTAAAAACAATTTTTTTTAGAAACACAAATGAGGCAGATTCCCAGAACTGCTGCTCACACGTCACAGCACAAACCCGCCCCATTGGGCGTGAAACCCGCCCAAATCCCGCCCCATTGGGCGTGAAACCCGCCCAAATCCCGTCCCATTGGGCGTGAAACCCGCCCAAATCCCGTCCCATTGGGCGTGAAACTCGCCCAAATCCCGTCCCATTGGGCGTGAAACTCGCCCAAATCCCGCCCCATTGGGTGCCGCCTCCACCCGCTCCGGGGTCACGGGGTCAGAGGTGGTGACGCGCTGCCGTTAGCAACCGAGAGACGCCGAGAGCGGGAGCGGCCCCCGGGCCACAGCTCACAGGTACAGCGGGGCCGGGCCCGGGGGGCCGGGGGGCGGGGCCCGGGGGGGGGGACGGGGGGCCGGGGCCGGGGGCGGGGGGGGGGGGCGGGGGGCGGGGGCCGGGCGGGGCGGGGCTGAGGGCAGCGGCGGGGAGGTCGGGCCCTGTGGGACTGGACTCGGCGGCGGCAGCTCATGTTCATAGAGAGACCGCCATAGAGCATAACAATAATATTGATGCGGTTCCCCCCCACAGTCCCCCCGTACACCCCCCACAGTCCCCCCGTACACCCCCACAGTCCCCCCGTACACCCCCACAGTCCCCCCGTACACCCCCCACAGTCCCCCCGTACACCCCCCACAGTCCCCCGTACACCCCCACAGTCCCCCCGTACACCCCCACAGTCCCCCCGTACACCCCCCACAGTCCCCCCGTACACCCCCACAGTCCCCCGTACACCCCCCACAGTCCCCCCGTACACCCCCACAGTCCCCCGTACACCCCCCACACTCCCCCCGTACACCCCCCACAGTCCCCCCGTACACCCCCCATAGTCCCCCGTACACCCCCCCATAGTCCCCCTGTACACCCCCCCATAGTCCCCCTGTACACACCCCCATAGTCACCCTGTACACACCCCCCCATAGTCCCCCTGTACACACCCCCTATAGTCCCCCTGTACACCCCCCATAGTCCCCCCGTACACACCCCCCCATAGTCCCCCTGTACACACCCCCCCATAGTCCCCCCGTACACACCCCCTATAGTCCCCCCGTACACCCCCCCCCCCCCGTACCCCCCCCCCCCCGTACACCCCCCACAGTCCCCCGTACACCCCCCACAGTCCCCCCGTACACCCCCCACAGTCCCCCCGTACACCCCCACAGTCCCCCCACCCCCCACACTCCCCCCGTACACCCCCCACACTCCCCCCGTACACCCCCCACACTCCCCCCGTACACCCCCCACTCCCCCGTACACCCCCCACAGTCCCCCGTACACCCCCCAGTCCCCCCGTACACCCCCCCCACAGTCCCCCCCTACACCCCCCAGTCCCCCGTACACCCCCCACACTCCCCCCGTACACCCCCCACTCCCCCCGTACACCCCCCCAGTCCCCCTGTACACCCCCCATAGTCCCCCCTGTACACCCCCCCATAGTCCCCCCCCCCCCATAGTCCCCCGTACACCCCCCCATAGTCCCCCTGTACACACCCCCCCATAGTCCCCCTGTACACACCCCCTATAGTCCCCCTGTACACCCCCCCATAGTCCCCCTGTACACCCCCCCATAGTCCCCCGTACACCCCCCATAGGTACACACCCCCTATAGTCCCCTGTACACCCCCCCATAGTCCCCTGTACACCCCCCATAGTCCCCCTGTACACCCCCCATAGTCCCCCTGTACACCCCCCCATAGTCCCCCTGTACACCCCCCCATAGTCCCCCGTACACCCCCCATAGTCCCCCTGTACACACCCCCCCATAGTCCCCCTGTACACACCCCCTATAGTCCCCCTGTACACCCCCTATAGTCCCCCTGTACACACCCCCCATAGTCCCCCTGTACACACCCCCTATAGTCCCCCCGTACACACACCCCCCATAGTCCCCCGTACACCCCCCCATAGTCCCCCTGTACACCCCCCCATATAGTGCCCCTGTGCACCCCACTCCGCATACACTCCCCCTATACACGCTCCTCTCCCATACAATTCCTTTTCCCCCTATCCCTCCTCCCCTATATAGACCCGCTGTACGATCCCCTCCACCATCATTGCTCCGCAGAAATCCCCTCAATAGAATTGCCTCTGTAGAGACTCTCTCGTTAGAATTCCACGTGCTCAGAAGATCCTTCCCTGCAGATATTTCTCTCAGCAACATCTCCTCAGAAAATGCCTCCTCTGCAGAGATGATTCACCCCCCCCCCCCCCCCTGCCCCGTCCCCCCACCTCCGCCTCAGAACTCCGATGGTAAATGTATCTTGAAGAAGTTTGTGGATTCTCACTATATTTTCCCTGCTGTACTTCCAGGTGGCAGCTATGCTTGTTCCGGTCTTCACCCTCAAGTTAAACCACAAAATTATCCCCCGGATGGTGACTGTGGGGAAATATGATGGCATACACCCTGCTTGACAGCCGCTACCCAGGCTGGCAAGGTACTCCCAACTGCGGTTAATTTAGTGAGAATCTGTCAGTGAGGGTGTGAGGCAGTGTCGCTGTCAATAAGAAACGATCAGTGAGGCTGTGTTACAGTAAGAGTGTCTGGCTATCAATCTCACTATATAGGTATCAGTCTGGCTGTGTAGTTCAGTGAGGCATCAATTGGGGGTCTTGGGGTGAGGTAAGTGACGTCTGCTTGGGGCTGAGCTGACTCGAAGGTAATGTGCCTGTCATTGGAATATCGGAATCACGTTAAGACTCATAACGGTCTCAGTGGTCTGGTTCCTCAGCTAGATGAGTCTGTAGTACTCCAAGGTGCTGTTGATGATTGACCAGCCGGACTTGAAGGGGCAGAATTCTTCATATTAAGCTTCTGTTAACTCCCAAAGCTTTTTAAACCAAAATCTTAGGCCAATACCTTTAACGGATAGGTTTATCCAAGCTGGTATGAAGCTGGCCAGATCGTGCTCTCAAAAGAAAGCTACGTGTTCTTAGGCAGTTAAAACCCAGGAGTATCCCCACACACAGTCTGGGGTCCCCAAGCCTTGACTCTTACCAACCTGCACCTAAAACTGGAATTAGGAAAGCAGGGTGTGTACTTCTATGGAGAGAGAGTGCGCACTCTATTTCAGATGCAGGAAAATTTCCATGTGTAGGTGGCACACATTTATGTAACTCTTTGTCTCTGTCTGGTTTGGATCCGATGTCAATGTCAAAAGTGCAAGTGAATATTTCAGTGAGAAAGTATTCTCACTTGTGCCAGTGTGGCCCTGCGATTCACAGTGGATGGTGACTGTTGGTATGTTTGTTTGCTGCAGGTTTTTATTCACAACCCTCATGCTCGTAGCCAGCGCTTTATCTCCAATCGCCTGCAGCAGAGCACCCAGGATTCCGACATCACCCTCCTGAACATAAACCAGGCCGTCAGCTGTCTGACCGCGGGGGTGCTGAACCCCAACCTCGACCACCATACCCTGCTCGTGGGAACACAGACTAACCTGCTGGCTTATGATGTACATAATAACACTGACATCTTCTACAGAGAGGTAAGATTTACAGTTGATCTTGTTAATCCAGGGTGATCTTTCAGTGTAGTGTTGGGGGTTGCATTGTCGGAGGTACCACCTTTCCAACGAGACCTTAAGTCCCGCCAGCCTATTTTACTGTACTTTAAAGATCCGCTTAACACATTGAAAAAATCTCAACGACATGATAAGGCGCTATCTCAAATGCAAGGTTTATTATTATTTATCCCATGGCACTATTAGAAAAGACAAGGGAGTTTCTCCTGGTATTCTGGCTAACAGTTGTCTCAGTTTTTTTTAAAAGAAATGGTTATTTCATTTCATGGCTTGTTTAGGGGAAATTGTTGTGTGAAAATTGGCTGCCACATTCGCCTGCAGATGCACAATCACTATACTTCACAGTGAAGCACCTTGAGAGATCTCAACAGCTTGATAAGCCGCTAAATCAATTGAAAGGATTATTATTATTATTATATCGAAAACAAGGAATATTAATATTAACTCTCTGGATGAGTCTGCTATAAGATTTTTCTTCAAAAGATAATCGTTGGTAGAGCAAAGAGATTCTCTGTGATGACAGAGATTCTCCTTTGTCTTTCTTATCCTGCCTCCCCTCTCTGTTCGTCCTTAAAACCTCTCCCTCCCATCATCCCCCAATTCTGACAAAGGGTCATGGACCCGAAACGTTGACCTACTTTCCCTTCTCCATAATAATAATAATAATAATCCTTTATTATTCTGATCCTAGATTACAGTGATTCTGATCCCTGACTGTTCAGCGACTTGGGACATTCTCCCGTCATGAAAGGCGCTTTACAAATGTAATTTTGTTGTTGTTTAGCGTGAAGGTAACCTGAATAGGCAGCACCTAGCAAGGTACGGTTTGGGAATTAAGATCATTGTACTTCCTGATCTGTTTTATTTGTTTTAGGTGCCGGATGGAGCCAATGCCATGGTGTTGGGACAGCTGGGAGACATCTCGTCACCATTAGCAATTATCGGAGGAAGTTGCGCCCTTCAAGGTTTTGATCACGAAGGGAATGACCGATTCTGGACGGTATGGAAGCACAGAGCTACACTGGCATCTAACCTAGTGTGTAATAGGGGGATAGTGTTCTGAAGGAGGAAATAAGGTTAACATGGCAAATAGAAAGTGCAGCAAAGATTAATTGGCCACCTTCCTGACCTCCGCTCTCCCTACGTACAGCAGCTCATCTACCGGGTTCCTACTTACTTCTAGGTAAATAGAGGCATGTGGACTAAGGAAACTTGCCCAACATTTTGCCCTGCCGGGAATTGGACCCAGATCTCTCGCTTGTGAGACAAGTGCTCTAACTACTGAGCTACAGGACTCCACATAGATGCTGCCTGACCTGCTGAGTGTTCCCAGCGATCTCTGTTTTTGTTTAAAAGTTTTATAGCTGTGCAGTCAGCCCTTTGTGGGATTATAACTAGAGCAGTTTCACGTATTCTTGGTGTTTAAGACACAAACTCTAGGGGTTATGTCAGGAATGTGCTTCACAGAATCCACGCAAAATACCACTGCAAAGTTTCTGTTTCCTGTGATCTCTCTGCCACCACAGTTGCTGCATGGATCTCTTTTATACATAGAACTTTAAACACCCTTACTGACTTCATGAATGTTTCAGTCTAGAGAATGGACATGGAGAACATTAATGTGAAGATATGTAACTGTGATCTCCACTTACAGTTAAGAAAACTCCTTTGGGCTGGCAGTGAAGGTTAAAATGTTTGTGCTTTTCATACTCAGGTCACCGGAGACAATGTCCGGTCGCTGGCCCTCTGCGACTTTGATGATGATGGAAAGAATGAGGTGAGTCCACTTTGTTCAGTCCAAAACGATTCAGAACAGAAAGATCCTCAGTGACAGTGCAGCCATTGAGCCCAGTAACTATTGACATTGCACATATGTGCACAGTATCTTGCTGACATTACATAATACGAACACAATACATACTGACATTAATAATAATTAATAATTTTTGCATTTGATATAGAGTCTTTCAAGGTGGGACCGTGTCTCAAAGCACTTCACAGGATTTACTGTAAAGGATAGTGACTCAATATTTTGAAGGCAAACATGGCAGCAAGTGTGTGCACAGCAATAACAAAATATACATTCAATTCACTTTACAGTATATTCTGTGAAGCACTTTGATAAGGCACTAAATCAAATGCAAGGATTATTATAACCCACAAATAAGCCAGGAAATGAAAGACCAATTTTATCTGTTGACCAGGACACAGGAAAAAACTCCCTGAAAAGCGCTATATCAAATGCAAGGATTATTATTATTATTATTATTATTATATAGCCATGCAATCTTTAATGCTCACCTGATCAGGCACACTGCTCTTCAATTTAACGTCTCATCAGAAGGATGGCACATCCAAAAATGCAGCACTTCCAGCACAACACTGAAGTGCCAGCCAAGACTGAATTCATAACCTCAACATGGTATTTAAACCTGCAGGTGTCTGACTCACAGGCAAGAGTGCTACCAACTGAGCGAGGCTGACACCTCATTAACAATGTACACAAACATAAGCATCTTACTTAGGACATAATCAGATGTGAATACAGAAGTTTCCTGATGGGCTGTTGATTGACACTTTGCTCTCCTCTTCACAGCTTCTGGTCGGATCAGAGGACTTTGATATCAGGGTCTTCAAGGAGGATGAAATCATGGCTGAAATGTCAGAGACAGAGGTAAGGATGGATTCCCTGCTCTGTGTGCCATTCTCTAGAGACAACACGTGCATTTGTCTGATGTTCTGTATCAATTTGGAAAATAAATCGTTGAGTCCAGTGTTATCCGCTGCAATAAAAACTGAGTGAGAAATGAACACTATGTTAGTGTGACAAGATGATATCATGGGCTAATAGAAAGAAATTTCCAATGAGATTCCTTGTTAGAGAAGCCTGGAGTATTTACACCCAAGCGTTTGTTTTTTGGGGGGCAGTTGGTTGTCTTGACACATGCAGAAATCTGTTACAGTGCTTACGAGTATCCGAACTGTACTGAGAGTGTTCACATGAATACCACTTACATTTTCCTGTCTTGAATAGAACGTGCACTCTGTTCCTGGAGTGACACACCATGTTTACCTAATTCAGGAAAGTATTAGGCGTAGGTTGGCTTGGGAATCCCTGTGTGTGTTCTGGAGTATATGACGGAGTATATGATAGATGTCCCACTGAACAAAAATGGGATCCAGGCTTTAATGTGGCCCTTTCCTTTTGCAGACTATCACAGCGCTGTGCCACATGCATGGAAGCCGGTTTGGTTACGCTCTGGCAAATGGCACCGTCGGAGTGTACGATCGAACGGCACGTTACTGGAGGATTAAGGTAAATACGTGAAATGAGACTGCAGTGGGTAAGGTCATGTTCATCACCTGTACAAGGTGAGATGAATTGGGATTTCAAAGAAAAAAACAAAGTTTAAGTAGATGAACAAAATATATTCTTCACCAGAGGAGAAATGTGAAAAATAGTTTAGTATTTTTTAAACTGGAATTTGAGCTTTGACACCTGACTACGCCCATAATAAATGGGCAGTAGGAACAGGTTATTGAATAAAGCTGGTACTAAAATGTTGCCAGATCTCAAGGTGTAGCCTGGAATAGTGGGGCAGTCTATTGTGCTGAGATCTGAGATGCAGCAGCAATAAAGACTATGTGATAGCTGTCGTGTGATGCTCAGCGTTTTGTTCTCATTGCTCCTAATCTTTTATTTACATTTGTTTTTCGCAGTCCAAAAACCACGCAATGAGTATCCACGCGTTCGACTTGAACTCGGATGGCGTTCCCGAGCTGATCACAGGCTGGTCTAATGGAAAGGTCAGTATTTGCTGTAAATGCCTCTGAATAATTAACAGCAGAGATTCATCCAGGGAAAGAACAGGCAAACAGTGGGTTACAGGCAACAATCCCGTCCCAACGGTTCAGATGAACAAACAACGGCAGACAAATCCCAATGATCATTTCTGGCTTTGCGTGGCCAGTCCTAAGTCAGGAAGGGTTTGGCTGATGTTGTTCTTCGGCTGAAGCTGGTTTTTGATTGCCCGTCAACATGTACAGGTTAACATTTTACAGGCGAACACCAAATAATTTTAGACAATGCAGATGGTGACACAGAGCTTATTAGATAATAGGATCATAGAATGTTTATAACATAAGAGGTCTTTCATCCCCATCATGTTTGTTCTGCACTGCAAATTAGGATTTTACTACTGCTCTGATCTATTACCTCTCTAATCCCATTCACTTGATATTTTACCCCCGCACACTTTAATGTTATTTTGCTCTTCTGTTCTCTGATACCAAGAGTCTCCTTTCTGGCTGAGAGTCAGACAAACTGCTCTCAGGGATCTTCCAAAAACTCCCTACTGACTGCTACGTGATGTGCAGAGGATTAATCGACCAATGTTACAGTCTTTTGTTGTGAATTCCACTTTCTTCCCCAACTGTGCATTCAGTGGCACACATACTGGAGTCTCAATGAGCTGCACTTCACACAGTAATCAACCTGATATTTACCGGTTGCTGCGCTGGTAGTGCCGGCTGCAAGGAGACTTGATCTGTATTTTCCCCACAGATCGATGCTCGCAGTGACCGCACCGGTGAGGTCATATTTAAGGACAACTTTCCCACCTCGATAGCTGGGATTGTGCAGGAAGACTACCGCATGGACGGACAGACCCAGCTCATCTGCTGCTCTGTGGATGGAGAAGGTAAAGCTGGCTCTTTTCTCTGCTCCCAGACACTTTCAGTGTCACTGTATAACTTGCCGTGGAGGAGCACGGAATAACTGGGGGTGGGAGACGCTCATCATTTTTCTTCATGAACCTGCACGTACTATTTTAATGTTATCAAGGTCAGGCGCTGGCCTCCACAGTGTGCCTTTTCCAAGACAAGTGAATCGAACATTTATTCTCTTTCTAAACACTAATGGGATAGTCTTTCTAAAAGACCGGCCCAGCTCCTGGCTGCAAAAGGCTAGAGGCCTTTCAGAGAATCATAAAACAACTTGCATTTATGTAACTCATTCACACGAGGCAGTGCGTCAGAGCACCTTAATACTAACATGAGGTTGGAGGAATGAGAGGATATTTTTATTAATTGATACTGGAAATAGGTAGAAATGTACACACACATAATTCTGGTCCACCCCTTCCTTGTTTTCTGCTCTGTAGTCCGAGGATACTTACCTGCCAGCCTGGAAATGAAAGGGAATCTAATGGACACAAACGTGGAACAAGAATTAATCCGTGACCTGAGTCAGCGAAAGCAGAACCTGCTTCTCGAGCTTCGGAACTACGAGGAGAATTCAAAGGTGAGTCTTTCGAGCAGGTCACTAGCCTGCTGTAGAGCAGCGTGAGAGCACCGGGTTAACACTCAGTAGAAGAGTTCTGGCCGAGTCCTGAAGCATGAATTAGCGGCTGGGGTAAGGTTATTGTCGATGAGTGAGTGGCACAGAGAATTAGGAATGACTGGTGTAGGTATTGAGTTTGACTGAACATGTGGGTATTTTTCATTGGGTGACTGGTGGGTGGAGATTGTGGGCTGAGTGACTGACTAATTGGCAGATCGGGAGAGCATATGATGTTATTAAGTGGTTCATTTAACATTTGTGCTGTGTTTGCATCAGGCCAGCTCGAATAACCAAGGAGGAGAACGAGAAGGGCAAGTGGGTGTTATTCCAGCCAACACCCAACTACAGACAGCACTGTCTGTCAATGTAGGCAACAGCACCCGAAGCCCTCACGTGGAGCTGAGTGTTTCTACATCCAATGGTGAGTACACTCTCTGCTCAGAGACTGGTTGGCATTAATTTGGTTTAGAGGGAAACAACTGTCACCCTGTCTCTTTTGGTAGCACACTCGCCATGAGCGCTTTGGGACGTCCTCCTGACGTGAAAGGCGCTTTATAAATGTAATTTTGTTGTTGTTGAAGTGAATGACAAATTTTAACTGGGGCAAGTGTTGACCAGGACACAGAGAAATAGAGCTATGGGATCTTTAAAGTCCAACCTAAACAGGCAAACCAGAGCTTGGTTTAAAGTCTCAGCACCTTCATCAATGCAGTACACCCTCAGCCTAGATTATGAACTCAACCCACAATCTTGTGATTGAGCAAGCGCTCTGGGAGGCTACCCTGTGTGAGGAGCGCTATCGAGCTATATAAATGCAAGTTGTTATTGTTATTGATTCCGAGGTGAGAGTGCTACTAACTGACCTCGGCTGACCCTTGTTGATAATATTATTATATTTATTACCTGTTATAATTATATAGGATTAATAAGATTTTCTATATTTTCTGTGTCAAAGCTGGTTTATGAGCAATGTGCTGATGTTTGTTATTGTCGATCATTCCCTCTCTGTAGACACTATCATCCGGGCTGTGCTCATCTTTGCTGAGGGTATATTCGATGGAGAGTCTTACGTTGTCCATCCCAGCTCAGGCAATGTCTCAGGCCAGGTCCAAGTTCCCATTATTCCACCCAAAGACGTCCCAGTGGATCTGCACATCAAGGCATTTGTGGGATACAGAAACAGGTGATGAGGTGGACTGAATGATCCCTGAGGGATGACCGGTAGTCTGATAATGCTTGATTTGAATGCTACTTACGGAACTTGCTCCATGTGGGTATCCATGTTCACTGAACATGTTAATTTGTGTAACATCAGTAAAGGTTCAGGAGGACAAAGAACCTATGTAGGACAAATGTCGGAAAAACCACAAGCTTTCCCAATAGTTCACTGAGTTTATTCAGTCAGTAAATACAGGATTCTCTACTCTGTTTTTTCCCCAAGCTTTTTTTTTTGCATCTCCTAATTTCTGTCTTTGTTCCAAAGCCCAATCCATTTTGATAATAACACTGCGTAAAGAGCAATAGGAATTTAGGAATATGTCCGAATGCTTTCTGTGACCTTTCTGTGACCCAAATTTTCTGCCTCAATGCCTCTGGCTTCCTTTCACATCTTGTCAATGTGTTTAAAGGCGCTAATGCAATTTTGTCGTCGTTGTTGCTGACTTCTGCTGTGCTCTCAATGTTCAAATAGTCACCATCAAGAACCAGAATACCAGTGTGAGTTGTCTCTTACTTTGGGGAAGCCTGATATGCTGTGCCTCACAGCTACGTTCTCTCAGTCTTGCCAGGAGAGCATACATTTGCAGAGGCTGGAGAGGGTCGGGTTGGGTTGGAATATTGTATCTCCTGCCGTTGTGATGATCAACACACCTAGTGCATTAGTTGCATTGAAAATCTCCCACTAGAAGCATGGAAGGCAAGAGAGGAAAAGATCAAAGTCTGAATTAATCCCTTTTATAATGTTAACAAACATCTGGCATCCAGATGAATAAACATGGGAGGGGGCAATTGGGGGAGGGAAGAATGTGCAGCTGTGTAAAGTGAATGTGGTCAGTCAGACTCCAATCTTTTCACTCAGCGTCCAGTTCCACGTCTTTGAACTGACCAGGCAGCTGCCTCGATTCTCGATGTACGCTCTGCTCACCGCTTCCGACACTCCTCTGGAACCTCAGGGTTACGTCACCTTCACCGTCAGCGATCGCATCCAGAGGGTGAGTCAGACATCGCTGGGATCATCCCGTCCACTTAGTTACAATCAATTTACTTTAAATAGAATAACCTCTGGTTATGCCAGCCTGATGGGAACAAGAGTGAGCTCAAGGTAAAAGGTAGATGGGCACGAATTATATTATAGTAATAATATAGGATGGTAGTGTGTGGTTCCCAGATACTCAAAAGATCTGTAACATGCCCTTCACTCTAAAACTCTTTTTTTGCATTCCCAACTCTTCCTTCCACAAGCTGTAGATCATTCAGAACTCTGCCGCTCGGGTTGCCTCCTTCAAAGTTCGACTCAAGACCTTCCTCTTTGACCGCACCTTTGGTTTTCTTCCACCGCCACTTCTCCCGAATCCAACCACCACTTGGGTGCAAACCCTCAACTGTCCTGCCCTTTGGGATGTCCTCCTTATGTTATGTGAAAAGATCTGTATAAATGCAGTTAGTAGTTGTTGCGATTGCTGTCGTAACTGAGCTTGCATTGCTCTCTCCTCTCTGACTGGTTTCAGGTTGTGATGTGGATGAACCAGAGCTTCTTGTTACCTGGTGATGTTGAATGCTCCGGTGCCCCACTGAAGGCTTGTTTCACGTCCCTGCGAGATAACGGACAGCTCAGCCTCAAAATGCAAGCTAACGGACAGGTATTGCACTAAGTCAATTTAAAAACAAACTTAAGAGTATGCCAACACTTAATTGCAATTTTCATTCAACATCAACCCCTTACACAAGGCTGAGGTGGGGTGGGGCCACTTATGAAATCCTTACAAAAGAAAATAAAAAGTTAACCTTGGAGCAGGGTATTTGTCCAGTTCGGCGTGTCACATTCGCTGGGGATTTGCCTTGAACGATTGACAACAGATCTACATCTCCAAACCCCATTGATCAACCAGACAAGATGGTTAATCATCAACTCTGGCTTGGATTACATGGAGCTCCCAGATGGGATGTCTTTTTTGAATCAGTTCACCAGAGGATGTTACACCCTCTGTCCCTCACCTCTCAATGATCACTTAAGATTTCTGGACTGAATGTTTTACCTGTGGTTATTTTCTTGGATTTAGACACACTCAGATCAAGCAGCGCCTTGGAACGTCCTCCCGACGTGAAAGGCGCTGTACAAACTGTAATTTATTGTTGCTGCTTGTTGTGAGTGGTCTGTTGGCAGGAGTGGGCTTGATGGATGGTCCTTTTCCAGGCTTTGTCTTCAAACACATCTCAGAAGATGAATTAGCAAGTTTCTGTTCTTTAATCTTCTCCATTTGTGAACCAAGCTTCACCTTCAGAGGTCTCCCCTCTCTGAAAGAAGAGCATCGCTGTGAAACCTAGTTGCTCTGCCTGACATTTTTTCCACCTGCATTTCTATGCTGAGATAATGTGGTATCCTGTAGCTTAGTGATTACAGCAAACAAGAGGATCTGGGTTTGAATCCCGGCAGGGCAAAACTTTGGGCCAGTTTCCTTACTCCAGACACCTCTGTTTACCTAGTAGTAAGTAGGAACCTGGTTGTTAGTCGATTGGCGATCGCTTTTCCGAGGATAATAATTCCTCCATAATAAATTTAACAATTTTTTTAAAAAATTTGGTCACTCAATCCATGGCTGTTTGTGCAGCACTGCTGTGCGCAACTGGCTGCCACAAAATGTACAGTCAATTCACTTTACAGTATATTCTGTGAAGCGCTTTGAGACGTCTCAAAGACGTGATAGATAAGGCACTGTATCAAATCCAAGGATTATTATTAATTATGACTATTATAATCTTTCTCCAACCACCAGATCACCATCAGAACGGAGGATATTGATCTCGCTGGTGACATCATCCAGTCCCTGGCCTCCTTCCTGGCCATCGATGACCTGCAGGTGGAGGCTGATTTCCCTCTGTACTTTGAGGAGTTGCGTCAGGTCCTAGTTCAGGTCAGTGACGGACTCTTATCGCTGGCATTGAGTGGGGACAGGGTTGGGGGGGGTGTCGGCATTTACTTTGACCTGGGGGAAAAAAACAAAAGCGTTGACAGTCATTTGTGATAAGTATATTTAATTTGTCTACAGTCACTAAAATTGACAATTATTACTTTGAGCTGTTTGAACATAAAATGTTCCTGATAACAGCGTTTCCTCACACTCACGTTCAAATCCCTTCACTCTCTGGCACCACCCTACCTCTCCATCCTCCTCATTCTCCAGTCCACCACCCAGCGCCTCCGGTTGACTGGCTTTGGTCTCCTGCTCGTCCCTCGCACTCTCTGCCCCACCATCGGAGGTCACGCTTTCAGCCACTACTCTCTGAAACTCTGTAACACTCTCCCTCAATCCCTCCGCCTTGCCCCCTCTTTCCCCTTGTTCAAGTCCCGCCTGAAAACCTTCCAATTCAACCGTGCTTATTCACCTCCCCCATCCAGCTCGGAGTCAGCCTCCGCCATTGTTAAGCGTTCTGAGACACTACCCTGCGTGGAGGGTGCTAAATAAGTGCATGTTGTTGTTATCAATTGCAGGCTGTGCCTCTCCCCTTCGCCCTCCGCCCCCTGCCCTGTGCCTCAAACAATAACAACAAAATAACATTTGTTTAACGCCTTTCACGTCGGGAGGACGTCCCAAGGCGCTGGACAGACAGAATTACACACTGGGTACATGACATGCCCTCAGATCTGCCCACGTTCCTGACCCAGGCTGGGCAATATTTGATTGTAACCCAAGTTGTCATTATCCTTGTTTTGCTCCTCTATAAGGAAGAACTCAAAGCACAGAGACTTTGGTTGATATCTACTCCTCCCCAACCCCTCAGTTAATGGACACAGTCCTTTAACCTCTGAGAGTTATTTGCGTGTATTGTGGAGCAGGTCTCCTCTCTGTTGGAGGCCGTTCTGTGCTGCAATCTGCTTGAACCCAACATTCTTCGTTCAGGATCAGTGCTGTGAGTTCTCACAGAGCTCCTGCCCAGTTATTGCTCATAGTCCTATACAAGTACAGATCACCAACTAAAGCCAGTCAGGACAGAGGCACTGGTTTGGCCCTGACACTCCAGAGACTATAAGAGCAGCTCAGTAGTTGGGAAGTGGCGGGGGGGGGAGAGGGGGGAATCCTTACACCTCAATTGCAATAGAAAATGGGATCTGAACGGAAAGGCTAAGATGCTTCTCTCTGTCACGGCAGGTTGACGAGTATCACTCCGTACACCAGAAGCTCACCGCGGAGATGGCCGATCATTCCAACCTGGTCCGCAGCCTGCTGGTGAGGGCAGAGGATGCACGGCTGATGGGTAACATGTGAGTAAGCAATGAACCAGTGGGGAACATAATACAATACACATTTACATGTATACAGCGTCTTTCAGATTGGGAGGAAATCCCAAGGCACTGAACAGCCCAAGGTTTGTACCTGAGCTGCGTGGGTCGGGGGAGAAAGATAGGAGTAAACAGCCTTGCACTGGATCGCCTGGTATACAATAATACTCAGGCTGGCATATGCAGTATAGAGACTGGAGTTTGTTATAAAACAAGAGTAGTCCAGGGTTCGGTACCACCAAAACAAAGTGTAACTGGTGTGGGTACAGTATTGTGCTGCAATTGTAGCGTGTCTGCCTGCTGTTAGCCTCTGAAATCTCTCCCACCTTGCATCCCCCCCTCTCCCAACAAAGTTATTTAACTATTTTTGCTTCTTCTGGGGTACAAGTTACCCTGTTAACTTTGCCATTATTCATGTGTGAGCCTTGCCAGTGAGCGTCAGTCGTGAATTCAACCTTGAGCCTGATCCTGTCCTCAGCCGATGTCCACACACGAGCAGCAAGGGCGAAGGACGCACTAATATAAGTATAAGGTGTTGGTGTCAATAGCTGTCTCTGGTTAGCAGTTGAGTGAGATTACTGAATGAATTATCTTCTCCTTAACCAAACGGCACTGAGGTCAATTGCGCTTACTAGCTTGCCTACTGCCACCCACGCTGAGATCCTCGAACTCAGCATGGACCAGGATTTCCACTAAGACCATCCCAATGTTACAGTTCAGTAACACATCTCGTAAACTGGCTGAGCCGTGAGGGGAGGTGCAAGCTGTGACTCTCTCTGATCAACTATCGTTTCTCCCTCTCACTGTAGGAGGAATATGAAGAAAGGTTACAACGAGCTGTATGACCTGAATCGAGATCTGGTAAACGGCTACAAAATTCGATGTAACAACCACGCAGAGCTGCTGCAATGTCTCCGAGGGGTGAATCGGGCAATGCAGAGAGCAGGCTCGCTCCGAGGTAAGCCAACACATATACATCTTAAACAAGAGAGCTGCCCTGGGGGCAGTTAAAGCTCCAATGATAGGTTCCTGGGGCTCAGGTGAAGGTTACAAGTCACGTGAGACCCACAGTTACACTTTATAATGTCTTTCAATTGCTTCACAGTCTGTAACCCGTTCCCTGGAAGATCTATAATTCAGTATTTTACATTGAATTCACTACAAATTTTAGTTGTGAAAAAATTCAATCGTTAAGAGTAATGCCACTCAGAGATAGGTTCACTGTTAGCAGAACATCAGTGTGTCTGTCTGAAGATGACTGCCTAGTGAGAGTGATATTTTTTTACATTGCTGCTTTCCAATGAACTTTTTCCTGATCTGACGTGTTCTCTTTCTGGCGCTTGTTTCTATCCAGTCGGGAAGCCAAAGACCCAAGTGATCGCCGCGTGCCGAGACGCCATCAAAAATAACAACGTGAACGCACTCTTTAAAATAATACGCGCCGGCACTTCATCCGCTTCATCCTGAGCTCCCGGGGGAAGAGGGGCTCCCCGAGACCAGGGATGAGCTTCAGCCAGAGGGAACGCAGCAACAGAAGAGTAGGTCAGTGAATGAGTGCAGTGTAATAGCACTCAAGCAACGCTTAGCCAGGACCACCTCGCTGGTGCCATCAGTGAGCCAAGTAACATTATTTACAGCCGAGTATCTTGCCCTTTGTAAGCTGTCACAATGGTCATGCTTCATAAAGTATAACGCTCAAGAGTTTGGCTTGTTGTAGGTTCTCTTCGTGTCTCGCTGCTCCTCCCAATCCGTCCCCATTCTAATTGGGACTCAGAGCATTTTAATTTGTGAAGGGTTAGGTTTAAATCATACAGTTTTATATTGTCAGTCAAAATAGTCATTCTATTTGTATCGGACATTACTCAATACCTCTAAGCAGCACACACACTTGTATGTGTATATTCTCAATTAATTAATAATAAGTGAATTGGTGGAATAATCCACAGTCTAAATTAGAGGGAAAAACCAGACATCAAGCAGACATGTTAGGAGCAGGTGGGTAACTTGTATTTTTAATCCACCTGCTTTTCATTGAGTACAGACAATTGTTTCCTCTTTAGATTTCACAATCTTTCAGTTCTTACTGAGAAACTTTTTGTTTTGTTCCACTACCCACTGTAATGGCAGTCACAAAGGCTTTTGGTCTCATTTTGTTGATTAGTCTAACAGTGTTTATAGTTTGTATTATTCGTGTCTTATAGTAGATTGTAATAAAATATATTGAAGCAACAAAGTGACAATTTTCAGGTGTCTGTGCTATTTGAATGTTAATGTTGAAGGGCTTGTGTATGTGTATGTGGGAGCTCATTTGTCACACAATTTTGGCTGTTAAAAGAGTAAACGTATTTAGTTCTAAGGACCAGTAGAGAGAAACTGATTTGGTTATCCCTTAAAACGTCACTTCCAAATACCAGCCTTGTCCATTTCCAAGCTTTAAAATGAAAATGACCTGGAGTGTAAATGTAATTGCAGTTTGTATGGTTATTTACTTCACTAGACTGGGCCAGGGAACTTGTGGGGAAATGACTGCCACGTGGCTGAAAATCACGAGTGCAGCCCAGGTTCTCTCGGTATATCAGGATAGGAGGACAAATCCCTGACATACCTACACAACACTGCAGCAACAGCCATTGCCAGCCCAAAAGCTCTGCGAGAACGCTTAAATAATGGCAACTTTGGTTTGCAAACTTCATGTACTCTGAATTGCGAATGTCAAGCCGGAAAAGTCGAAAGCAAAATGCCCTCAAGATTCTGAATTTCCCCAAATCCCTCTCTCACCCCCACAACACCTTAGTGTATCAAAATGTCTTAAAAAGAGCTTCACACAGAATTACTTTGAAGTGTAGTGACTATTGAGCAGCCAACACAGCAGCTAATCTACCCCAGCAACGTTCCACAAGCAGCAATGAGAGGAACGAACATTGGTTTGGGTAAGTAAGATGAGGAATGACCGGACATCAACAAGCAAGCAGGAGAATAAGAGATCATGGCAAGAGTCGAAACTAAAGCATATGTTCTTGCCAGCTCACTGTTAAGAAAAATATCCTATCAAATCAGGTGAATCAGCTTACAGAGAAGTAAGAGCCCTAACTGGGTTGTGGGCAGAAGATTTGTATCCTTTAATAAAGATGATGGTGACTGATGTATTTTAATAACCCTGTCATGGGATACATTGGAGAGAAATGTGTATATTTTATGTAGTTTTTATATCCTATCCAAAATACGTTCCGTACCAATGAACCGAAGAGCGACCAGAATATTCTGTTGGCATTTGTGCGAGATGGCTCAGACGGGATTGTTTTCCACACATTTATTTATTTTTGTAAACATAGTAAGTGGGTACATTGACAGTGAATTAACTATCAATCATGGTATCCCCAGCCATGGTCAAGTGTCAGATCAACAACAACCACAACATTTCACAAAAAAAATCATTACAAAAAAAGTTTCTTGAATAGCACTATCAATATCACAGAGGCCAATCAAAACGTGAGACCCAGAACAAAACGTAAGTCATCTCCTTTCTTCCTGTTTCGAATTGCAGTTTGGGGAAGAGGGAGAAAGTGCTGTATGTATCTACAAACATCGAGTATCTACAGGGACCCACATCGCAAACGGACGCAGTGTTTACTGCGTCGCTTATAGAAAGCATAAAGAACACACCATCTAGAACAATTATCAACACACCAATGCTAGGAAATGCCTTCACATTAAACACCTCTAATTGTGATGTTCTCCTGTTGCACAAATTTTTTTGAAGTACAGGAGAACGTTTACATTGGCACAATCCCAAACGAGTGTCATGGCACTGGGTGAGTGCAGATGAGTATACAAGACTCGGCTCAGCCCAGCTAAGATGGGCAGAGAGGCTGAGGCAGCTACATTTAGCAAAATAAGGAAGCGTTCACAATGATTGTAGCTCATGCAGAAAGAGATGTCCACGGCTATTTTAACTTTTTTTTTAAAGATAGGCTAGAAAAATCACAGACTGCCACACTGCAGGATGTACCAAGCTCTATTTTGTGTTGTCAAAGCCGCTCCTATAATGGAATAGAAATCGCTTCTTGGTGCAGCTTGGGGTGGAACCCTGTCGGTTCAGCGCCTTAGCAGGACACCTCCATGGTCTGCGAGATGTTCTGGGTCACCTGGCCCACGCTGTCGCTGCTGTTGGTTTGGGTGCAGACCCGGGGTCGGGGTCCATCTACCGAGCTGGCGCTGGTCATGGAGGCTGTGCGGGAGCGAGCCAGCCGAGTCATACTGGCAGAGGGCACTGAAAGAGAAAGGTGGCACCATTTCCACGACGCCCTAAACTCCGCCATGTCAGCCAAACCGAGCGCGGCTCGCAGTAAAATGCTGCATTTCACTGGCAACAGGAGATGTCAGCACTGGAGCAGAATCCACAGAACCAACAGCCATGTGGGACCTGCTGGTTTCTCTTTCATTCACTGCTGTAGTACTTAAGATGAGGTTTGATGTCTATGCACCAGAGCATTTTCCCTCTGCACTTGGCGTGAGCAGCAAGCTCAATCAGGTCTGGTGCCGAATGCAGTGCAGTCCGTCTGCCTTAACCCCAAGCTTTGAAGACACACCCTTCTGCTCCAGTGACCTTTCCATTTCCCTCACACCAAACAGCCTCCGGGAGTCAGATGGCTGTTTAGTGCTCAATTGTTGTACGCAATTGAACCCACCAAGAACTGATTTGAGGCTGCCCGAAGCTCACTTCAGTTCGGATCACGTTCTCCAGCAGAGAGAGATTTTCCCTCTGGGCTGGAGTGGGTTTAATCCACTCTGAGCTCCAGTTCCCTTTAATAGTGATGACACAAAACTATAACTGTGTGTCCAAAATATTCAGAATAAAGGAACCTCTGAGCAGGCCCAGTACAGAATATGCTCAGAATGTTCCCAGGGGGTGTTAGCAAACAACAGTCCATTTTAGACACCAATATTGTCCTATGCTACAGGTTTATATTGTATTCTGTAGACCCCCCCTAGTATATATAGTAGTAACATGCCACCTTTAAGTGGACGCAGTTAAAGGAACATGCAGTACATTTCCAATGGAGCTGAATAAATCTGTCATGCAAGTGATATAACTGGTTCTTTGTCTTCACATGCAGGTTCAGGCTGCGTCCATCCGTATGTTCCTGTGCAGACAGCAGTCTGAGACCAGGGATTGCAAATTGCCTTGGAGCCAACATGCAGCGAAGCGTATTTTTTCCCCTAAGACATTCATGTTACAATCACATGAACTGCAAACGTAAATGTGTCTTTCTCCTTCTTATCAGACAACGGGGAAATTGATTTTAATCCTCATTATAGGTCCTTCTTGCGTACTCACTGGTGGAAAAGCCACTATGTGTGTGGGTTTATCATAGCGACCAGACTGACAGGAAAACAGAATTAATCTAGGTAGGATTACCTCTGTATTGTTTCACTAGTTGCAAATTGCATCCTCCTACCCCTACCCGTCACCCTTCCTGATCCCAACCCCCAGCTCAGGTCCAAATCCCAGTGCCTTGGACGTTCTCCCGACGTGAAAGGCACTGTATAAATATAATTTGTTGTGTTTCAAAGTTCAATGGGCGATGCCCTGCTCAATAGCCCCAGATTTCTTGCAACTTGTCCTAACATAGGAAATGTATTTCATCCAGGGAGATCTCCAAGTAGCTTCCCCCTCCAATATCTCATACAAACTGTAAGGCTACAGCTTAATTGGCCTCTTACTCAGGGCACCAGTGAGGGTCTTGAGGATTGAGATCAGCCAAACTCCTTCCTCACAGAGCACATAAAGAGAGTGAGATGGAAAACAATTCTACACAGAATTCTACACATCTGTTATTATAGGACCACAAGACTGACACACAGAATGGGAGAATACTGAATTACCTTGTTGAAAATGCCTTCTAAATCCTATCCTTACATCATCAAGTGGAACTTTTGTTCCACTTGATTATATACTCACTTTTGGCACTTTTAAAAATACGTATTTCTGGTGAGATTCTAACTTCCCTAGAAAATTGATCCTGTTTGTGCTGCACCTGTTCTGCTTTTTCCAGGACATTTCAACTTACAATGTTCTGTTCGAAGTGTTAGACTGATGCTAAAGTTGTACTAACTCTACAGCACAGCTCCCCACATACCTGAGCACAAAGGCAGCATTGGGAGTTGAATGAAGTGGTACTGCTGTCTCCAGAGAGAGGAAAACCCAGCTGTGGAGCACCTGGGGAGCAATAATGGACCCCTTCCGCTTTTCTCTGTGATTTCAGTGTACCTCCCCATCTTTTCCTTTTCCTCCCGCCCCCCCACTCACCCCCCTCATTTTAGTACCTAACTATTCACTTACTCTAGAATACAAGAACATTAATCTAAGCAAAATAAATGTACAAAGTTGGTATAATTTTCCAATATTTAAGTCAGTCAATATAATAAGTCAGTGTCTTTGTCCTGATGCTTTGTGCTAACCATGGGGTTGTTTCCTTGCGCTGTGGGATTCACACTTGCCTGATAGTATTTTTGTAAAAAAAACTGTCTATCTTTATCCCCTTTTTGTACATCGGAAACAGGGAATAGAACTCACTTCAAATCACAAACAGACTCGATATTCATCAGTTTGACCCTCAACAACATGATTGCATTTATAGAGCGCCTTTCACGTTGGGAGGACGTCCCAAGGCGCTGGACAGTTGGGTTGGGACCCGAGCAGGGGGGGCAATGGTCAGGGTGAGGCGAGGGGAGGGAAGGGAGGGAGTGAGGAGGGGGTAGAGAGTCGAGAGGGGAGCTGAAGGCACAGTTGAAGAGAAAGGTCTTGAGACCGGCCTTGAAGGAGGAAAGGGAGGAGGCGGCGAAGGCACTGGGGGATGGAGTTCCAGAGCCTCGGGGCTGAGAGGCTGAAGGCCCGGCCACCGATGGTAGGGCGGTTGGGGCAGGGGATGTGGAGCAGACCGGAGCCAGAGGAACGGAGGGTACGGGCAGGTAAGTAGGGGATAGTAGGTCAGAGAGGTAGAAGGGAGCGAGGCCGTGAATGGCCTTGTAGATGAGGATGAGGATCTTGAATTCGATCTTCTGGGGGAGCCAGTGGAGGCGAGCGAGGGTGGGAGTGATGTGGTCCCGAAGCCTGGTGCGGGACAGTACATGAGCTGCAGAGTTCTGAATGACCTGCAGCTTGTGGAGGGAGGTGGCGGAAAGGCCGGCGAGGAGAGAGTTCCCGTAGTCCAACCTTGAGGTGATAAACCAGAGTTTCAGTAGCGTGAGGGGTGAGGTAGTGCCATAGTCTGGCGATGTTCTGGGTGTGGTGGAAGGCGGTGCCAGTTGTGGCGCGGATGTGGGGAAGAAAGGACAGCTCAGGGTCGAACAGAACACCGAGGTTCCTGACCGGCTTTGAGAGGTGGAGAGTGCAGCCTTGGATGCTGATAGCACCTGAGGATCCCTCATATCCCATTTGGATATTGGGACTCTGAGGATCCAAACTGAGGAAATATAAGATTATATTTGGGATGTTTAATGTTTTTAAGGCTTTTAATGAATCTTTATGTACGTTTAGAGTGTATCCTACCCATAATCCTTTAATAAGGTTTGTTTGATTTAATAACTAGCTTAGCAGGAGTTAAAAGCAGCTTTGCTGGATGGGCTGAGGTTAGCTTCTGATTACATTTCATATTTTCCTGGGAAGATGAGATAATGAGCAATCAGGTCCTTGAGCATAGATGTAAGAATAATGGGCCCCAGAGAGAAAAGGCTGCGGCCTCAGACACCTGCCTATCTCAAGGCTGAGAAACAAGCAGACTGCGGAAGGCTGTCCAGAAGCTGTCCAAAGCAGCCTGCGAAGGTTGAGGGCTATCTCTGTGACCAGTGGAGGTGGAGTTAGAAACACATAAAAAGATGTAACTTTCAAATAGTTGGAGTTGTGCAGAGGGTCAGCACACGTCCCAGTGGAATCGATATTGATTCTACTGTATCTATGGTCTCAGTTTTAAGAATATGTTAAGATATTTGTATTACTTAACCTTGGATTATTACACCACCGTATTGCTCGTAAAAAAAAGCTAGGCTGGTGAACTGGCCGATCGGGACAAAGGAACTGTATTGCAAGATATGGGGGTGAGAGTTGACTCTCCTGTAGAATAAAGTGACCATGGAAGCTACAAGGGCTTTCAAGAAAAAGTTGTCTGGGATTGCAGGCAAGGAAGGATTACTTCCACCGATGACCAAAGTGGGTCCAGTCTATAAAGCCATGCTAAAATTGGTTGAAAGGATTGGGGCTGAGGTAAAAGGGAATCATGAAGATTCTGATGATGATAGTGGGCCTGTGCTGTCGGCTTGACCCACTCGAGGTGGGGACTGGACAGTTAACACACCCAGAATTCTGGTTTGTCTTAAGTTGACCAAAGAAAATCGCAAAGACTCATGGACCTGTTTTGCTGAATTAGGACTGATTCTACGGATCACAAAGACATTGGAAACATCAGTACATTAAACTGCCAAGAACAAAAGAAGTGGCCCGACCTTGAAGGATATGTTTTTAACCCTACAATGAATGGTAAAAACAAGTTGTTGAATGTCTCACTGCTGACTTGGCGTACTTGATTAAAAACCTCTAAGTTTAGGAAGGAAAAAATCTAACCGATCTTGAGAAGAGATATTCGACAATCAACATGATCGAACCACGTTAACAAGTCGATTACTACTCACAGTGGCTGTATCAATCTGGTTAATTAATTACTCATGTCTTATGCTTTTCTGATTGCTGAAGCCATAATTTTATTTACATTGATTCTCTCATTTTATGTTATTTGCGCTCCCTATTAAGGGCTACCCAGGTACAATCTGACCATTTACAGTTAGCTAGCTTAATAAATCATAGATAAATGAGAGATCGGAAATCTTATTTTCTCACTATCGAAGTGGGGACTGTAAGATTATCCTCATGATGTTTAAAGTTTAAGACTTTTGCACAACCGTATTGGTCATCTCCATCTGAATGTCTTACAGAAAGGCTTGCAATTTTTTGTCCCTCATCTCCTCCGCTCCACCATCGGTGGCCGTGCCTTCAGCCACTATGCCCTGAAACTCTGGGACTCTCTCCCTCTATCCCCTGCCTTGTCCCCTCCCTCCCTCCCTCCCTTTCAAATTCCATCTAAAGACCTTCCTTTTTGATCGTGCTTACGGTCCCCTCCCCCATCCCGCTCACCATGCCTCAGGGTCAGACTCCGCCACTATCAAGCACTCCGGGACTCTGGTGAAGGGCACTATATAAATACAAGTTGTTGTTTTTCCTCTGGTTGACTGACTAACTTGCACAGACTTTACGATGGGATACAGTGCTGTGCTCCAGTGAGTGGATTTATTGCTGTGGGCTGAGTGCTCACTTTCTGTATTTAGTGTCCTGTTCAGTTTGGTAAATTTTGCGAATTTGTCTTCACAACGTAAGAAAAAGAGTTTAGAGAAAACAGGAAATTAGGGTAGAGCAGAATAATAACGCTTAATGATTAATAAAGGTATAGTGACATCAGGTGTTTCATCACTGTTACTACACTTTGATTTTCAGTCTGACCCACTTAGGAAGTTTAATTTATTTTGATGGTACCTAAATGAGCATTGGATGTACAGCTGAATTTAACACCTGTTCATTCTAATCAATTCATTTCCTTCAAATGAAACATTTCACTAAGGTCTTGTCTTGTGGATTAGCTGTTCAAAGAACAGGGAGTTCTCCTGGTTTAATGGCCGATATTCTTCCCTTATCCAAACTCATCCTGCAAGGCTGACTGATCATCTGTGCCTGATCTTTGGTGTGCGGGTTTGGTAAACCCCCTTCCTCCAAAATCCCCCACGATACACACACACGCACACCTAACCCCCACCCCACAAAGGAATTGATCATTTCATTGAATTGCTGCTTGTGGGATGTTGTGGGCTTCAATTAGCTGCTGTGTTTTGCCTTAAACACACACAATCACTCCACAGTAAATCATGTGAAGTGCTTTGAGATGCTCTTCAGACTTGAAAATGCGACCTTTTTTTTCTTAAACATCAGTCACTACACTTGAAAGAACCCTTTCAAATATTTGAAAGAAAGAGGAGCAAAATAATACGGATGTTATTATTTAAGGGCAAGTTATGGTTTTTACCTCTCTTAAGCCACTTGGCTCAAACCACATCCCAAACTGTCTAAAACCCCGTCAGAAAGGATGATGTGTAGAAGTTGTGCTCTCCTTTAGTGCTCACGTAAGGGTCATTGCAATCAACACACATGAAGGGCGCGACATATATGTGAAAGCTGCTTTAGACCCACACCGACAGCTGCATGCTACGAGAACAGTGAGTGACAGAGCGGACAGACGCGAGCAAGCGCACAGCTCAAGCAGTGGGGTGGTGTGGGGGGAAAGAAGAGTGAGCCAAGCTATATTACAAGCAATGGAACAGTTCACGAAGAAAGGGGAAACGAGTACCTGTTCCAGCACTCAGCCGTCTATCCACTAAATACGCAACTGAGAGTGAAATAAGGAGGTAGGAAACACAGAACGTTACAATAAACACTAAGAATTAACACGGACTTGCATCTTACCCACACAGAACACACAGAGGCACGTACAGTCTCCTACAGCGCCACCCAGATGTCTTGTCTCACTGAGGCTCTGGAGAATTTCTGACGGCTTTTTGGTGCTTTGAGCTGAACCAGAAGGTGGCAAATTGCAATAAACAGGCTGGACCGACGACCTTGGTTTGTTATACATTGTTGTGTCTATTATTAAACCATTTTCAATGCTGCCGAGAGCCAGACTGCCACTGTAAACTAGGTGTTATATAATAGACACGAGTATTTAAACAGCTGGACCTCTTTTGACATAGACTGTGGAATTACTGGACTCGTGCAACTTCATCCCCCGATAGCTACATTGATCATTCATGTCTTTGCTATATGTACAGCAGCAGTCACTATACTGTTATTCAGCAACTCGTACGTGAGGTGTTTTGAAACGTTTTGTAGTCAGACACAAATATTGTCTGAGCTTGTGAGAGTTTAACTTCTGGCAATATCATAGAGAGCAGCTTTTACACAGAAAGTGACAGTTCCCAGTGTCATATAATTTACAAATTCTCATCAGAAACTCAGGACATTAGGGCCACAGGGTTCAAAATGCTTAGATTTCACATCAGTTCGTGCTTAACCAGGTGAGGAAGGCCAGAGTTGGGGAATGGAATACTTTGGTCCCAAGTCAGGAAGAGCACAGATTGCAGATAAAGCTCCTCTGCACTGTCTATCAAATACCGTTCAATGCAGCGTAAAGGTCTCATTGCACTGCATCAACCATGTACATAACCACAGGCTCTGAGTACTGATCCTCTATTCAGCTGTGACTGACTAGATCAGCCAAGCTTTGCTCTCTCTAGTCTGACCACTAGCCTTTGCCTCGCTCTGGACAGGTTTGTGCTGTGGACATACTCCCACCACAGTCTTCAGATATCTCAATCCTTCCACAGGGCTTAAATATCTGAAACTCGTTTCACTTGGGAGAACACAATTGGCAGAACAAGTGGATGTTTATCTCACTGGTTTGGGTTGGATTGGAATCCAAACTCCAGAGATAAAAGATTCACGTCAAGTACTAACCCACAACATCATCGGTCCACGAGAGGAACGGTGTTTAATGGAATTTAAAGGTCGACTGCATCGTCTGGTTCTTTACGCTAAATTACAACTTGTTGGGTTATCTAACCCATTGCATGGATGCTATCTGATCATTTAGTGATTTGCTTATTTAATGCATTTAGGAGTCATTTGGCAGAAATGGTTATAATAACCAAAATATGAGACTTTTAAGATTAATATCTGACTCTTCTTACATCCTTCAAGATATGATGCAGCAATACTGAAGAGTAGAAACTGGAACAAGTTTACACGTAACGTGTAAACCTCATTGATGCAGAAATGCTACAACATTAGTGTGAGTAAACTTTTGTGAAGCCTTTACAATGGGAAAATCCTAGGCATTGCGCACAGCACATTTTATACCCCAAAAAGAGAATCTGGGGCAATCTCATTAATGATCCTACGGATTGGAATCCAGTCAGCTCCTCGCCCGCTCAGTGTAAACACTTCTGGAATAACCCAGTTCAGATCAATGCACCTTCTTAGATCAGCCAACAGTGTTTGTTCCAAAATGGTTGCTTAACGTCACAATGACAGAAATCGCTACTGTTCACAAAGACTATTCAAAGTCATCACCTACAAAACCAGTAACAAAGAGAACTTAGAATACACTGTAATGTGATTTGAAACTGTATTCATCTCAGTTGTCAAACTTTGGGGAAGAGAGCTGCACACCCATTAGTGTTGGTCACTCCCGATTCTGAAACACTAGTCTCCCTTTTGCTCATTTGTTGGGGGCGAAATCTGCACAATGTATTGTGTCTTCATCCTTCCTGTTAGGTGGTGAAGAGGAAAGAAGAGCCTAGAGCAGAGATCTCAGTAGGATAACCCGACCTGAGGCTATTCAGAAAGAAACTGAGAGCCAAATCCACAAGTTTAAGAACTATGGGATTAAGACATCATTCTCTCCTGAGAAGCCCCTCAGTGAGCCATCAATATTTTCCAGTCTTTCACCACAGCAAGGCCTGGCCAACAACAGCTTAATAGTGCAGTTCTGTATTGCTCTTGAGATGCGAGTGACCAGCATTTATTATAGATCCCTTGTTGTTGGTGGCAAGTCCTTATCTTTAAACCACTGGTTCCTTATGGTAACGGTGCTCCCAAAATGCTGTTGTGTAAGGATTACAGAGGGGTATTAGACAGGAGAATTAAAAAACAAAACAAGGGGGCATCACCTTAAAATTAGAGCTAGACCATTTAGGAGTGAAATCAGAAAGCGTTTTTCCACGAAAAGGATAGGGAAACTCCTCCCCCAAAAGGCCGTGGATGTTTGATCATTCACATTTTCAAGACGGAGGTGGATAGATTTTTGTTAGTTCAGGGAATCAAGGGATATGCCGGGTATTTGCAGTGGAGCACAAAAGCAGGAAAAGCTCAAGAGGGTGAATGGCCTACTCCTGTTCCTATATTCCTGTTTCGGAATCAAGCCCTTTGTTATTTTACAAGTCAATCAAATTCATTTCTGCGGGAATCACTTCACATCAGCACCCTCCCAGAGGTCCATCAGGGCCTTAAAGGAAAATAAATATTTCTGTAGGGAAATGCTGCATCGCTGGTGATCCTGAAGAAAGGTTAAGACTCCCTGTTTCTGCTGGCAAACAGTTAGCTAGACCAACTACTGTGGAGCTCTAAGTATTCAAAAAGAGGCTTGAAAGCTGTGCTGATCGATCCTTTATAACACAATATAGCACATGGCCTCTCACTACCAGTGCTTTGTGAAGCGCAGTGTTTCATTTCAATGCTTTTGACAACCATTATTCCACAAAGATCAATTTCTCTGGTTAGCTTTGAGAACTGTGTTAAAGACAAAAGCCGGGTGACAGCTAAATCAGAAGACACACATGTAACATCCTATACGTACCTATGTGCACATCCATATGTCTGTAAATAAGGGCATGCAACATCTAACTATGATTAGTACAATAAATTCACATTCAATGTAAGGACAGAGAATTACCTATCGTAACTCACCCATTTCGTCCCCAGACAGAACATCTACACAGCTATAATGTTAGCACCAGTGAGAGCGCGTGTCCAACCTGCTCACACGTCACACCCAGCGATTGTAACATGCTACTCTGCCTCTTGAACCTTCATGTGAAAGTGAATACAGGCAAACAATACCACCCAAAGATATACAGACACCAACAGGCACACACTCACACTAGACAGACAGACAAACAGACAGATAGACAGGTAGTTGGACACAGCAGATACAGACACTGTTTTATGCCCACAATCACACACAAAAACCAATATACACATAGACTGAGACACACTCACACACACACTCACACACAAACAAACACTCGGGTGATCACAGGCTCCATAAAATGCCTTCAGCAAAGAAAACACACAAGTTACTGCTGGATAGAGAATTGTCCCTCGGTGTCGTGACAATGCTGAAATGCATTTTGTCAACAATTAGGGTTTCTGTGCAAAGAAGGAAGCATATACAACCAACAGATTCACAACCCAGAAAATGAGCTTGGAACCTGCCCTCAAGCTCCTCTCACACTTACTGTAACCCATTCCCTGCAGAAAGTACTTGAAGGCCTCCGTCAGTTTTCCAGGCTGTTAGAAGAACAAAACGTAAAGAGTGAATAAGCAACACTGGCCTCTGCACATAAAATACTGACAGTTAACAGGAGACACAGAGCACACAGCACAATCTACTCACCTGTGTGATCTGGGGGAGCCCACCAGAGTCAGCCATCTGCAATAAACCACAGCAGTCACAAACGTGTTACAAGACAGAACGCAACACCCCACCCCACCTGTCACTGCTGGATCCATGAGTTCTTTATCCAATGTTCAGTGACACCAGCTGTTACTGATCTGACCTGTGTCATAAGATCATCAATTCAGGTTTTACCAACCTTACTCTGGTGAGTCCTATTGTTGCCTGTTACTTAGTTAAGTAGGTGCTGGGGATACACGTCTCTCTAATCTTCCCTTATATCAACAAGTCCCATAGTTGCCTTTCTCTGTTGAGTGAGTCCCACACAGAGGGGATCTGTCGGTTGGTCAGTTGAGTCGGTGACAGTGGGGATCTCTTGGGAAAGTGTTCACAAATGCCATCAGTTTATTTCATGTGTATTAAATGTTACAGATTGTACCAATGGGTTCTGGGAGCTTCATAGAGCTCAGCAGATGGATCACCTGGGGACTGTACTCTGAGGGCATTAAGACCATCAAATGACCCAATGAACAGCCAGTAGGTAGTGATATCTATGGCTCCCAAGTGCTATGGAATTAAAGATAAAGTTGAGTCCAGCATCATAGAATGAATAAATCTTGCAAATCTGTAAACTCTCAAATGCCCAGCGCCTTGGGACATCCTAACGAATGAAAGATCCCATATAAATGCAATTTGTTTGTTTGTGTCGGATACAGAGAACACCTCACTTCTGCTACTATATAGTCGCTGGCTTCAGAAAATGTGATCAGTCACGTATAGCTTGTTTGGTATCTAACACCTAGAAAGGTCTACTATTTGTGGGAGCTTGCAATGGAGGTTCAGTACCTTGAGAAAAGTGGTTTGGGTTGGATCCAACTTGGAGTTGCATTCCACCTAGTAACAGGAAAGCAGCATTAGTCCACTATCATGGCAAATTGTGAATAAAGTGAGTGCTGCTCAGTGTTTTGGGATGTCCTCCCGACGTGTAAGGCGTTCTATAAATGTAATTTTGTTGTTGTTGCCATGGGTAGAAACCATAGAGGAAATGCTATTAAAGCGAACTCTGTGCAATGAGGCTCACATTTGTTATAATATTACACAAAACGACTGGCCAAAGTATTAACATGACAAACCTCCACCCCTACTCCCCTGAAACCTTCCAGTTCAATGGCTTCTCTCTGTAAACACAGAGATCCCTGGGTTTGCCTGAGCCCTGCCAGTGAGTGTGAGTTTGCCCGAGCCCTGCCAGTGAGTGTGATATACTGTCAGCCATTCTCTGTACTCACCACCCCTTCCTCTGCTGGCGAATTGTCCCCAACCACCAGCATCACAGGACACCTGCAAAACAAGAGTGTGTCAGCATGTAGTCTCAACCTCACAGCCAGATCAGCCCTTTTTGTTGAGGGGTTTCTTTTCTTCCAATATTAATTGTAACATTTGCTCTAGCACTTTTCATATCAGGAGGTTGTCTCAAAGCACTTCGTAGGGGTATACTGCCATGCCCTGAACTAGAGCGGAGAAAAGCAGCCATGATTCCCACTCCAGTGGCACAAAATTTATAATACTCAAAGCCTTAAGACAATACAGAATTTTGTGAAGTGGAGCAACTGTGTATTTTATGGCCCATTGTGGCACAGCCATGTCCCACAATCAGCGGCAAAGAAAATGACCCATTTTATTTGGGGGATTGTTGGCCAGGACACCAGGAGAAATGTCTTGGTTCGAAAACAGGCAGAAGGGACTCCAGTTTTAATGTTTCAGCCAAAGGACAGCACCTCCGACAATGCAGCCCTCCAGTACTGCACTGCCATGTCAGCATGGACAACATGAGTTCCAAACTGGAGCTTTAACCTACAATCTTCTGATTCGGAGACAAAAGTGCTACCAACTGTGCCATGTGTCACATGAGTGACGGCACTGAGAAGCTGGAGAGTATCTGGCTCATTGGTTCTAGTGCTGAGCAAAGTGCCTTGTTTGTGCTTGGTGCCTCCCCACATGTCTGGTTAAATCCCAGGTACCAAGCACTGCAAATCACAGTGTCACCAGGACCAGGCACCGGCCACCTGAGGAGTTGCTTATTAATGTAACATATTATTGATGATTTGGAGTTAATATATTCCTTAATTTGTTGGTAATAGAGAGTGAGAGCAGCCTGGGTGATCGGGCTTCTCATTACCCCAACATTTCCAGCACAAAACAACTCACTCCCATCAAGCGTGTGGGCAACCTGTGCCCTTCCACCCTGAAACCTTACAGTTCAATAGCTTCACAAACTGATCATTCACTTCACAACACTGCTGTGTGCAAACTGGCTGCGGCATTTGCCTACAAAATACATAGCCACTACGCTTGACAATAAACCTCTGTGAAGTGCTTTGACCAGGATGACATGGTAAGATGCTATATCAAATGAAAAGATTATTGTTGTTATTATCAAATGCAAGGATTATTGTTATGTATGAAATCAATTTAACAACCAAGGCTTCAGTATTGTAGGGCTTTCATGTGGCACAGAGAGAACAGGAAAGTGAATAGAAAATTAAGAAAAGGTCAAAGGAAGGAGGAAACAGAACCAGCGAGATGTGCAGCCAGAGCTGCCCTGATCAAGAGAGGAGAAAATCAGCCGTGGTTCCCATGCCCCCAAATTTCTAATACTCCAAGCATTAAGACTTACAGAATTTTGAAAAGTTCTCAAATTCAGACTGTATTTTAGAGGTTTTTTTTTTTACACAGTTCATATATACAAAGATACACAAAATGAATCCAGCTTCCAAATTAAGTGCTTAAACTTAATTGTTCGGTCTTAAGATTAAGACTGGGAAATGTCCGGCCTCTGATTACCAAACAACAGACCTGTTGCAAGGTGCATTGTGTGTCCATCAGTTGAGGACAGGATTAGGCTCGGCTGTGTTACCCTTCACAGGTGTATAGCCTGCCAACATTTACTGTCTAGGCTCACAACACATAAAGAACACGCCTCTGGGCATGTGCTGTAAAAGGGGGCAGCAAAAGTCAACGCCTTCGGGAGAGTAAAATTAGACAAGGCTGACTCTGTAAATCACAAGCAATAACTCTGGCCATTGAATCCACACATTCAAATCCCTGAGGTGATCTTGAGTGTAGATCACTGGGATAATGGTCACTGACAGGGTCACGCAAGAGTCCCTGGTAAGGTCATCCCTTTCTCCCTTCGGGTCACCAACACTGAATAAAAAAAAACATAATTCAGTACTTTGGAATTAGAAGGTGATAAAGTGTCCAAGCCTCCAGTTAGTGTGAGAGAATATACTCACACAATGGTCTTTGCATTAGCCACGGTTCCAGGTCTGTTCATTTCCAGATCCCTGCGACTGTGAAGAGGGAGAAGTCATTAAGTGTTTAGGTTTCACAAAGTGTTTAGGTTTCACCCGATTTGAGGGGGGTATTCAGCACCGATCCATATACACACATAAACAGACTTGTCAGAGAATCGGCTCTAATGTCCCTCAAACCCAACATTATTAATGCTGTAAGGTACCTTAGCAATTGCATTAGATGCATCAGTCTTAGTGCTACTTGAGGGGAGTCAGTGACACCTGTACTGAGGTGTGTCAGAGAGAGCGACACCTGTACTGAGGTGTGTCAGAGAGAGCGACACCTGTACTGAGGTGTGTCAGTGACAGCGTTACCTGTTGTACATGTTCCAGAAGAGCTGCAGGTTGGTCTGGTTGACATTGGCTCCTATCTGGTGTCGGAGGCTTTGGACTACCTCTGAATTGTTCATCAGTTCCTCCTGAGACACAGAGAGAGATCAAACACAGTTAGAATCAGCTGAGCTGCCACCTTCATCCCTGCCCTGATCAACCTTGAAAATCCTGCATCCACTGTGACAGGCCTTTTCTACTGTGTGCAAAGTCAATTCACTTTATGGTATATTTTGTGAAGGGCTTTGAGACGTCTCAACATTGTGATAAGGTGCTATATAAAATGCAAGGATTATTATTATTAAATACTTGGAATTAGAGGAAGATTACAACATGAGGCATCTGCTTACCTGGCTGCAGATATGTGAGAGAACGGTGTCAGGGAGTGAGCTGGTCAGACCCGAGAGCTGAGGACAAACAGAGACAGATGAGGGTTTAAACTTTTCCTGAAACCCAGCACATTTCATTCACCAGGCTACTTGATGGGGTAAATTTTCTCCTCTCTGCAGACACTGACACCCTCACAGCTAGTAGCACTTTGAAACTTTCTTCCTCTAACCCTCCGCCTTGCCCCTTCCTTCCCCATCTTCAGGTCATGCCTGAAGGCCTTCCTATTCTATCGTATTTACAGTCACATTCCCCTCCCGCCAGCTCGGCGTCATTCTCGGCCACTGTCAAGCGCTCTGGGACGCTGCCCTGTGTGAGGGGCGCTATATAAATGCACGTTATTCGAATGCTTCGAATCATCCTCCCAAAGTGAATGCTCTAAAGAAATGTAAATTGTATTTAACTACAGTCAAACTTACTCACACTCACTTACTGAGAGCTGATAAGGGTCCTGATAGTCAGCCCTCCAACTCAGTTAGTTACTGTTCCCAAAGACTGTAAAACTAAGGTGGGGGGGAGAAAAACAATTGTCAGTGAGTTATAGACTGAAATCTAACCCGTATACTTTATATGGAGAATAGAGGGTCTCAGAAATGAGTTACAGTCTGAAATCTAATCGAGGGGTTTGGATGGTTTATATATAGGGTAATTGATTCCCAAAGTGAGCTACTGCCCGTAACTAATCGAGGGCTTTGGGTGATTTATATATAGAGTAAAAGATCACTGGGAGTGAATTACAGTCTAAATGCCGAGGGAGGAACAGTAACTTGCTGCTCTCACGCACAGCCTGACAGTCAGTTGTGGAGCATATGTTAAGGGTAATTTCTGACCAGTCTGCCCATTGCTTGTATCCACCCAGCACTGACCTTGGTCGCTGCCCAGTCAATCCATCCTTTGCCACATGGATCGATGTTGATGAGCACCAGCCCTTCCACGAGGTCAGGGAAAATCAGCTGAAAATCAGATCAGAGTGAGCATGAGGCAGTCAGTCAACCAGGAAGAGAGGACATGGTTAGGGAGAGACTCTTGAGCTTTGCTCAGAGGGAGGGGGGGAAAAAAAAAGATTTTGATCTTACACAGCACAAGGTGTCCACAAAGTCCTGTTACCACCCCCACCCCCACCACCAAAACAGAGATATGAGACTATGGAGGAGCTGAAACAAGCTGTCAGATGCATTTCACCTCCTCACTCCGTACGTGTTATGGAAAATGTCACACTGAACATGGTGACGGATCATTATCTGCCATGAAAATGATGGCGCTCACACACACTCACTCACTCACACACACCGATGTTCTGGACGTCTAAATACAGTTAAACACTTGTACTGAATACAATTAAGCAACTTCTAAATCCAATTATCATCATTCTTTCCCATGTTTCAGTTGTTGGTCAGCGCACTGTGGGAGAAAAACATGGGGGTAACAGGACTTTGTGGAGATCCTCTAGTTGCTGTGCGACTGAGTGAAAGAGGACAACATTACAGAGGAAGAAAAGAAGAAAGGAAAGATTGGTGTTGATCACCATTGAAAGGAGCTCAAATACCCTGTGAGGCCCAACCAGAATCAAACCTTGAGAATTGGGGGAACCTTTTTTTATCACAGTCGTAGAAACAGGAGTAGGCTATTCAGCCCCTCGAGCTGTTCTGTCATTCTATAGATCATGGCTGATCTGTACTTCAAGTCCAATTATCCACCCTTATCCAATATCCCTTAATATCCTGACCTAACAAATATTAGGTCCTCTAAGAGACCATGTTATAAGGTACGGCTGACATCACTTCCTCCACATTGTGTAGAATGTGCATGAAGCAATATGATGATCTAAGTTTCTTTAGCCCGTGAGGCAGTGCTGGACATTAGGTATATCAGGCTTCCAGTGAACACGGAAAACACAGCTTGGGCTGTGTTACACACAGAACAGCAAGATCATTCTTTGAAAGGGGTCTTGAGAACCCTGCAAAACTCAATTGAGATCCAGCTTTTAAATTAAACTCATAGATTGGACACTTACAGCAAACTTGGCCAAGACATAGGACCCGGCTCCAACTCCAATTCCAACAACACTCTTAAATCTGCAATAAAATGAGACTTCAAGTTAGGCCATTGAATAAAGCACTTGAAACTTCTGGTCAAGTTCAGGAGACCTGTGAACACACCATGGAACCTTTGAAGTACAATCTAGTGTTCACTCAGACCTACTAATCAGATGTGACCAAGCAGGGGGTTACTGCGGAGATGACAAAATGATGTTCATACCGTCCCCACCTGTGGTATAACAGGAAGTAACTCACTGGAGCCCAATACCCATGTATGATATATTTGCATTAATCTGGAGTGGAATATTTCTACAGTATCAGTTCAGTGTCCATCGAGTCTAACACAAGGAATGACAGCTTGTGCTTTCCACTTACACTGGGAATATAATGAGATATTTATTACAGGACACTCAGTATATCGCACTCACCCAAAGTGCTGGATGACACTTGGTAACATTGCGGCCAGCTGGTCCATGGTTGGAAATTGGTATCTGATTGAGGAACAGAGCAATTAAAAGAGTTAGTGAGTGAGAGACACCCCTTTACATTAGTAAGTTAACAACAGGAGACAACGGTAACAAGGACAGTTATAGGGCATAGTGGAGGCCAGTGTTTGCTGGAAGCACAGAGGCCACATTTATGGTAGGGAAAGAAAAGAGAGCAAATTTTCCCCATTGCCTACTGTGGGGTCTTGTGACCTGATGAATACACAATGGTTCACAGTATTTAAAGTCTATCATAGGTAATGCTAGACAGGTAAGTCTATAGGAGAACCATACTGTCTAGGAAAGGGTGTAAAATACCCAACATTAACTGTATTATACTCACTTACTCATTACTCAGTGTATGTACTGATACTGAGAGATGGTAAATCCCAGAGGATACAGTCAATGGTAGATAACTCAGAATGAACTTGATGAAAAGCAAGGACAAGGGTGTTTCATGCCAAATAATGGTTACTATAGAGCATTTACAAGCTGAAACCTAATCATAGGATCAATTTGAACCTTCAGCCCATCTGATCTCATCGTTTCAGAACATCCGCCCTTCTTTCGTTTATCACAGCATCAATCTTTTTTTTAAATGAGTCCAGTGACCTAGCCTCAACCTGTTCTGGGTAACCTGTTCTAACCATTGATTATCTGTCCTGAAATTGCACTTGTAACTCTAAACCTTTGCCTCTTGTTCTACTGTCTGAGAATATCCTAAAGTACTGATCTGGGTTTACTTTTTCAATCCCATTTAAAATGTTGTACACTTCTATATAAGGTCTCCTCTGAGATGTCTTCGCTCAAGACTTGTCTAATCGCAGCTCGATCCTCTAACTTTGGCGTCCATCCTAGTTGCTCTCCTTTGCATCTAGGTCAATGGAGAACTCAGGAAAGTAAATTCTTAAGGTGTTCGGATGATTTGTAAAGGTACATTTGAGTGGCTTCCCCATTGGTGGGCAGTGGGGTCGAGTGGACCATGTTAATGTGATGTTCAAGCTTTGGATTGGCACTGACTCACCCTGCAGGGAACTGAGAGGCATTAGACTGCTGCCCTGGGGCATCCACATGGCACACCACAAAGTGCTTGGTGATCTCCTGCATATCCTCAAAGTTAAAGAATGTGTTAAAACACAATTTATCTGCAAATAAGAGAGAAAGAGAGAGAATCTAAGGAAAATCCAACCATTTTACTTTGGACCAGTTGACCAAGACCCAAATGAATGAGAGCTGCCTGAGGAATTCCATCAGATAGCACAGTGAGGGAGCTCACCCTCATAGTATAGAGTGTTGTACCTTGTAACACACAGCATGTGGCTATATAATACACAGGAGTGTTGCGCCCAGTAACACAGAGCAAATATATATTTACAGGAGTGCCCGGTAACATATAAAATATTCTATAATGCACACAAGTGTTATATGCAGTAACACACAGCATGTTATACGTGTTATCCCCCAAATAAAAAAAAGGGTCACTCACTCCATGGCTGTTTGTGGGATATTCCTGTGTGGATCGAGCTACTGCGCTTTTGCCCACAAAATACAGTTAATATATTACAGTATATCCTGTGAAGCACCCTGAGATGTCTCAACATCTTAATAAGGCACTATATTAAGTGCAAGGGTTAGTATATAAGTATATATAGTATGTAATCTATATTTCAGTTTGGATTAGACCCACAAAAAGCTCAACAGTGAGGTTAGGATGAAGAAGGCCTTGTGGCGCATTTTATCTCATCCTTCCAGAATACCCATGTAGGGTCAGGATTGCGGAAGGTAATTTTAGGATCAAAATCTGGAAGCATTTGTTTAAACAGAGGATGGTTAACAGCTGGAAATGGTGATAGATGTCAGAATGCCGCATTCATTTACGAAACAGCTTGATGCTCACCACCCAGACCCTGTGCCTCTTGTTCTGGTGCCTTGGTGCACCTGAAATCATTATTCTAGGTTTACTTTCTTTACTTTCTTTCCCATCTTATTACTTTTATTAGCCCTTCTTCGACACATCTCGTTTCAAGGCTGAAGTGCCCTAGTTCTGATTCCATTTGTTTCACCGAGGAGAAATTCAACGCAGATAAATAATATAGATATTCATCCGCAAGGGCAAAATTAATTGATTTGAAGGGCTGACAAAATACACAGTAGAAGCAGCTATCACCATTCTTCTCTGATCCACGGTCAGTCAGTCCTTGGAGGCTGTATTATACCAGACCAGCCTGCCAATGTTATGCGCCGCAACACCTGGCAGAACAAACAACCTTGGAGATGTCGGCCGTATTTAAGGCCCATCTTGGGAGGGAATGCTGACGGATGGAAGAGGCCATAAAACCAGTATACGACTGCTCGCTGCAGATTCGCACTGGGCTCAATAAAGAGCCTTATTAGAATCTGAAGTCACAGAAAGAGGTCTCTGAGAGTCACAGGCCTGCATTTGCTTAAAATGGGTCACAGAAATAATGAAGACTGTATAGGTAAGGCGCAAGTCTTAAATGTCTTTCCCTAAACCTCTCCCATTCCGCTGATCTTAACGTTGGTGGGAATTTATGCCCCAGGCTCTCAGACGGAGCCAGTACGAGGCTGGAATTGTAATCTGAACAGGAAGGTCACTTTGACACTTGATGTGAGGACAGGCCAGAGAACTAGGCATTCTCTGATATCGAGAAATATCTCTGGAATGTTTTCCCTCCTCTAACATTACATATGTAGGAAATTCTTGGCACTCCTGTTGTTTTTGTTGAGCTGAGATACACAGTCTAGCCTTGAAACAAATTAGTGAGATCACGGACTGCGACTGACATAAGGTTCTTCCTCCTAACAGGAATGCAAGGTCCTTACAGTATACAGCACAGCTCTTTCAGCACCTGCGTGATTTATTTATTAAACAGTCACAAAGACAGTGGCTGTGATTCCTGTCCTGGAGCAAAATTTCATATTGAAGAGGAGAAATGTGGCAGCTTTTAATTATGCTACTGAATAATAATAATATTCCTTACATTTAACATAGCAGCTTATCATGTCGTTGAGACGTCTCAAAGCGCTTCACAGAATATATTGTAAAGTGGATTGTCTGTGTTGTATTTTGAGGGCGAAACGCGACAGCCAATTCCGCTGTGTCCCATAAATGTCTGGAAAGGGACACAGCTTCTCCTTGAGACTGCTCTATAACAACTTACGTTCATACCATGTTCATACATACATTCCAACTCAGCTAATAGCTCTCATTTGCACACCACTGAGTCAGAAGGACAGAGGATAGTGTCCAAGCCTCAAACGCCAATGTAGTGTTGGAAAAGTGCTACATTGTTAAGAGGTGCCGTCCTATGGATCAGATGTTCAACTGAGGTCCCGTCCGTCTGTTCAGGTGGATGTTAAAGATCTCGTAGCACTCTTTGAAAAGAGAAGAGAGTTTCTCTCTCCCAGTATCCTGGCCAACAATCCCGAAAATAAAATTCATCATCCACTTCATGGCTGTTTGTGGGACATTGCAAACAACTGCAAAGTACAGTCACTCCGCTTTACAGTACTATATATCCTGTGAAGGGATTTGAGTCATCTCGACGACGACGTGATAAGGAACTAAATCAAATGGTTTATATTATTGTTATCATTATTATCATCTCTTTTAGCTGAAGGTATGTGAGAGAAACATCGACAGCCTGATTTCACAGTGCAGAGACAAGCAGTGTAAGGTTTAAACATTTCAGGCATTTCTTAACCAGCACGTGAGCTCCAAGTGTCCTTGTCTGCCTCTCTTCCCTCATCCAGTTCAGTGGGACTGACCTCTTCTGCTTCAAGTGCAACACAACACCACTATTTCATCCCTTCTAATAGTTTCTCCTTCCGTCCCCGTAAGGTCTCTATTCTCGAACCCCTCCTTTTTCACACTTATACTCTCCCTCAAGGTGATATTGACTTGGGTCCACATTCACATGTACACAAATGATACCAAAATCTATTTTTTCTCCTTTAGCCACAATTCCAGTCCTGCCAATGATCTGCCCGCCTGCTTGTCTGATCCCAAGGTCTGGATGAGTACCAACTTCACACAACTAAACTTGGACAAGACAGAAGCCATCCTCTTTGGCTCCCGTCAACGTCTTCTCACATGTGGTTCTGAACTTCTTAACCTTCCCAGCCTATCCTTTGGACTCATCAAACCTGTCCGCTAACCTTGGCTTCAGTTTTGATCCCCACTTATTCTTTCTATCCCACATTTGGTCCCTGACCAGAACTGCCTTCCTCCACTCCCACAACATCAACCGCCTTCACCTCTATCTTACTTCAAACACTGATGAAATTCTCATTCACGCTTACATCAGCTCCTGCCTCAATTTTTTTGATGCCCTCCTCACTGACCTCCCCAGCTCCATTATTAACAAGGTTCAAATGATTAAAAACTCTGCCACCCATGTCCTCACCCATACCAGCCTCTGTATTGTACCCCAATCACACCAAATTTTAAATTAAGTCCCAGTGACGATTGGGATTGCTAAAACAATGCAGCAAACTATTTTAGTTGATGTATGGTAGCAGTGTTTGGTAGACCAAGAGTTGAGGTGCATAAACAGAGCTGTGCTGTTTCTGATTATATGAACAAACATTCTGTTGTTCCTCTGAGTGTTTGAGACTTTTGAAACCAACATAAAAATGTCTTGTAAATACAAGGAAAGCATCCCAATGTACTCATTACTGTCAACTTGAGCAGAATCTCTCTCAGCACTGCACAGCTGAGAAGCCAGATTGACCAGCAAGATATTTACATCACTGCTGGTTTTAGAACTTCAATCCCTTCTGCGGGAGAAATTTTATCTGACTCAAAGGACTGCACAGATTCAGCTTGCTGCCTGCAATTATAATCCTTGCATTTGCTCTACTCAGTCTCTTGGAATGAGATCATTGCTTGAATCCTGATTTGGTTTGTGCCTTATCTTTTGTTTCACAATTTGGTTCAGCACCTCAAGGTGCTTCCCTGCAATGAGTCAGTCACTATGAAGCGCAGTGACTGTTGTTATGTCGGCCAATGCAGCAATGGCCCACAACTATTAATGAGGGGAGTGGCAAATTAATAATCCTTGCATTTGACATAGCTCTTTATCACGTCGTCAAGAGGTCTCAAAGCGCTTCAAAGTGGTTTGACTGTGTATTTTGTGGGCGAAACGCAGCAGCCAGTTGCGCACAGCAGTGTTCCACAAACAGTTGTGGAGTGAGTGAACAATTTTTATTTGGGGGATTGTTGGCCAGGACACCAGAAGAAGAGAGAAACTCTCTTCTTTTCGAACAATGCCATGGGATCTTTAACAGGCAGATGGAACCTCAACGTCTCCTCCAAAGGACGGTACCTCCAACAATGCAGCACACCCAGCTGGTGCACAAATACAGATAACCAGTTGTTCAGTAAACCAAATTCTAGCTGTGTTTGTGAGGGGTTTAAAATCTCAAAGCCAGATCTTTAGTCAGACTTGTGCTGACGCTGCTTCTTTGCAACCTATTTGTCAACTCAATGCTGCGCTTGTTGCTGCCCGTTAGTAAGTGCATCACGTTCACAGCAGAGTTGTCCGTCCCCAGCACGTGTTCTGTGCCTCTCGCGCTCTCTCTGCAGCCATCTCAAGGTGACCTCCACTGCAGCACAAATAGCATTCCAAGCCCATTAGAAAGACAACGTGGAACGTAATGTCTGAATAAAAGATTGATTAAATGCAGTTTATGCAGAGGGCTGACTTGGCGCTGTCCATCTCTAGACCCCTGACCTCGCTCACGCTTTGATTTCCATAATCTTTCAACCTTCAATGAACTGCTCTGCTCGCAGCAGCAGGCAGCTTCAGACAGCACTGTTAGCTCTCCGTGTTCTGCATCTTAATGTCTTCCTGCATCAAGTGAGGTACAGACTGCCAGGCAAGCAGTGCAGAATTTCCTGCAGTCTCTCTCTCTCTCATCCTAGTCCTCTCCACAAACCCGACTCATAACAGTGAGCTGTCTCTGCAGCAAGGAAGATGATAATCATCTCAAGCGGAAGGGGAGAAGAAAGGAAAGGACTATCTACCCCAGAGAGAAACATGAAGGGACGTCTAATGATGGATATGTGGCATCTACAAATATCCTTCTGACTGGGCTCCTCTCCAGAGAATTCAGTCTTTCTCCTCTCCTCATCCATTATGTCCTTCAGACTATTCTACCATTCCTCCCTCTACACCATTGTGTCCTACCACATCTCCTCATGTATACCATACCAACCTCCAGAGAAAACCCTTCTCTGTACTTTCTCATGTTCTTGAACCAAGCCACAAAAATACAACACAATCATTCCTCCCTTGTCAGTCAGTTTAGTGACATTGGTGAAAGCATGATTGAGGGTCTCAGTGGGCTGAGGGGAGAGGTAGTGGTGGAGACGGGCAAAGTTGCGAAATGGGCAAGGCAGAACTGATCATGGCACGGATGTGGGAGAGATACCATAGCACTGGCAAGATCAGATAATTCCACATAGACCAGGGATTGCACCCAAGGACCTTGCTCGTCCGCATGTCTCAGTTGCTCTATAAATAAACTTGCTGAGCCATTGAGGAAAAGTAAAATGAGAATGAGGCACTAACGATATCAGGGTTGGGCGTCTGGTTGTAATGATGTCTTTGTCATGTGAGGAAGGGTTCAAGAAACAAAAAAGGAGCATCAAGCAATGTTTAAAGTCTCATCATCTTGATTTCTCCTTGACTGTGGACACCACGCCTGCAATTGAAGGGGGATTAAATTCAAAACTAATCTTCGGAAACTTATTTCAGTGAGCGAGTAGTAAATCTATGGAACAGGCTCCCTAGGGAGATGGTGGAAGCAGAAAGTGTTGATTCTTTCAAACATAAATTAGATAAAATTTCCTTTCGTAAAACAGTATCTTGGGATACAGTATATGAGTAATTCAGGACATGACGACTGCAGGATGTGGAAGGTGAACTGGATGGACCTTGGCTTTTTAAATCATCTAGGGATTTCTGTGTTCCTATGTTCTGACTCACTGTTCCTGGCCTAGAGTGTGAGGGGATGAGGAGCAGTCTTCTCACCCATTATACCCCAACCTTTACCAGAATCACGAATAGTGTAGCCCCCTATCACGTTTCAGAAGGACGTCCCAAAGTGCTTCACAGGACCACAGGTGAAATAAAGTGACTGTGTATTTTGTAGGCAAACGCAGCAGCACAATTGCACACAGCAATGTCCCACAAACAGCCATGAAACAAATGACCAATTTTATTTGGGGCATTGTTGTCCAAGGCACTGGGAGAGACAAACTCCATTTGCTTTTGGAGTAGTTCCATGGGATCTTTAACATCCATCTGAATAGCTAGACAGGACCTCGGTTTAACTTCACATCCGAACGCACACTTCAAAAGGCATCAGCATCGCAAAAAAATAAAGAATCCCAACACCAACCACCTCCTAACCTACACATGGCCCGAACCTGAAGTAATATGATCACAAACTCAGGTAGGTGACTGCAGCGTTTCCTCTCAATGTCACACAGAACACATTTCTGCCACATTATGATTTATCCTAAGATAAATCTTATCCGAAGATTACAGTGGGCTATTTCTCCCAATTATTCTGACCAAAGGTTCCCACTCAAGCCATGACAGAAAAACCCCTGGCCTCACAGCTGACCTACAGAAAGACAACAGCCACCGTCAGCCGTCCCCATCTGGAAACAATGGCTGCCTCTCCAGGGTGACTAACCAAACTCCACTACGCAACAGAATCTATAAATGACTTGTGTTCAACTGTTTGATGCTCGAAAGCTTCATCACCAAGGTTACCATCAGAAGCTTAATCTTTGCAATACATCACTGCAGAATAGTCACGTACCCCAGCACAAAGCAACCATCTAATGAAATGTTGGGTTGCATCCAGGGAGCATTGGACATCAAACCTGGTGTGGATCACTAAGAAGACCATATTTTGAATACCGAGTACAGTATTGGGCAGTTAGCTGCCACTATTCTCCCACAAAATATACAGTCAATTCACTTTACAATATATTCTGTGAAGCACTTTGAGATATCTCAATGACGTGATGGGTGCTATATGAAATGTAAGGATTATTATAATTATTATTGCTCTAAATCATAAACATTGGAAAAAGGAAGACTGAGGGGCCACATGATTCAGGTCTTTGAACAATGAGAGAACGCTCGTGGAATAACTCGAAGCAACCAATTTTCCCATAGACAATCAGCGAAGATTCCTTATGAAAGAATCCCCTTCTAAACTGTGACAGAAGATTTGCTTGAATGGGAAAGGTCCACTTTGTTACACACAACAGATCACCGAGAAGCATAACGCCTCGGTCCGTTCACTTGCAGTTCACAGCATTGACTGTAGGTCAGCTCAACAATACTCAATGGGAGATAGCTTGTAGGATTCTATTAGAAATGTGACAAGAAATGGTGTAAACAGGGAGCGTCGCAAAGGCAAACATTTGCCTCTCAATCAATAAGTTATGGATGAGAGTGAGAGCTGTCGCCATCTTCTGTACACAGCACATTTCAGGGCTAGTAATTGCTTTTATGATTGTCGTTGAACTTCCAGATCTCAGTAACCATGGTAACTGTGACACAGATTCCCAGAACCATACCAGGTATATTTCTACAGTGAAGAGCTAATTTATGATTGCCACAATTTGTGAGTTTTTCCTCATTATTTGCTAGAGCAGCAAGAAGGATAACTACATCAAACAGAGTCTGAGTACAGAAGGGGGAGGCTGATGGTGAGACATCCCCTTTAATGAAGGTCCTAATAGTGAGACTTCCCCCTTTAATAGCGGTCTTGATGGTGTCTCTTCCTTTATTGGAGATGTTGATGGTGACACCCCATTAATGCGCGGACTTGATGAGGGGAAGAGGGGGTACTGATGGTGAAACCTCTTTAACGGGGGGGGGAGGGGGCTCTGATCATGAGAATTCCCCTTTAAAGGGGGTCTGATGGTGAAACGTTTTTGGGGTCCAGGTACTGAGATTTTTCAGCCATCACTAACAGCTATCTGTTTGATCACAATGAATATTGTGAGTCTGGACTGGGTTACACAACTCCTAATGGAAATGAGCTTTGCTAAAAATCTATCGTCTGAACAGCCTTCAGGAGAGACGAGTGGAATGATGTCAGAATTAACAAGTATACAAGATGCTATCCTATATTGGACCATACCACCTACTGGATCTCCTGGGCAGGGCATTGCACAAATAAATACTCTCTGAACCCGAGGCAACCAACCAAAATGCTTCAGAATATCTTCTCATCGCCATATCTCTACTTCCAATCCTTTCACCACCCCACCCCACCCGCCCCCAGAACCAATTGTATCGCAGTCGTGTTTATTCATTAATAATAATAATAATCCTGGCATTCGATATAGTGCCTTTGATATCGAGACATCTCAAAGTGCTTCACAGGATATATTGTGAAGTGAATTGATTGTGTATTTTGTGGGCGATACATGGCAGCCAGTTGCGCACAACAATGTCCCACAAACAGCCACAGAGTGAGTGCCCAATTTTATTTGGGGATTGTTAGCCAGAACACAATGAGAGAAACTCCCTTCTCTTTTCAATTAGTGCTGTGGGATCTTAAACGTCCACCTGAACAGGCAAACGGGACCTCGGTTTATTGTCCCATCCAAAGGACAGCACCTCCAACAATGCAACATACCCCCAGCACTACATTGGAGTGTCATCTTAGATGATGGGATTACAAGTCCTGACGTGGGGCTTGAACCCACAACCTCCTGACTTCAGAGGCGAGAGTGCTACCACTGAGCTAGGCTGATACACAATTTCGATAAAGGAAAAGAGATAAGCGAGGAGAAGCACATGCAGATCACCCTGAATTATGCATTCCAACTAAGTAAAGTAAACAATGCACAAGGAATTAATACAGATACAGAGGACCCTCTTGTCACTGCAATGTCACCAGTTAAGAAACCCCAACTACACCAGCAGAACCTGCAATGGACATCATTCGGTTCAGAAAGTCATCTCAGGTCAAACACAATCCTGATCCAAGTGTAATGCTGTCAAAGCTACATTGTTCCAAACAACTTCCCATATCTCTCACGTAGAGTTCCAACAGCCTTGACTCCCATTGTACAGAACTCTACTGGACCTAACTGCCTTGTGTGGAGCACACTGCTTACTCCCTGAGAATTCTCTTTCTCATGGTGCCATTTGTGTCGATAGGGATCAGACTGTATATGTAAGCAGATGCCCAGTACATGGAGAAAAGCTCAACTCACGGTTCATCCCCACATCGTGGTAGGTCAGGATCGCCGGGCGGTTTCCTTTCGGGGCACCGCGGATGACCACGTGCAACATCCCATAGGGAGTGTCAATGTCGTGCTCCTGGGGAGAACATTCAAATAGAAATAATTAACCAGTGAGTGCACAGAGAACCCTCTCCCCAATAACACAACCTCCTAAAAATTATGGGTCCATGATGGACAAACCCAAACCCTTTGGTGATATACCCTTTCTGCACGTGACAATTATTTCGGTGCTCTTCACATCTTAAAGTGCAGTGACATCTCAATGGAGATTTTTCGAGCAGAATCCGTTCCCAGAGGAGCCTGATTCTAACATTCAGGGCATTAACGGATACGGGGCAAGGCAGGATAATTGGACTTGATGTGCAGATCAGCTATGATCTTATAGAATGGCAGAACAGCCTTGAGGGGCTGAATGGCCTACTCCTGTTTCCATGTTTCTACATTTCAGCCCCGTGCTGATAGTTCCTCTGCAGTACCTCCTATGTGGTTATAAACTTTAATAGACAAAACATATAACCAGCAATGATATGAATGGCTCCATTTAACTTTTAAGTGAATTTTGATGAGGGAAAATAATTGGCCGAGACACCAGTATACCTACCTGCTTCTCTCATTCAAAACAATTTGACATTGTGTACCAAAATAAGAGCTTGCAACTGAACCATGATACTTATAGCAATGCAGTGCTCACTCTGTAAGAGTACACTACGAGGCAGCCAATTGTGCACAGCAGTGTCCCGCAAACAGTCGTGGACTGAGTGACCAAATTAATCCAAAAGGGATTATTCCCCACGGAAATCGATCCATCAATCGAATAACAACCGGGTTCCTACTTATTGCTAGGTAAACAGAAGGTGTGGAGTAAGGAAAGTTGCCTAAGATTTCGCTCGCCTGGGTCCTCTCACTTGTGAGGCGAGCGGTTTACCAATACGCTAACGCAACTGGGTGCTTATTTGATCTGCAATGGTTAAGGTGCTCTAACCAATATGTGGAGTCCTGTAGCTCAGTGGTTAGAGCACTCGCTTTGCAAGCGAGAGACCCGAGTTCAATTCCAGGCAGAGGGCGAAACCTTGGGCAAGTTTCCTTACTCCACACAGAGCCTAATAATAATCCCTCCAAAACCAAAAACAATAATAAATTGGTCATTTTCAATCTACGACTGTTTGTGGGGCATTGCTGTGCGCAATTGGCTGCCGCGTTCGCCCACAAATATACAGTCAATTCACTTTACATTGTGTTCTGTGAAGCGCTTTGGGACGTCCTCCTGACGTGAAAAGCGCTATATCAAATGCAAGGATTATTATGATACAGGACTCCACAATTTCTTTAAATAGTCAGTAATTAACATCAGAAACAGGACATCAAGAAGAGTGCTGGTGGCCAGGACACTGGACGAATTCAATAAATAGGTTGATACTGTAATCAAAAGACTAAGGGTAGCTAATCTGGAATAAGATCAAGTGGATTAAAAGGGCCTTTTTCATTTGCACCACTCTTGTGATTTTGTGAAGTGGAAGAATACTTCACAGCAAGCTCGCTCAAGGAGGAAGCAATGTCACAGTGATCCTTGGGAAACTGTTCATTAGGAAATCGTTGCACAAAGACCACTGAGTGCAAATTGCTGTGGCCAAATACCAACCACTGGATTGGTGCTCAACATTTTATTTATTCTGATTCCAAGAATTATACTTCGGTTCTCTTGAGCTCCCATTTTATAATTCCAAATTACATTAAAGACGGGAAGTGTCTGTGTGGGAAGCTGATAGGGTTTTAAGCATCAAATAGCTAATCTCTTACATGCCACCCTCCAATCACTGCCCATTAGAACACTATCTGTGACACACTCCAATCTCATTACAATGCTTCCAGTATAATACAATCTCAGCCCCATTCCACCCTCCCTTCTCAGTCATAAGACCGTCTCTGCTTCAAGGATACTTTAACCTTGATATTTTTATTCCCTGGGAGATTCAGCGAAACAAACGAGACACGAAATTCTACACAGAAATTCTTCTGTCATTACACATGATGGTCTTAAAATATAAGATGGAGCAGAATTGTGGACAATTCTTCAGTTGAAAAGCCCATTTCTACAGCTCTTAAAAACAATCAGCTGCCAAATTAAAGCAGAATTTCCACAATTTTGAGCCGCCTTATATTTTAAAGACAAAATGGTGTTGAGGTTTAATTTCAGGCCTGTCATTTATTACGAATTGGGAGGGGCTTTCCAACTCTCCCCCCCCCCCCCCCCTCCATATCCTCTGCCCCTATTAGGTTGCTCCAGGGGTTTGTCTGCTCATACTGGTAAAAGGATTAAACAAGACCAAAATCGTTACTGCAGATTCACGTCATTTTGCTGCATTGCAATCAGGAGAAAGACTGTCGATGAAAGACTGTAAGGTTCAGTCAGTGCTCGTCATGAGCTGTACCAGACAATGAAATGGCCATTCCTGCTGATCCACGGGGTTTGGAACAGCATTTAGCCTGTCCATCATTCTTGAGCATCCAAAATTGAGCATCTGCACATTTCCATTGTATATCGTGGGTTTAGCACGCATGGATGCCACGTTAACACATTTTCTATCACGCACTTTGTAATCGGATTTAGCATTGCAAGTGGACAAATATTGAGAAGGATGAAAGGATTATAAAGCTTGGGATTTGATTCCAAAATTATACACACGTACACACTCCAACACAAATATACACTCCTTTGTCAATGCGCAAAGATGTCAAATGAAGACTTTCTCGTGCTGTGCATTCCAATTCCTATTGCTCTCTGTGAGAAGAAATATCTCCTTGCCTTACATCTGGTCAGAATCATAGAATTATACAGCACCGAAGGAGGCCATTCGACCTATCGTGTCTGTGCCGACTCTTTGAAAAGAGCTATCCAAATCAATCCCACTCCCCAGCTCTCTCCCCACAGCCCTGCAAACGTGTCCTCCCCAAATAATTATCTACTGCTCTCTTAAAAGTTGTTATTGTATCAACTTTCACCACCTTTTCAGGCAATGCATTCCAGATCTGAACTTGCTGTGTGAAAACTTTCTCCTCACCTCCCCTTTGTTTCTTTTATACTGGTGTCCTCAGGTTACCGACCCACCCGCCAGTGGTCCTAAGCTATTTCGTCCGAATTTTAAAGTTATGCCTCCAAGCAATTGATTGTATTAATCATGTCCTGCTTGTTCTGCCAAATCCCTTCATAATCCTGAAGACTTCAAGCAAATCACAGTTTTCTCAGCACCAGAGAATGCCTCCTCAATGCATCCTGGCTTTCACAACCATTTACCTCCTGCTCCACACACACCTCATAGCAAACCTACTCTGCTATCTCTCCAAAACCAATGTACTATCTGTCATTTCACCCCAATCGATTTGGATTCTATTTCGCAGAGGAACACTGTAAAGGCATTCCATTAAAAAAATCCTATGCTACAAAAATAGCTCCAGTCATAGATACATTATTATTTTATATCACTAAATGCAGGTTTGAATCTGTGAAGGGCTCAGCTTGAACCATCGTAATAATAATAATAATCTCTCTCTCTCTATGATGTGCATTTCCAGTGTTTCCGGTTCTGTTTCAGGTTTCTCCTGATTGATCTAATAATATGACTATTTATTATTGATCAAGCCTGGTACAGGATGCAGTGCTTCTGCCCTTTCACTTTTCACAAACTGATTTAGTTGCGATAACCCACGGGCACATTGTCACTGTGTCTTTGGCCCTTATCAGCTGTCTTCATCTTGGGAGAATGGACTTTCATCATTAGCAGTTGATATTGTCAAGGCTAAGATACACAGATCAAATTTGATACCAAATCAGTCACTGTTGCTCTTTTCACTGACTCTAAACTTGGAAATCCTTAGTTTAAGAGAGGAGCTCACAGATCTTGGATATATTTAATAATAATAATATAATAATAATATTAATAATAATATATTTGTAGGATAAAGTAGCAGCAGACCATTCAACCTACTGTTCATTCATTCATCCCCACTTTATTCATCCGTGCAGTGCCTTATCTTTTAAATCCCACTTCCAGGCTTTCTCCATGCTATCTTACTTCTCCTCAATTTTAGCCTTGAAAGGAAAGTCAGAAAGACATGTCTTTAGACAAAGTGCAGTTGAAATTTCTGTTCTTAAGTTGTGGTGTGCCCATAAATTTTTTAAAGAAGAAATCAGATAGACGCTTGAAAAAATGAATTTTAAAGAGTATGGGGAGTGAGCAGGAGTGTTATAGTCGAGCGGGAGACTTGTATAAAAACAATTAATTTGATGGGCTGAATGGCCTGTTTCGGTAACATTTAATGATTCTGCGGCAATCAATGCAGAGTATTCGAAAGTATCTGCATTTTCTGGGAGGGACGAAATGCTTTCACCACGAGATTATACTATTTACAAGATGGGAAGTTAGCAACAGTTAACCGGTAAAGAACCAGAGATCTTCACCGTAATCTTTCCATAAGATGAACCTTTATATTTTTTGTCCAAATATTACTATTGTGGCAATGAAGGGGTTAAAGATTGGTTACATTTCAGTGGGATATAAACCACCATTATCACTATGTATCATAGATATTACAGAAAGGAGGTCATTCAGCCCATCAATCTATGCTGGTGGTAGCTCCAGATAGAGCTCACTAATCTATAAATAATAATCCTTGCAATTTATATGGAGACTTATTATGTCTTCTAGATGTCTCAAAGCATTTCCCCAAGTGAATTTCCTGTATAACTTGTGGGTGAAACGGAGCTGGCAATTGCGCACAGCAGTGTCCCAGATAAAGTCATGGATTAATTTACTAAATTATTATTATTAATCTAAATTCAATACTCTGCTCTGTCCCCTTCTATATTATTTCTCTTCAAATACATATGCAATTCCCATTCACATGGAAGGTAACTTTTTTTTAAAACATCAAAACCCCTCAAAGTGCTACTTGTGCAAAGTGTTACGTCAGTCATTAAAACCCTAAAAAAGAAAAGCATTTGTCAAAGTCTGAGCCAAATTCACTCTTTGTACATAATAATACTTACATTCAATATAGCAGCTCTCGTGTTGGGAGGTT